AGCTGTACTATTATTTTATACTGGAAGATTATTTCTTTTTCCACCTTTTTCTTTAAAAGACAGAAAAAGGGGGGGAAATGGTGTCTGGGAATGATTTTTTAATCTACTGAGGACATCTAGTGGCAAAAAATTAACATTGCAACTGCTGGTTATTGTTTGAAGATGAGGTGGATTTGATCTTCAAACTACTCTTGAAGAGAAAAGATAAGCTGATGCAGCTGTGGGAAATGTGGGGGTGGATACTGCTTAACTTTTATCAAATACAGCCTCCACTAAAAGAAAAAAGGGACTCTCTTCAATTACTGTTAAAATGGAGAAACCTCATTCTCAGCTAAACTGTAAACTTATATTGGAAAAGATTTATGAGGCTACTGAAGAAATATGTGCTAAAATGAAAGAGATTACTACAGAATTAAGAGCCAGAAGCCTTACCCCAAATGCTCAAACTGACTTTCAGACTGCACCTGACCATTCTATAAATCAAAATACACTAGAAGAGGAATCAACTGAGATTAAAGAGGAATTTATTTTACCTTACAAACACTTCATCTACATCTTTAAGGATCAGAAGAACCAAGGACTGAGATTTGAACCTTTAAAGCAATGAGAATTTAAGGGCAAGAGAAATAGATACCCAATCCAGAGGATGGGATGCTGTTTATTGACTCAAATGACATTACAAGCAACAGAAGGAGATCTATTGGCTGAAAGGGAAGCTTTGTTATGGAAACCTGCCTGACACAAAAAGAAGGCCAGAATAAGACTGAAAAGAGAAACTTAAAATTATATGGGATGGATTAAAAGGCACTGTAGAACTATGGACTGATTTAAGGATTAAGATTTAGAGTTAGAAGTAAGAGAAAAATGGTGATTACTAGAATATATATTTTAAATAGACTAAGAATGTATTTTTAGAATAATAGGTTTATTTGTATGAAAACTATTATGTAATGGAATGAAGAAAATCTTTTAGATCTGGATTGACTCAATAATTAATTGAACATGTTAAATTAGTAAAATAATGTGTTTGTGTGATAATATGGGTGTTTTTAGGCATGATAATTATTTGGATGAAATTTGAATTTTGCCTAACAGCCTGAAATGATTTAAGGTTTGATATTACTTTGCTAGGTTAAAGAGATTGATTGATTAATGGATTATATATGTATAGGATAGACTAATATTTTATTTTAATCAGGATATATAGTGTGTAGTGGAAGAAGAAATAAACAAAATTTGTGATAAAATTAAGGTTTTAAGAGACCAGAACTAGAATATATTTGGAAAGGATACCTGAAGTGATAATGTGTTTATTTAAGGTTAAATTTGACTATGGTAACTGTAAATTTATAAAGCTTAAAAACGTGTTTAGAATTTATAGAAATTTAATTTAGAAATGGATTATTTTAAATATATTATGCTATTTGAGGGAAATAGAGAGGGAATATTTAATGCATTGATTTGAGTTATTCATATATGGCTTTATTGTTGGATGTTTGATTGCCCCAGCACCACGGTGTGTCTCGAGCACTTTGTTCTAAGAAATAAAAAAACAATAAAATTTGTTTTTTTAAAAAAAGACTTGGCAAAACCTGAGAAAAGCTAATCTGTGTTTGTGACCTTCAAAGTTTTAACAACAAAGAACAGCTGAGACCAAAAAAAGGCAATAATCTGGGCTGTAGACAAAGAGAGAATTATAAATTTAAAAAATCTTTTTTTAACTATTTGGATTACAAATATCTATTTAACTGGGACTCTAAAGCTATTTGCAGAGAAAAGAAAGAGAAAAACTCAAATTCTTTGCCATTAAGGATCAGAGACATGTAGAAAGAACATATCAAGAAAACATAAATATTTCACAGGAGGAGATATATAGTATACTGAAATTAATTCAAACAACAATGACTTTAAACCACAAAGAAATTCAAAATAACTTATAAATTTATATAAATCAATTTATTTTTAAGCTAACTCTACAACAACAAAAAAATCCAAAAAACAACAACTGAGAAGGAGCAGATAAAACAGATAAATGGATATAGAATTGAGAATAGAGACTTAAAGATAGAACTTAACAAAACAGGGAAACATGATTTAATCCTAGTGGGAAAAAATTCACAAGAATTGGAAAAAACAACTTATCCCTTAAGACAGCGGTTCTCAACCTGTGGGTCGGGACCCTATTTGGGGTCAAACAACCATTTCATGGGCGTCGCCAAACAATGCAGTCCGCCATTTTTCCCCCTTTTCCTTAGCTGTGCTACTCCCTTTTATTCTATTGGCTTTTGAAAGCCAATAGAATAGACTCTCTTGAATAGAGTCTAATTCTATTGGCTTTCAAAAGCCAATAGGAATTGTCCAGCTGTCTCTGCCCTGCTGAGCCCGCCAAAAGTCCCATTCTGCAAACGGTGCTGCAAGTTGTCTGCAGCGAAGGAGAGCTGTCTGGAAGTTTCCACCCCTCCCTGCTGAGCAACTACTAAAAATGTAAGTAAAAGAGGGCCAGGGGTGGGAGGTGGGAGGCCGGCGGGTGCAGGGAGGATTGCTGGCGCGCATGGGGCCCGGCGGGTGCCTTACCTCCCTTGGGCTGGGCCAGCTGGTGGCCCAGCCAGTGGTTGGTCTGCGCCGTCTCTGCTGCTTGCCAGCTACGCCTTGGCTGGCGCAGGGAGCGGCACCACACATACACGGCGCTTCCGGGCAGGGTAGTCCTCAACTTATGATCGGTTGGGTAGTCCTTGACTTATGACTGGTTGGGGGGTCGCGGCATTAAAAAGGTTGAGAACCACTGCCTTAAGACTACAAAATAAATCTGAGGACAAGAAAACAGTTTGGATAAAATGAACTGTAGAGATGTCAGAAACATCGGAGAGAAAGGAAATGATAAGAGAAGTGGAGAGAAAGAAAAAAAAAGATTCTCAACAAACATGGAAAGACAGAAGCCCCATACAAAGACACTTCACCTGATTTACTTTTTATATCTATAGCAACACTTACGAACATACAGAAAAACTTTTTGATTCAGCAAAATACATTGATTAAGAAAGATAGTGGGCAAAGGAAAAAGACTAAAGTGGAAACCAATAAAATAGATGATGGTACTTACCAGAGAGAATACTTTAAAAAGAAACATTTGTTTGAATATGGTTAAAGAAAAAAAAGTTTTGGAATATATATGTCATTCTAAGAGGGATGAATTCCCTAAATAATATAGTATGCTTTTTTCCCCTTTTTTTTGTTCTCTTTCTTGATATGAGTAATGACTTAGATAAAGGAAATGTTTTAGATACTTAAATGTGATTGAATTTAAGAAAATTATAATGAATAAAAAATGTTTTGAATAAGAGTTAAAGGACTAGATGACTAGATGTATTAAATGGAATGTTTAAAGATTAAACATTAAACAACTGTAACGGGATCTATGATAAGGCAACCAGAATGATTGGATAGAAAAGAAATATTATATTGACGTGATTATTATTTTTAAGAATATTGGGAAAAAATATATTGTTATCTATCAAAACAATAAGAATTGTATTAACTCAATGTTTGCAAAAGAGGATATTTTGGGAAAAGAGGAAATCAACTAAAACCATTATGTGGATTATGGATTATAGAAATCAATTGTTAATTATTGTTTTACAAATGTAACCCAGACAACACACTGTTCACCAATTATTAAGTGATTTATGTTTTTAAAAAAATCAATAAAATATATTACAAAAAAATAATAATAATATAAATCTTGATACTTCTTTGCCCCTTTGGCTTATTTTTATTACCCTTTACAAATAAAGGATGTGATTTGGTTAAAATTGGAAGGAGTCAGTGGTGAATCTTGTGTATTTCTTTAATCTAAACAATCTTTGAGACTAAAAACTAGTTACCAACATGATGTTGTGTAGTATTACAAATCCCAGAAGGTGTTACCACAGATAGGAAGAAAAAGGACTTAGGAGAGGAATAGGAAGTAGACTAATTGGAGAATTAAGTATAGGTAATTCTCAACTTATAACCACAATGTAGCCCAAAATTTCTGTTACTAAGCAAGACAGTTGTTACATTGTGCACTGTTTTATGTCCTTTTTTGCCACAGTTATTAAATGAATGACTGCAGTTGTTAAATGAATCATGGTTGTTGGATGAATATGGCTTCTCCCATTGATTTTGCTTGTTGGAAACCAATTGGGAAGGTTATAAATAATGATCATATGACCCAGTGCAACTATCAGAACTACATGTCAATTGCTAAGCTCCCAAATTTTGATCACGTGACCATGGGGGATGCTTCAACAGTTGTGTGAAAAACGGTCATGAGTCACTTTTTTCAGTTTGAACAGTCACTAAATGAATGGTTGTAACTCACGGACTACTGTACCTGTACAATAGCTCAAAACACTATGTATAAAAGAGTTTTAAGTTACAGCTTATTTTAGTATCTGTATTAAGGATCTTTTAAGGACACAAATCCAGGAACCCTTTCAAACTCTAGGTTGTGTAGCAATGGACATGCATATGGTTAGCAAGATTTTAAATTAAACATGTTGTGTAAACTCAGCTCAGATAAAATTATTTGGTTTTCATTCTGAGAGAGCAACAATTACCCCACTTCAGCTACGTTTACTTTCCTTCCTTCTCTTTGGGCTATTACCTCCAATTATTCTGCCTCCTATGAGCTTATTGCACATTTATATGACTCTATTAGTATATTTTTGCATTCTTCCAAATCAGTCTGAAAGGATTTGTATCCAGTCAGGTAGGAAACAAATCACTGTTACTTTTTTTAAAAAAAAATCACATCTAGTTTATTTCTTGACAGTGAGAAAAATTAAACAGTGGATGGCTTGCCTTCAGAAGTTGTGGGTGCTCTAATATTGGAGGTTTTCAAGAAGAGACTCAACAGCCTTTATCTGAAATTGTATAGAGTCTCCTGCTTGAGCAAGGGGTTGGACTAGAAGGCCTCCAAGATCCCTTCCAACTCTGTTATTCTGTTACTTCCTTTTTAGAGGAAAAGACTACAGAACAACTGGAATCTTCGGGGGAGGAGGATTTGCTGCCCTTGACCACAATGCCATCTGTCATTCATTCCACTGTTCTTCCACGAGATGATATTTTAGAGCCTACAGATCAATTGACTTTATTGCCAGAAGATACCTCCAGTGGCCCTTCCACTGACATGGACCAAGTTTTTGAAGCAACAAGCTCCATGTGGGCAACCTCAACTGGTTTTGAAATGGGAGTTGCCACTGACTTAGTTATCACTGACATGATGGCCCCAGTGGCGGAGGAGGAGGAGGAGGAGGAGGAAAAGGAGGAGGAGAAGGAGGATGAGGAGGGAAGTGGCTACCATACATTGCCAGAAACCCAAGGTATGACTCCAACTCCTTCCTTGAAGTATATAACCACAAGCTCCATGACAGCTGCAATCCAAGGCCAAGAGCTGGTGGTATTCTTCAGCTTGAGGGTGACCAACATGCACTTTTCCAATGACCTCTTCAATCAGAGTTCTCCTGAGTACAAAGCACTTGAACAACAGTTCGTACAGCTGGTAGGTGATAAAGGATGGTATTGAACTTGTGGATAATCCCCCACCCCACACCTAAGGGAAATCTTAAAACATTAGGCCTCACATTAACATCAGAAAGAACAAATAAAAACAAATTGAATTGATAGGGGGAAATGCTTTCAGAAGAAAACTAGGGTTCCTTCTCCTTACAGTCTCAACCTTCATGTATTATTTCCTCAATTCTATGTACTGCTCCTAAAAGAAAAGTCCTCCTCAGGTTTACCTTGGCTCCTAGTGACAATATGGATATGTTTCTGTTTTCTTAGCAACAGTACAGTAGTAGTTAATCCTTGCTTCTTATTTACTCTTCCTCCCTCCCTCCCTGCTTGCTTCCCAGAAGGGAGGGAGGGAGGGAGGAAGGAAGGAAGGAAGGAAGGAAGGAAGGAAGGAAGGAAGGAAGGAAGGAAGGAAGGAAGGAAGGAAGGAAGGAAGGAAGGAATTAATTTGGATTAGTTTAAAGCCCTGGGATTGCTTTATGGTTTCCTCTGCCCCCCTCCACAATATTAATTTGCTTAGATTTTTGAGATATTTTTTTTAAAAAAATGCTACTTTCGGATGCATTTTTCAGCTTCTTGGATCCCTACCATTAAAGCCAATTTTATTTCCAATTCTGATGCCCAAATTAACTAGGAAGGGAGAAAAACTGGAAAGTGATAGAAGATGAATTTATTGCTTTTTTTCAAGTGTGAGAATACAAGTTAATGGAAAGAAATATGTGTTTGAGGTTATAGTATCTATTCTGACCAGAAGACACTAACAGTCAATATTGTATATGTTTTACTGTACTTATAGTTCAGTACATACATTTCAAAGAGCATAATAATTTACAGATGACTTAATTTAGTCCTGTGCCACAATACATCCTTCATATTATGTTCTAATGCAAATAAGAGCCCAGGTAAAACTGAATGTTCATTAGTTCATTGTCCTGAAGGTACATGTGAATAATATTTTGTATAATATAGAAAGTCAACCATTGTGGAATGACAAAGAGAATTATATAAGAATGTAAAAATTGTCTCTATTAGATTAGATAAAGTTTCATTCAGTCCAATATTTTGTTGCTTATACATTTCACAAACTTAGAGTTCATTCTTTCTACTTGTATAATTTATTGTGGGGAAAATCCATATGAAATTAAAGGAAACACTCATATAACTGTAATTTATATTTAAGTACAATTAAATGTCATTTATGTCTTTTTAACTGTATTGCATTGTGTGAATGAACTTTGCATCAAAAGAGCACTCTATCTGTCTTGTTTGATTATTTTAAAAGATCTATCTTGAGAGCTGTCACTGAAAGGCTAATTCAGAAATTTGACTTGGTATTAGATGTAAAGTCAGCTAATAGCATCAGTAAAACAGAGTAAATTTGTATTTCTCAAAATAAATAGTGAATATATGTCACATTGATAGCATAATTTTCTTTCATTTTTCAGCTGGTTCCATACCTACAATCCAATCTTACAGGATTTAAGCAGTTGGAAATACTGAATTTCCGAAACGGAAGCGTGATTGTGAATAGTAAAATGAGGTTTGTGGAGTCAGTGACATACAACATCACAGAGGCTATTCACTTTGTGTTGGAAGACTTCTGCGATACAGTAGCTCAGCATCTTAACCTGGAAATTGACAGCTCTTCTCTTGAAATAGAGCCAGGTAATATAAAAAGTGAACAGAAAGCAGGAGCATATTGCTTTTCTATAAGCCTTATACATTGTTCTTCATAGATAAATAAATAGTAAAACCACATGGAATACAGTATATTTTGAGGAAGCTTGTAAAATAATATGGTGCCAAAGAGATTTTATTGCTGGTGGAGTTACTCAGTTTTTGATGTTTTCTCCACTGTCTGATCAGATATCTTATGGAACATTAGAAAACATTTGTGGGAAGTGTAGTTTTCAGAAATATATTTAGAAGTACCTTGAAAAGCTTCCATTTTCTTGTGATGTGATAGAAACATCACTGGTTGTTCTCAACACTCAGGACATTACTATATCATAATCCGTACTGTTTTCAGCTGCTTTTGTTCTAGAGCAGTGATGGCGAAACTTTTAGAGACCGAGTGCCCAAACCGCAACCCAAAACCCGCTTATTTATCGCAAAGTGCCAGGACCGCATCACCATTGTGGTGCCCTCAGAGGGGGGCAGGGAGGCACCTCTGAGTGCCGCCTCTAGCACGCAAAAACCGAGGGCACAAAAATGGGCCACCATGCTGCAAGGTGCAAAAATGGCTGCTGTGGCGCCAGAGGATGCAGATGCAAGGCGCTGCACCATGTAAGAACGGGGCAGGGCTAGTGAGCATCACGCAGGCACTAGCCCCACCCCATTTGCAGATGTGCATGCTTGCAGCCCCATGCACACATGCACGCATGTAAAATGCTTCCCCTCCCTTTTCTTCCAGTCCACCAATCGACAATGGTTGGTGACCTCTGCTCTACCACCTCAACTCGAGCTTGCTAGTTGGCCGCTTTGCCTCCTTTGTGCTGGATGGGGCTCCTGCTCCAAGTGGCAGTGGCAGCCTGATGGACCTGCTGCTGGTGGCGGTGGTGTGCATGCCAACAGAGAGGGCTCTGAGTGCCACCTCTGGCACATGTGCCATAGGTTTGCCACCACTGTTCTATAGGTTCCTGTCTTTGATAGTAAGTAAATCTTAACAAGCATGTAGCTTTTTCTCACAATTATAGCACTGAGAAACATTTATTTATTCATTCACATCTCCAAATCAAACCAGCCCTAGTAGTACACAATACCAATACAACCCAAACTATGGCAATATCCAATTCATAATAATAAGCAATACTCCATTAACAAGTAATAATAGTTACACAATATGATGATAAAATATTAATGATGATACTAACCTAGTCAACAAATTATAACTCAGATATATTTTCAGATTTTACTGTCTGTTCCATTGATCAATTCACTGAGCCTGCAATACTTTTTTCCTTGATTTTCACTTCAGATACTGAGCTAGCAGACTGCCATACAATGAGTCATATTAAATACAGTTTATCTGCTTTGGCTGAATAGGACGTTGTATACATGTGTACACTGCCCATTTTAATTAGGGAAAATAGGTTGCAGTTTGAGAAAGTGGAAGAACAAGCAAAGGAACGTGATTGTGCAAATGGAACATATAGATTGATGGTACAGTGAAGCTTCTAGAGATGGTATAAAAAATAGGCAATAATTAGACTTAGCCAAAGACATTGGTGTGCTCACACACAGATATATGCCAGGGATTGTAGGAATTCTGTTTTTTCAATCCCTTGCATTTTTTTTATCATAAATATATAGTATACATCTTGCCATGAGCTTCTGTTCTCATCCTTTCATAGATCAAAAGCACTTGTACACCATGTTTATGTTTCGTTGAAGAAAATGGCCAGTGATATGTTGACATAGCAGTATCATGATTCTATTGATATTGCCAACATTTTGACTGAAAGTTTGTTTTGACGACATTGCTGGAATCTCCTTCATTTGACAACCTTTAAATTAGAATATGGATGCTATAAGGAAGTGCAGGACAGGTTTTAAAAGGTATTCCCTTTCTAACTGGAGGATTCAAGGTTAGAGCATTAATTTTAATGTGTCAAGACACACAGTAATCAAACTATACAAATATAAACAAACAGGTTGGAATTAACTTCATTTGCATGAACGCCAGATTGATAGGTTCTATGGGTAGTCCTCGGCTTAGGTCCATTCAAAGATATGGCGACACTGAATAAAATGGATGTGCAATCAGTTCTCAAAATTCTGACCATTGAAGGGCCTCTGTGATTGGCTTAGCGAAATCAGGCAAGATGGTAAAGCAGAAGAGGCAAGGAAAAGAAGTGATGGTGCTGAAATCATGAGATCTGCATGTAGTCACAGCTTGAGATGAAACTAGAGAGGAGTGAGCAGACCTTTAAATTAGGGCTAGTGTGATGGTTTTAAGTCAGAATTATTCCTAAGAATAAACTATTAGTTTCCATATTCTTGAGTATATAAAACCCATGATGATTGAAGATGTCTCCAGTCTTCAGATTCTTTACTAAGTGAAAACCAAAAGTGCAGAAAAAGTGGTGGGAGATATGTTTGAAGTAGTTCTCTCTACTGTTTGCCATCTCCGTTCTGGACATGATCTTTTTTGATAGGGTAGCCCCATGAAGGCTTGCAGACATCTTCTTCTTCTGGAATGAAATTAGAAGTCTGTATTCTGCCTTCATTGTTTAATCAACTGAATTGCAAGGATCTCCCTTCCGTTGCCAAGATAAATGAAAAAGGTACAGCCCAACCAAAGCTGAAACCAAGAGGTTGGGGAAATAAAATTACTTCTTCTGTAGCATATTCTGATTTAGTGCACATATTTCTAAGGGGAAGAAGAACTGAAAACCAAAGATCTGCTTCTGTTGACATAAGGCACCACCCAAGACTTACAGTATAAAACAGGTCAGGCTGTTGACCTCCCCTTTTCCTGATATGCTGCCTTGTTGTCTTGTAGATGTTATGTTGCTGCCAGTGAATTAAGTAAGGACTCTTCAACATTTCTTATTATTTGGCGCTCTAGAGAGCCTCTGCTCCTCATTCCACTTTTTCTCTTTTTTCCATTGTAGTGCACAGGATGGAAAATAATTCCAGGGAGCATTTACCAGAACAGAAGCAATTCTAAGATTGCTTGATGAGTTTTGGAAGACAGACTTAAAATGGCACTGAGTTCTTATGAGTAGTTCCTTTCAATTTCATGATCCAGGAGAACATAAGGAGTGTTGTGTCAAATAATTCTACCTTCCTCCCTGTCCCACTGCACAAAACATTGCTTTCGTCTAAACAGCGGTTCTCAACCTGTGGGTCACGACCCCTTTGAGGGTCAAACGACCCTTTCACAGGGGTCGCCTAAGACCATCGGAAAACACATATTTCTGACGAACTTAGGAACCGAGACATCACTCCTCTATCCGTCTCTGCTCGGCTTCGAGCTGGGGGCCGGTGCAGCAACGGATTCATTTCCGTCGAGCATCTCCTAAGAGAGGCTGCGCTGCTTTGCAGCCCTTTCCGCGGAGGAGGCTGAACTAAGCTCTGCCAGTGCTGTCGCCCTCTTGGCTCTCTCTCTCTCTCCCTCCCTCCCTCCCTCCCTCTCCCCACCTGGGCGCTTCTCCAACCAGGCTGGGCAGAGCCTGCGGAGCGGCCTTTCTGCCCCCCCCTCCCTGGCCAGCTGGAGCCGGGCAGGCCGGCAACCTTTGGAAGTGAGGCAAGGACAGGCAAGGCACGCTGAGCCCCGGGCACAGCGGGTGAGTGGGCGGTTTTGGTGCACGTTTGGAGATCCCTTAGGGTTGGGGGTCACCACAACATGACGAACTGTATTAAAGGGACGTGGCATTAGGAAGGTTGAGAACCACTGGTCTACAAGTTTAGATTTCTACTAATAGCTTACTTGTTGGGCTTGTTGCATTAATGCAAGCAAATGGTCCATAATTCCATGAAAAGGAAATTGCCCGGAAACACAGTAGGATAAAATTGAACTATTGTTAGAAAAGTTCACCTATTACAGAATACGATGCACCACTTAGACAAAAAGAGTGAATTTATTGCAACCCTCCAATAGCCTTTCAGTTTATTTCTAAACCAGGCTTGCAACATTTTTTTCCTCCATAGCCTTTCATATAGTTATTAATGCCATTTTAATTGGATGGTCACAGTCTATAGGCAGTATTAATATGAATGCACTCATTCAAGAATTTAATTACTAGGCAACAGATGACAAGAATATGAAATTGAAACGGCTAGGGGGTTATTCTCTTTTTATTTTTTACTACAACAAAAGCCACAAATTCTTGTTGAATACCTATCATATTAGTTATAGAGGGACAGTAATTTCAGCACAATTAGGGTGGTCCTTACATATTACAAAACAAAGCCTACCATGGCCAACAGCATCTGTGTTCCACATTTCTTTGCAACGGCACATGTTGTGTACTTTACACCCTGATGAGTTCATCAAGGGGGCTTTAAGTTGGTTGCATTGTGGGTGTACTAGAATGGCCCAGTTGGGAAACCATTTTGGCCGATGGTCCAGAAGGGTAAAGTGACTGCAGTGCTTACCATACAAGGATATGCTTTCCAAAGGTTTTCTGAGGTAGGCACTGCTCACCTCCTCTTCACAAGAAGGCATTTGCTGTGAAATATGGCTGATAACTATTTAAAGCAAATATAAAGGCAATACAGTATCAAATTACTGAAGAAAAGCATCACTGCCACTTGTGAAAGCCAAAAAGAGGGCGCTCCACTCTATTGCTCCTCAGTCACATATTAGCAACGGTAGGTAGCTATGATGAACAAATGTTTTCTCTGGCAATCATACCATTTTACCAGGTCCACGTGACCCTGTATCAATGAAAGCATTTCAAAAGATTTTTCTCTTCTGTTCCAGCGCATCAAGCGGACCCTTGCAAGTTCTTGGCATGTGATGAATTCTCACAGTGCCTAAAGAATGACTGGACAAAGGAGGCAATTTGTCTTTGTAAACCCGGTTATGTAAGAAAAGATGGCCCACTTTGCCGTAGTATATGTGAGATGGAGCCCCACCTTTGTGCTAACAGTGGCAAATGTGAATTGGTTCCAGAAAGAGGTGCAGTGTGTAGGTATGTCCCTTTATTGTAAGGTTGATAATGAAATATTGATGGTACCGTAGACATGGATAAGTACAGTGGCAATTATTTTGCAATTGTCAAATGGCATTAATGATTTTTTGGGGGGGATTGTCGGTATGAGAAGAGAACATTCTGCATGCAGATTTTGTGCTCTGTTATTAAGCAGAATTTCCCATTCAAACTCTCCAGTGAAAAGATTTCTGGGAACTGGACTGGAAAAGCTTTATCTGAAGCTCTGGTGATATACTGCTGGTCAAAACGTGTATACTGACTTGACTCAGATGCATTTATGTGAAATTATAATCAAATTCGATTTGTTTTATTTTACATTGTAGTTCTAATGTAAAATAAAACAAATTTTATTTTACCTCAGACACAGAATATTTGTCAAAAGCCAGAATCTGCCTAATAAAATCTGCAGAATAAAGCAGGAGAAGCTTTAGCAACCATTTTTAATTATCTCCTACTACACCTATATGATCCAATAACATAAAGTGCTAGATGCTTGGCTTAAAGTCCCTTATTCTTTGCCCAGTCAGTTTATTGATCAAATTACAATAAAAATGCAAAATGAAGACTAAGTGGGGATAAGCAGATCTACCCTTCGTATGTTCCTTCATCTCAGTGGCCTTTTATACTATAGCTGCCTTACCACCAGCCAGCATGTTCTACATTTCTGAGATCCTCCTTCACCTGTCAGTCACTATAGTACAGATAATTCTAGTTGATTCCATCCTGCTTTCCATCATGATGATCCCATCAATAATGTTTGCAATGGACCATATAGTATAAGTTTTTATGAGTAACTTTACAAAACAAGCAAAGCACAGAATACGATGCTAAAATATATGCACATATTATCATTCATCTTCAAAATATGCTTTTCTGAGTTTCACCATTGGCCTTAATAGCCCTCAACCATCTGCTGACTGTGTTTCAATGTTCTATGATTAAAAATTCTTAACCCAGCTACTGTAATAACGTTTGACACACCTCACTGGAGCAGCTTCATACCAGGACATTCCCAGTAGTGAAATTATTTGATAATATTTCTGACATTGTGTCTCTTGAGGGTCTTGAGTTTAATGGCTTGTTAATTGTAAACATTTAATTCACCATCTTTGTTTCCTTCATAGGCCCCAGGATACAAAACAAAAAATAACAAGTTAGCATCTGAAATTCTGAATCCCAGAGTCCATGAAGGTTTGTGATTTAAAAAAAAAAAGCTGTCAAATGCATTTTTAGTAATGTCTGGACATCTTTGATACTTTTATGTCACTCCTTAAAACTTAGAATCAGTCCTTCATGTGCAGTTTATTTGCCTTTGTTAATTTTGTAATTGTAATAGTAGTAAAGTTGGAAGGGACCTTGGAAGTCATCTAGTCCAACCCCCTGCTCGGGCAGGAAACCCTACACCATTTTGGACAAATGGCTGTCCAGTCTCTTCTTAAAAACTTCCAGTGTTGGAGCATTTACTGCTTCTGGAGGCAGGCTGTTCCACTGATTAATTGTTCTCACTGTCAGGAAGTTTCTCCTTAGTTCTAGTTGCTTCTCTCCTTGATTAGTTTCCACCCGTTGCTTCTTGTCCTGCCTTCAGGTGCTTTGGAAAATAGCTTAATTCCCTCTTCTTTATGGCAGCCCCTGAGATATTGGAATACTGCTATCATGTCCCCCCTTGTCCTTCTCTTCGTTAAACTAGACATACCCAATTCTCGCAACCGTTCCTTATATGTTTTAGCCTCCAGTCCCCTAATCATCTTTGTCCCTCCAGTCCCCTAATCATCTTTTACACCACGATGTAAAAAAGATGTTGAGACTCTAGAAAGAGTACAGAGACATGTACTCTTTCTAGAGTCTCAACATCTTTTTTACATCGTGGTGACCAAAACTGGATGCAGTATTCCAAGTGTGGCCTTACCAAGGCATTGAAGAGTGGTATTAATACTTCACGTGATCTTGATTCTATCCCTCTGTTAATGCAGCCTAGCACTGTGTTGGCCTTTTTGGCAGCTGCAGCACACTGCTGGCTCATATTTAAGTGATTGTCTACTAGGACTCCGAGGTCCCTCTCACAGTTACTACTATTGAGCATGGTGCCACCTATGCTGTACTTGTGCATTTGGTTTTTCTTGCCTAAATGTAGAACCTTGCTTTTTTCACCATTGAATTTCATTTTGTTAGTTAGTGCCCAGTGTTCAAGTCTGTCCAGATCCTTCTGTATCTGGAGCCTGTCTTCTGGAGTGTTGGCTATTCCTGCCAGCTTGGTGTCATCTGCAAATTTGATGAGTTCCCCATCTATCCCTTCATCCAAATCGTTGATGAAGATGTTGAAGAGTACTGGGCCAGAACAGAGCCCTGGGGCACCCCACTACACACTTCCCTCCATATAGATGCAGTTCCATTGAGGACCACTCGCTGAGTACGGCCGGTCAGCCAGCTACGGATCCATCTGGTGGTGGTTCTGTCTACCCCACATTTTTCTATCTTGTCAAGTAGTAGGTTGTGATCTACTTTATCAAATGCCTTACTGAAGTCCAAGTAAATTATGTCCACAGCATTCCTCTGATCCACTAATTTTGTCACTTGGTCAAAGAATGCAATAAGATTTGTCTGGCATGATCTATTTTTGACAAACCCATGTTGGCTTTTAGTAATGACTTTGTTTGCCTCTAGGTGTTCATTGATTCGTTGTTTGATTATCTTTTCCAGGATCTTCCCAGGTATTGAGGTCAGGCTGATAGGTCTGTAATTTCCTGGATCCATTTTTTTTCCTTTTTTGAGGATGGGAACTACATCAGCTCTTTTCCAGTCCTCTGGTAGTTCCCCTGTGTTCCAGGATCTTTGAAAAATATAGTTCAGTGGCTCCGATATCACATCTGCCAGTTCCTTGAGAACTCTGGGGTGTAATCCATCTGGTCCTGGCGATTTGAACTCATCTAGGCTGGACAGGTGCTCACTAACGATTTTCTTGCCTATCTTAACTTGTGTTTCTGTTTTGTTTTTTATGGCACTATTTTTGATAGGTTGGTCTGTTTTTTCCCTTTGTGTAAAGACAGATGCAAAAAATGAGTTAAATAGTTCTGCTTTCTCCCTGTTGCTTGTCCCCTTCTTGCCACTTCCACCCACTAATGGACCAATCATTTCCTTCACTTTTTTTTGTTTTTTACATGTTGAAAGAAGCTTTTTTTGTTATTTTTGACTTTGGTCGCAAGCCTTAGTTCATTTTGAGCCTTGGCTTTCTTCACTTCATCTTTGCAGGCTCGGGCTATTTGCTGATATTCTGACTTAGTTATGTTCCCCTCTTTCCACTTTCTATACTTGTCCTTTTTATCTTTCAATTTGTCAGAGAGTTCTTTATGCAGCCATGCTGGTTTCTTTTGAGAGCTGTTATTTTTCCTCTTTGTTGGTATTGTGCTAGACTGTGCTTTTATTATCTCATTTTTCAAAATTTCCCAAGCTTCTTGAGTTGTTTTCCCCTTGAGGATTCTCATCCATGGAATCCTTCCCAAGCCCTCTCTAAGTTTATTGAAATTAGCTCTCTTGAAGTCCAAGACTCTAGTTTGACTGTGTTCTATTGGTTGTGCTTCTATAATGTTGAATTCTAATATTGCATGATCACTTCCTCCCAGGGTTCCTATGGCTTCAACACCATCTATCATTTCATCTCTGTTAGTGAGAATTAGATCCAAAATGGCTAATCCCCTAGTTCCATTCTCTACTTTTTGGGAGACAAAGTTGTCTGCTAGGTTTGCCAGGAACCTGTTTGATCTTCCACTTGGTGCGGAGTTTGTCTCCCAGTTGATGTCAGGGTAGTTAAAGTCCCCCATTACTATTGTGATGTGCTTCCTACATACCTTAGTTAGCTGACTAGCAAAAAGTTCATCTATTTCCTCTGTTTGGTTGGGTGGTCTGTAGTATACACCTATGGCAATGTCATTTCCCCCCCCTTTTATATTGACCCAAATGCATTCAAGACAGTTTTTATCATTGTTGTACTCTATTTCTGTGGAGATGTAGTTATTTCTTATATAGAGAGCAACTCCACCTCCTCTTTTATTTGGTCTGTTTCTTTTAAATAATTTAAATCCCTCTAGCTGTGTGTTCCATGTGTGAGTTTCATCCCACCATGTTTCCGTAATGGCAACAATATCGTATCTGCCCTCATTAACCTGAATTTCTAGTTCACCCTGTTTGCTGTTCATACTCTGTGCATTGGTGTATAAACATTTGAGTCCTTTGTGGGTGGCCCTGTGTTTCCTTTCTACATAACCTGTGTGGTGCCTGAGTTCCCCTATTGTCTTATTTAATTTAATTTAAAAGATATCATGTAAAATATGGGCAAATTTTCTGCAGTGATATTCAGGCTTATGGGGTGTGCCATGGGCTATACTTTTTATTGATTATTATGTGCCATCATGTTGGTTTCAAGTCTTAGCAACCACGTAGATACTGTATATCTTCTTCAGAATGATCTGTCCCCAACCTAGTCTTTCAGATACAACATGCAACAATTGTTCACATACAACAATCACTGCTGTTACTGAGCTTTCATTCCCCAATCCACCTCTTCCTGTATTTTGCTATTCTTAAAGCTTGTCTTGGGGGTCCCCAGCCTACGGAGCAGATTGAATTTCTGCAGGGAAGAAACAGAATTACACCTCTAATATGTTTCACTCATAGAAGTACACCACTAAATTCCACTTTAAGTAACCTTACATTCCTTTCATGAATGTTGTTTCTACAGGTGCTTTAGGAACAGGATCTCTTCTAACATGGAAGCTCAGTGGAATCTTTGAGGAAGGAGAACTACAAAATCCATCTTTTTCTTCCCCAGAAAAATATGGAACATTTTAACTGAAGTTTATCTCTGCCATTTTTTAAAAAATAGGCAGAAGCTGCAATTAATTTCCTCAAAACTAACTTCATAGCATCCTTATCAACATGAATGCAATGCTAAATGTAACGTATTTTGTAGATACTCAGATACTCCGTGTGATAAATATTTTTGTTGCTTAGTTGTAAGTCAAGTCCATGTATTACATGTTCAAATGTGGCAAAAGTTCTAAGTTCCAACAGCAGTGACATATGATGGGTCCTTGCACTTACAACAGTTGTAGCATCCTACAGTCATGTGTTTGCCATTTGCAATCTTCCCAGCTATCATCTAATCAGCAAAGTCAATGGGGAAGCCAGCAGGAGTTGGCAAATGTCACACAAAGCATAATGACTATTCGAATTTAAAGATTTATTTTTTAAGGAATCTGACTGTAAATATCAAGCTACTTTTAGGAAGAAATATGTTTGCTGTTATCGTTAAATATATAAGTTCCATAGAATAGAGACACTGAAACATAAATATGATTGTTAGTTCTGTATAAGACTTATCTTCCTATCTATGGGAGCATTTAGCTTTAAACTGCTCTTTAGAAGGCCAGATCCTAAAGTTGAAACTCGAATACTTTGGCCACCTAATGAGAAGGAAGGACTCACTGGAGAAGAGCCTAATGCTGGGAAAGATTGAGGGCAATAGAAGAAGGGGACGACAGAGAATGAGATGGCTGGATGGAGTCACTGAAGCAGTAGGTGTGAACTTAAATGGGCTCCAGAAGATGGTAGAGGACAGGAAGACCTGGAGGAATGTTGTCCATGGGGTCGCGATGGGTCGGACACGACTTCGCAATTAACAACAACAACAAGCTTTAAACTAAATAACTGCACAATCAAAATTAGGCTTCAAAATACTTTATATATTTGATGCAAGTTGGCAGTAGTACATGAGTGCCGATTCACAAGACATAGCCTGGCTGCAATGGAAAGCCATGCCTTAGATGATCAACATCAGTTTCACCAGTTTTAAAGAAGCTCAGATCTAATGAAATGGACCTTCTCCCTTAACTACACAATTGGCATGACCAAAGTCACAATTACCTTCAAACAGAGGAGCATGGAATGAGAGCTATAAGTGGCAGGGTTTTACAATGGTTTAGCATTGCCTTCTTCCTTATGCTCTCGCAGATGGTCTCCTTCAATGCTCAAGTGTATTTCTGCTCTGGGTACAATCTATGTACTCTGAACCATCTTCTTTTCTATGCACAATTAGGTATTACAGCTTGTCTAAGCAGTAAAATGGCAATTGCTTTCTAAAGATGTTTACCTCTCAGAGCCTATCTCTCTATTACTGGATATTCTCTACTGTCAAGTAAAAAATTATTCTTGTGTTATTTGTATATGCTGTTGCTACATTTGGGGTTACATTAAGAAAATATCGATACCCCTTTGCTGCATTTTAGTGGTTGCCCTGATTTAATAGCCCTAGTTTGCTGCATGAGTAAGAAGTTGGGTTTGGTGTGTTCCCACTGCAGATGTAAGATACAACCAAGATGTCTCTTATGGGACACATTTAGAGGTACAGTACCCTGCTTCATATTTATCAAGCACCCATGGTGGCTATGTACTTACAATTCCTTATTAATGTTCATTTTTGGTTGGCTGGTTTGTTTCAGAGCTATTTTTTGTGTGTTTATACATACCAGTTTCTACTCAAATGGCAGAAGTAATGTTTACATTTTAAATATGAATTAATTGTTCCCGAGTATATTTTATCATGGGCCAGTATTAATCATAGAATATTTGGAGAATATTTTGTATTTCAATAAAATCATTAAATATATTTGTGTATCTCTAGTTAAATAATTTTTTCTGCATCATCTGACAAAGATGTCTCCTATTTTTCCATCTGACGTGGTTATTTAGAAGAATGTATGTTTTTTAGATATTGTAGCAATATAGAAATATTTTAGAACTTAATATGATGCTGGCTTTATTTTTTTTCAAATCACATTTCTCAATATAGCTAAGCAAATAACTACTAACTTTATTCATTTGTTAAATATTGTTTACATCATAACCAACTTCAGTGGCATTGTAGGAAAAGTGCATTAGAACTTGAGAAAAAAATTCTAAAAGAAAAATGTCAATCCCTCCATCATTCCAATTTTCATTGTCCTTATTATTTTAAAGATTTGAAACAGTTTTTCAAAGCCATATTAATAGCATTTTCTACTTATTTGCTATAATTGGTATATTATTCTGGAAAAAAAGCAAATCTAAGTGTCAAAATTTCCCAAGGAGTCCCATTCTTTTTAAAATAAAGATTGCAGAAAGATCAACAGAGTGAATTTATTTTGCTATAATTTGCAGTGCACAATCAAAGTTATTTGACAAAGTACTTGGAACAGTGTAGTAGGAAATAAGCCAGAGATGAAAGAGATACAATTACAGATGAGGAGAACATTTCCAAAGTAATATTAAGAATCTTGTGCTTTTCAGGGAACTGCTAGTTGTATGCAGACTTATAATTGCATGCAATATTTAACTGCATGCTGCTGGTCAACATATGTTTCAATGAATCCATAAGGGAATAGAAGCTGACACAATCTCTACATTGTACAAAATTAACCCTGACATATTTTTGCATATTTGAATGTATACCTAAGTATTTTGTGCCATTTACCAAATGAAAATAAGAAAACTATTAATATGGCAGATGCAGAAATTGGGCATCATTCTAACTGGTTCGGTGCTACTTTTTAAAAAACTGTAAAGTTGTTAATTGCATAACCAGAAGGTGGTTAACTTGTCAGGTGTATTGTACATTTAGCCAGGAGACACCGATTCCACAGGTGAAAATATTCTGACTTTTCTAGCCAGTTGGGTTATAAATGTTCTATTTTTTTTTTACCAACTAAGGGCTCTATGCAGGGATCTGAGTATGTGCAAATGAAGATAATTCACATTACAATGAAGAGGAAGATTATACCAAAATCTCTAAGTGCTTCCAGATAATGATTCTCAGCTAAAAACACTGTTAAGATACAGAAGTTATATGAAATTGTTGATGTCAAGGTGAGAACTGAAAGCCCAAGCAAAATCTCTGCCAGAGCTATCTGAAAATTGTTCAGATCTGCACTGAATCCACAATCACAGGAAATAACTTAAGAATTATTTCAGAATTTATTTTATGCATACACAATTAGCAAAATAATCTTTAATCTCAAAATAAAAAATTAGAAAAGAGCCAAACCCAGACTAGGAAAAGAAAGGGGGGGAAAGGAAGAAAATCTACCGTATGTTATACTTATCAACAATCACTGGTTTAATACCTGCTGACAGGTATAGCTGTCTCAGGAACAGCTGCCTATATAACGGCGCTGAATATACAATGGTTATCGGCATGGGAGAATTGTCAGAAGGAAGACCTTTTTACAAAAGTCACCATCTCACAAACCAAAAAAAAAACCTTGATAAGCCTAAGGTATTTTCAAATAAAATGCTTTGAACTGATGAATACGTAACTAGTCAGCCATAACAACATGGGATGAATTTGGACAAAGATGGTGAAGCATTTGAAGAAAAGAACACATTGTCGACACAGGAATGGCTCTATTATATTTTGGAGTTGTGTGGCAGGCGGAAAGAAAAAATGGATTCAGGTAAATGTCAAAGAATTTATAAAGTGAATATCCTACAGTCAGTTAGATATTTCAGCAAGGTAATTGCCTAAAACTATCTCCAAATCAGGCATGATCTCTTGAAGGGAAAAAAAGGGGAGATGGTCCCCAGAACTGAATGATATTGACAATCAATCATGTAACACATAAGAAATATAGAGTAGGAAAAACACTCAAAAAACAAGACTAGACAAACTCTTAGCTATTTGGAAACTATTCTGACAAAGGTGAAGCTACAATTACTGATTAAAAAGATGCCCAAGCTTTTCCTTATTTTGACTTGATAAACCTTTTGCACATAAATATTTAATTTCTACAAACTGAATTTTGTAGAAAGTACAAAGCATTTAACTTTGTACTATGTAGAAGTTATCTCAGCTTCTGTTCATGTAGTACACTGAAATATTAAATTTGATGAGTAGTACCTAAACTTTTGCATGATACTCTGTGTACTTGGTCATGGAACTAGGATTGCTATTTTCTGAGATTTAGAGTAGATTGATGTATGTATATGCCTCATTTAGCAAATGCACGCAGATGTGATGGCCAGCAGAGGTAGAATAGCCATCACCCAAGACTCACTGTACTTTGAAACCACATCATAGCTGCACAAATGATCTGGAGGTGTACCTACTTTTGTATCTTAGGGCTTTCACATGAAAAAGGTCACAAATATGCAGGAGGCAATAAGTCTCTTTTTTCTGTTGAGGAACTGGCATTTTCATTCAGCTTTATGCTGAAATTTCTGGCCAGATGTTGGGGGCAAAAAAGAGATGCTGTATACATCTGCCAAACTTGTTAATGCAGTGTGTATTTGAAGGAACTCCAACCAGGTCAATTGGAAGTAATGACAGCTGTTAAATAAATATTATATAAAAAACAATGTCATCTCTTTTTAAATTCAATTCCTCTTTTAACAGGAATTTAGAAAATTTGCATCGAGGTGCCAACTTCTTGCCAACTATTATCCCACTATACTAACCAAGTGATATAGTAACTGCAGACACATCTAGGACAATCAAATTAATCCAAAATATTAAAGAAATGTTTTAAAATGTGATCATCTGTTTTAGCCTTAGCTATGATTGAGGCACTCTACGCAGTCTATTGTTTTACAAGACAGTACAACTGTAGAGGGCTCTGGGTTTGGCTACAGCAGCAACACTAAGCAGCTTTTCCTTATTATCTCCCTCTTTGAAAACTTCTTTTCCAATCAATATTTCTCCATGCTGCAGTTCCACATCTAAAGGATATTGTCATTCTTAATTAGAAGCAAAACAGTTGGGACTGGCAATGGAGCATAGTATCCATGCAAGAAGTGAAACAACTTCTTCTCTTAATTGCTATTCTGAAAAATACCTTACCCTCATATTTCAGCATAAAACACTACCGATGTCCTGCAATGCCTTTAACCTCCCACTGAAACCAAAGGAACAAATGAACCAAGGCAAGAAACTGGGTTTGATCGGTGATGAACATATCATATGTACTGTAAGTCAAGTCCTTCAAGTCCAGCTCAGCTTTTGGTGGCAGTGTGTAATTTTTGTAGCAGCAATATGGAAGTGGTTTGCCATCACTGTCTCTTTTCTCCCACCTTCCTAGTTCTGGTATTCCCTAGTTCCCATCCAGTATTAATTAGGTTTTATCCTGATTAGATGGTTGAGATCAACCAAAGTCAACTAGACCTTGCCACCAAGCTGCGTATATATGTTTTTTACCTCTGAATTTTCTAGTACACTATGAAAGTTAACATCGGATACCTTGGTGGATGGAGAAATCTTTATGGATTTAACATATGAATATTTTTTTTCTATAACAAATCTAAACAAAGCTTTTACTATGGGATTCTACAAATCTACAACCTTTGGAGGCTTTTCATAAGACCTGCTAGAAGTTCTTCGGTGACAAGCCTGATGCTTTGAAGAAGAGAGAGACAGAAAAGAGCAAGATTGTGACAGGGCAAGCGATGCATGTTCCTTCCATTCGCAACTGCTCATCAAGCAGCACTTTCACAAACTGTAGAAAGCACAACTTAAATGCAGAAAATGGTAGGTAAGTAGACTGATGTTCAATAAGGTTTAATTTCAAAACAGGGAAGAAAAATCACAAATGCAATCCAATTTCAGCAAACAGGGACGATTTTGAAAACTATCCAGCCACACACACTCGTCTTCTGCCCTTGAGCAGACCTTTTCACCCTAATGATTGTGTATTTAATGGAACATAATCTTATATTCTGCCACATGATCGGAGGCTTTTGTGGGCAGACACAGGGGCTTCTAGGGTCAAACCCAAAAGATACAAATATCCACTTGGATTCAAAGGCCCCTAAGTGGATTTACACTCATCACTTGGCTTGCATTCCTTTTTTTACTTTCTTCTGTCACCTATATTATCAGTAAAAGTTATTATTGATAGCGAGAGTGCCTGTGGAATGGAAAGGAGCAGAAATCCTTACTGCAAGCTAAAGAGCTTTTCATTGGTGAAATGTATTTGTGGTTTTGACAAATCTGATCTTATTGATCATCTTGATGATGTAGACCAGCGGCCCCCAACCTTTTGGGCACCAGGGACTGGTTCTGTGGAGATAGGTTTTTCCACAGACCAGAGGGGGCATGGTTTTGTGTGCTGCCTGCATTCCATGAATGGGTTTCATTTGGTTGTGTGGCTTGGTTTCTGGCATGCCACGGCCCGGTGCCAGTCCACGGCCCGGGGGTTGGGGACCCCCAGGGGAGACAACAGACTGAGTTTAGCCTAAAGCTGTCAAAGCTGCCTACATTTGGACTGGTGCATTTGGATCTGAAAATGATATTTACACATGTGAATACATAAACTGACGATCTCAACAATCTTAAACATAGTAAGAATATTACTTAGATTTATGAAGATGCCTTTTTTATGCCCAATCTGGTCAAAACTTAGCAGCCAATGTAAACTCAGCTCATTCTTCTTTTTAAATTCTTATTTGAAGATTTAAAAGTCAGAGCTGAGAAATGCAATTACTCTAATAAAGGAAAGAAAGTTTCTCCAAATGTGGTCTGCACTTTTTTATTATTATTAGGTGACATTTCTTAATTTCTCCAAAGATCCCAAAACAATGATAACGCCAAGATTTGTTATGCTGACACTAGGTTATTTTGCAACATCAACCAAAGGCAATTTTAAAATTGTCTGAAAGAAATAATTGCTGTAAGTATTTTAATTACTGTTAAGGAAACCCTGCCAAAAAGAAAAGAAGAAAAGCCCACAAAAGCTGAACTTGGGAGATTAGCAATGAGAAAAGATCTATTAGATTAGGAGAAAAAACAACTTGAACACTCTGAAGTTAAGCCATTTGAAGCAGCATGATGTAAGGAGAAATGCCTGGGCTCTGCCATTTTGTCAGAAGCCAGAAAGACTCCACTTAATCCATATTCATTTCAGTGAAGCATAGAAAGACAACACTGTCCAGCTCCTCACACTCAAATTCAACTATGCTGGCATAATACATGTAGTTCATTTCTTTGATGGTTGCAGCCATGAATACCTGCAGATATATATTGAACCATCTCTGTGAATTACATTTCACTATGACTGAGAAAGGATTCCCAATACAGTTGTGACAAAAAAATTAAACATGAATTGTCTGAAGGAACCTGTTTTGTAAAAAAGAAAGCAGTTTAAAAAAGAAGACAAGCACACACATGCACAACTGCTTAAAAGTGCATCAAACTGTTTCAGTTCTGAATTGCTAAAGCACTTCAGGCTCAACTTTTTCTATATTCGGTATAGGACACTCAGCGATCTACCTTAAGACACATTTTCCCAAAATGCTTGTTTGCAAGCGATGTTGAAGTGTTATATTTCACCTTTATAGGAGTCTACTTTAACTTCTGTACATTAAATGTTAAGAATATTAAGGCCTCACAGTTCTAGTTAGCCTAGTGTAAAGAAAACACTGCATCTTCTACCTTGTGAAAACTCATTTTCCAGATAGTAGCTGGGAAGTGTGTTACAGAAGATAAAAGGCCATTTTGGGTAGTTCTAAACTAATGTTGGTAATGTGCTATGCTACATCAAGGATGGGGGTTTCTAGTTCTCCAACCACTGCTTGACTTTTACCGCATAGCACTAATTATATTAGCTGGGGTTGACATATGTTGGAATTCAGCACATCAGGAAAGAGATATAGATTTACCAGTTCTGCTCTATATTACAATATTATTGGTATTACCATATGCTGGCCCAAAGCAAACAACATAGCTGACTGAAAGAAAAAAAAATGAGATCTTGAGAACGAATGAGCTCACTGCACAAATTAAGACGTCAAAAGTACAAACTAAAAATTGACACATTAATAAAATCGGTTTATATTAAACATCTCTACATGATTATGGAATGTTAAAAGTTCCTTTGTACTCAGAAGGTGCAAAATAACTATTTATTTCAATAAGTTCTGCAGCATAGCAGTTGCATAAGTCGGCCGAGCTTGTTTGCTCTCAATTGCATTTTGAAGATACTGGATTCCACCACAGCGTTCCCAAATCTCTTCAAACTGCCGTGGCAAAATTTCAGCACCCCGCTTACGAGTCAGCCCAGTTTCTTCAAGATTCAGCTCACACATCTCCATGTCATCCTTGCCTGGAATGAAGGAAACCCCAGATTTTACAAAAGTTATAATGCAAGCCTTCCACTTTTAGTTTTGGACACATGGAAAATTGAGAACAAAACTATAACAAGCACTAGCTTCTTTCCTAAACTTATTGCCTTTAGAAGAGGAAACCAACAACTCTCCAAATTCTTGTAATTCAGCTTATTTAATGCTCCAATCACCTGTATCTCAAATACTAGAAATCTTTGAGACCCATAATGCAAGAGGAAACGTGGATTGACAAAATAAGTTGTAACCTAAAAATCAACTTTGCATCACAACCAGTTTTGACAGCAGAAAATAATAATCTACACAGATGAACATGCATTTCATATCAAGAAAGTCACTGATTTCATATTTTTATCATGTTTTACATTTATAACATATACATTTCTAAGAGTAATTTTGGAGTATCAAAACCCAATAAACAAACAAATGTTAATATACTGCTTGCTACTTCTCTCAAGGGACAAGCTGGCAAATTCACTTTTTGATTTATGTATTTATTAAATTTATGTGCCATTTATTTTGTTTATTTTTCAGATTCTTCTGAAAGTGAAGACAATCTTTTTAAATAAACAATATGCTGCTTTGCACTGTAATTCAAATTTACCTTTAGTACATCTTGTCAATAAACAAAGCCTACCTTTCCAACTTCATTTTTAAAAAAGAAAATGAAACACATACTAACCAGCCACTAGCAAAATGGGTTGCTTATCAGGATGAAGTTCCATTTGACGAGCAATCCATGGTCCATCAAAGTGAGCATACCACCAGCCTTTTTTCTTATTCTGAGGATCCTTGTATTGATCTGCTGGACGGATGAAAGGAATTCTGAAATATCGCTGTTGCCGGTTCATTTCGATCTCCTGCTGCTGTCTAACAGACTGATTTACTGGGTTCTGCTGAGCTGTAAGGAATAACTACAGTTAAAAATTGTAGCCAAGATCAAAACCAGTCTTCACTACCATCACCTTTTTAAAAAATCTGTGCAGAAAAGTAAGACAAATTAGAAAATACTTTCTGTAAAGAGTAAACAGTGAAAAAAGATCTTGCATTGCCCACAACATTTTTTTTTTTTTTTTGAAGTAACATGGATTTCATTTCAGCCATGGAAACAAATGTTTCATGGATCCCAGCTGGGAAATCTATTTAATGAAGTTAAGTATGCTGGGCAAAAGAAGAAGGAATATTCCAAATTATTAAAAATACACTATAATCCCAATGGCAAATGTCCAATGAATACGTTTTTACAATTTTTTAATCATAAGCCACTCAGAATCATTGACTCAGATTGGTGGCTATGGAAATTGAATGAATGAATGAATGAATGAATGAATGAATGAATGAGTAACATAGTGCTGGAATACAATTCTCAAAGCATATTTTTTTGCAAAGTAAATTGTCTCCCAACCTGGGAGAAAAATAAAGTGATGAGAAAAAAGAATAAAGTATAGTTATAGATGGAGAAAAGAGGAGCACCTGAGTTATTTGCAGACTGTTAAGATTTTTAATTTAATAGCTAGAGCAATAAAGTATGTGATGGGCCAGAACACAGTTGTAGTTGATTGGTTGGAGAGTGCTGATTCCTGTATGAGGTAATCTGTGTTATGATTGGTTGCTGTGGGTGTAAAGGGGGAGTTTCCCTGTTTTCCCCATCTTTTTTTTCTCTGTGCTCTGTATGCTCTGTGATTTACCTGACGATTTATCTCATGTTAGTTAGTGTGTGCCTGACTATCTTGTCTGCTGTAAATATAAATATTAAATATATTTATTTATTAAAACTACAAGTTCATGTCAGCATCTCTGACTTCATTTGCACACCTGCTGCGCAATTCCCTGCACAGACTCACATTAAAAACAGAAAGAAGGGAATTTTCTGACTTTTCAGGTTTCAAATAGGAGATTTCAAATGCAAGGTTGTTGTGGACAATTGCAGAGAAAACAGTTCAGTTATTCATGAGAGTACACTTTTCTTTCTATTCCAGTTTATGGAAGGAATTAACAGTGAATAGTTTAACTATGAGCGAAATAATTATAAATAATACATCTGGTTTTGGATTTTAGTTGAATAAAGAGGGATGAAGCTACAGTCACATCAAATGTGTTTATTTGCTCTCCTTATTTCAAGATAAGCTGTTGACTACTGGAAAAGAAAAAAATGTTCAAAATATTGTGTTTATATATACTAAAGTACCATTTGTTTATCCTGCTATAAAAGGCAATATCTGTTAAAATATTTCTCATCGTTAGTATCAGTGGATATTAAAGCAGCTCATCCTGAGAAGAAAATGGGCAAAAAAGACCTTTTTCATATTAACCAGCCTTCAGTCATAATTATGTATCATTTGACATCACGAATCTAAGCAATATCCCACATACTTTTATTTGTTTAAAAAAATGGATCGGTTTTCAATTGATGAATCAATTTGCCAGGCAATTCAACATTTTCAATACATCCTCTGGCCGCATTCTGCAGTTAATGGAGACTGATTACCCACCGTCTGAATTAACATATAGGACGGTGTCCATCTTGAGCTCTTTGCTTGGTATGTAGAGGTCTTTTTTCCTCATTCTTATGAACAGTTGCCCTCACCCAAAAGATAATCAACATGGTAAAGAAAAGCCCTTTCCTCATAACAAAGGCAATTATTTTCTCTCCCTAAAACAAGCTCCTAAGTGTTAGGTTTTGTTCCAAATGTTAGTTGATTAGTACCAATTTCAATGTTTTGCTACAAGGGAAAATATTTTCTCTTGGCAGAAGAAAGGAGTTAAAATTAAACCTGTATACATATTTTTTTTGAAATAAATTATTCATTTCTGTAAATAACGCCAAAATTCTTAAAAGAGCGTGAACATTCCTGCTGTCCAATGTCTTTACCAACAATTCTTTAATTATATTTAAAACAGACCATATGAATGCTTCTAAAGAAGAAATATAACTGTAGCAAAACACAATTATGGTGTTATTATTAGTAAAATGGCTTCTGTTCCCCACCCCCCTTTTTTTCAAATTAGATGAAATAATCCTCCCACTTACTTGAGTTGTTCAAAAATGGTGCAAAATCTGAAAACAAAATTTAATACTGAGCATGCGAGAGAAAACAAGTCCATTGATCAATGGGGGAAAACTCCTTTTTGGGGTGTCCTATAAGTTGTGTCTTGATGGCCATGACCAGCCACAAGAGCTCTGTTTTTAGCTGAATGGATGCAAAGCACAAAAACAGCTTTGCAAACAGGGCTTCCAATATTTTGTTAGTATCAAATATGCAAGGGCATAATAATTCCATCATTTATATACAATTCCATCATAAACTGCAACCTAAAACATGTAATGCCACGTAGGAAAAACTACAAAGGAAGACCATAACTTTAATAACTTATTTCTGGCCGCCTAAGGTGGTCTCTCGTTATCTCAAGGGCTATTCAATATGATGACTATATATTACATCGATTATAGAATCTATATACCTTGAAATAGCTAGTAGTTCTTAAGAAACACAAGGGAAAATGTGTTATTTGCTCCTGCCTTGCTTACAGACTTCCTACATAGAATGCTGGATCAGATCAACCTTGGATTTTTTCAACAGAAACGGCCCAAATCCATTCCTCAGAATTCATGGTTCCCATTCTCCCAATATTCAATCTCAGAATCTAAGCAATCTAGTCTAGCTGCTTGATATAATTCTCAGCTCCCCAAAATCTCACTCTATTTCAGCAACATGCACAACAAAGGTCAAATCATTTCTTGAGAAAAGTCCATTTGGCTACCCCATGTACTATCTGATACAAGTCACATGGTTCCTTAATTTGGTTTGCTGAAATAGCACAAACCTTTTCAATGGTTCCTGACAAATGTTATGGCCCATCTGACTTTTAGTTAAACTATTGTGATAAGACGAAATTAAGAATCACCCAGCTTGTTAGCAAAACAAAGCTACAAACATCTGGATGGTTCTTAGTTCAGCACCAATTACTCCTAAATTAGCAATATACTACTATACTCCTTTCTAAATAGCAATACTCTATTACTAGCTTCCTTCAATAATCCATCATATTTAGCCTGGCCTTTCATCTCTCTCCTAAAACTGAAACTATCTCAACTTGCAATAGCATACAATGCTATTGGATTAGGATGCTGCCCATGAGAACAATTTAGTCAATGCGGTAAAAACAAGCTTCTCAATATTCTCTAGGCACTTTTGCTCACAAGGCTATTTCCCCTCCACAGACACACTTTTTTTTTAGGGGGGGGGAGGAAAAGAGGGATTAAATTAAGATTTTCTCTTACCATAATCAGTCACTGATTTGGGAGCCCGCTGTACCATTTCAGCATTACGTTTCTTGTTTTTGGCCTTCCAAGCATGATAAACCTTAAGCCGTCTATGAAACTCTTCTCTGCAAGCTGCCAGCAATTCAATATCTTTGATCCAGGAAAAGCACCAGGGATGGAATAAGTGAGAAACAAGTGAGAAAAGCAGATAGATGAATATGTTTATGAATTTGTTGACATGGAAAAAAAATTAGTTCACAGCTCCTTATATTTACAATATGACACACATATATATACAGGTAACTTGTAAGGGGAAAAAGGAAGGAGTATTTTCTAAAGCTTACATTCATAAACTATCCATGTTGTTATTTTCAAATATATCTAATTATTCTGCTATTTGCCAGGCTCTTTTAGAGATCAAGAAAAACCAAGGCCCCTTTCAGCTTTTGAGGCTCCAGCTCATAATGATAATGTTTGTTTGTATCTGACACATATTTTACTTTGTTGAAGTAAAGGAGTATACCCACACACCCCTCTGTTGTCTAAATTTTGGATTCCCTTTGAGCGTGAGATTCAGCCCAATTGGTCCACCCCTTCCTACTGGATTGACATATATGTGTGGAAAAGAGGGCTTAGGTACAGAGAGCATAGCCATTAGATCCCTATCCAACTGAACTTGCATTAAGTTACATGGTGCAGAGAAAGCTGCAGCCTCAGAAGTCGGAAAAATCAAACAAAAGTGTGTGCTTTCTGATTTTCTATAACCCCCCCCCACACACACACACATCGTGCCAAGCTCTGAAATAGACAATACCGAAATATCAGGATTTGGGGGCTCTCAATTTCAACCTGATTAATGGGGCAATTTGGCAGTCTCTCTCTCTTTCCCTGAGTCTTTGAGTCAGTCTTGGAGATTGCATGGACAAGTGTTTTTAGCAACAGTTTTGGAAGTGGTTTGTTATAGTGTTTTTCCTAGGACTGATGGAAAGTAACTGACTCAAGGTCATCCAGCTGGCTTTGTGTCCAAGGTGGGACTAGAATTCATGGTCTCACAGTTTCTACCCAGGTGCATTTATTACACTAAAATGGCTCTCAGTGAGGCAATATATCTACTTTTCTAACTGCTGCCTATTTAGGAGCTTTGTCTGCAAAATGTCCACTGTATAATCCCCACCATCTGCAAGGAAGGATGGAAAGCTACTGCCAGACAGCTTGATAATACTGGCTAGAAAAACTAATGGATTAACTACATATAAGGCATATCCCTATCTTTCCCTAACTAGGAGATTTAATATCACATCCAATTTAGTATCAGCATGTTTTTCTTTTTTCTTTTTTTTAAAAAAAGGATATGAGGGTGGATCCTAGCTTGGGGAAAAAGAAGACTTCAATGCTTTTAATTGGCTTCTTGGTTAATCAGGATCTGTCAATCCTGAGTTTGCTAGAAACAACTCTGCACAAGCGAGGAACATCTGATACAAGCCACATAGGTAGAATACAGCCTTCCAGGTGCTTACCTCCAACACTCCCAGTGACATTTGAAAGAGTGAAAGCTTTTAGGTCCATGAGTTGCACCTAAAGTTGGTACTCAACTCTAAATATAAATGGTTGATATTGACAATAGACCAAGCAAACTATTTAAAAGTCATTAGCAATAATCATTTTAGATTAAGTTTAAATGTAATGACTTTGCATTATATTCAGTTAATTAACCCTGCTGGTTCTTACAGGTAGCTTAATTTTTAATGCTTCACCCTTTCTTTTCTTTTGACATAGGGAGCTGTTTGAAATAACTTTGCTCAAGGCATTTTCTCCTTTAAAGCTGAATAAAGAATTATTTCGTGATCCAAGGCCTTGATTTTTCTTTTCTCTCTCTTTTTTTTTTTTTTTTTTGAGTCGTATCAAGGACTTCATTATATACTCAGGCTTTCGAACTTCTATGAGAGAAAAGAAATCCAAATATTGATGTGTCCTGTATTCCAAACAGGACCACACTCACCACAAGAGGTATTGATTGTATCTCGCAGGTCTGCATACTTCCACTTGCTAAGGTCATGCTTTTTAATGCCAGCTGCAGCTTTGGTAGCTTGGACTGAAGGTCCCCTAAACACATCCAAAGAAACAAAAAATACGGAAATATTCAAGAAAGAAACAAGTGAGCTCAATAATGCAAAGAGGAAAGGAGGAGTCATCAAAAAAGATAGGTGCGAAGATTGGTAAGATCCATGACATCCTTCTTAGGCATACTTACTTAAGAGAAAAGGAAATTTAGATTGTAAATTACTAATTTACAAACTAATTATAAATGCCATCTGAAACAACTCAATTGTTTTAAAACAGTTTTCAAAAAACCAAATGGACACATTATGTAAAGACCTAGTTGTCTGTGTGCAAGGGTCTAATGCTGGGGAATTAAGAATTCCAAATTTGGGGATGCTTGATAATGCATATGAGTTTTTTAAAAAAGAAAAAGAACAGAATGATTCTGCCTAGAGCAAAATAATGGCAAAACTTTATCAAAAAGTAATTCCTATTCATGCAATTCATAAATATAATACTGAATTAGAAAGAAAATTGGTACTAAAGAGGTGCAGTGAATGAATCTTGATTAGATTATATAATATTAGTATACATACATACATACATACATATATATATATATATATATATATATATATATATATATATATATATATAAAATTAAATGGAATTTATAAATTAATTGTCTTTTAATTTATCTTATAGTTATTGCATTTGGTGATTAGACTGATTTCTTTCTGGCAATCTGTTACACCCACCTAGATAAGCATTCTGACATTTCTATAGCCATTTGTTCCCTATAAAAACATGAGGAATGTATGTTAGGGAGTTAGGATACAAGATTTAATGCATTATTTTAACAATATTAACTGATACATATTATAATAAATAGTCTGAATTAACCAGTTCTTTGTACATATAACCTTTCAGGTACGCAATATTTAAATCACAGGAACTTGCACCTACATATAATTGATCTGATTGACTGATATTCAAATGGAGTGTATTGGTTGCATGCTCAAATCGTGATTAATTAGGAAAAATTAAAGTGAATTATTTTGCAAATTGCTTTTAAAGTGAACATTAGAATAATTTTCCCCTCCCGCTCTCAATTTTTATAGAATGTCCCAAAAAGGAAAAAAGTTTTCATACGCAGTCATTTGACTCCTTGTTCCACTGAGTCTGAGAACAGAACGTATTTCGATTAGTCTGAAGCTCTCCTAAATTGGACAATGATCTACTACATTACAAGATCATCCTGGATACAAAATGATGTTCTTACAAGATCACCAGAAATCTGATTTCAACAAGTGATCTTATTTATTTAGGTTGTTAAGTGATAGATGCATTGACTTTTCCTTTCTCTCACCACAATCATCCCATAAGGTACTTCACACTGTAAGAAGGGGATTGGCTTGAAGACTCACCATGAACATCGCAGAATAGAGGCACTAGGAATCCATCTCGTTTCAATCCCAAGCTATGGCTTCCATCAAACAAAACTCGATGGTGAAATTGTACTCAAACCCAACAGAAAAATAAATACCTATATAAACATATCTGCTTAAAAAGAAGCTGCTTCTTAGGCCAAGTGTTTGGGAGAACATGCAGGAAACTAGGAAATAACGCATGTGCTCATAGGGTTTATTCCAGGCAGGCAGGAAGGGAGAGAGGAAGAAGGAAGGGAGGGAAAACATTCCCCGAACAAGAAAATGTTGTCTCATTTTTGATATGACACTGATCTGTCTTTTAATGCTGCAAGCATAACAAGAATAATAAATAAGGCAGTCTAAACGTTAGATAGCTTTCCACACTAATAAAGAATGTGATCTGTTTGGTATTTGATATGCGTGTTGGGTGAATCCAGCCAAACATGATTTAATTCAACAAACAAGCCTCTTCCAAACTTGATGTATGAATCCCAGTATTAATTCTGCTCAAAGAGCAATTTATGAGGCGCTAAAGTGGAATTAAACCACACCAATATGGGTCAATATGGAAAATTCTCAAATGACAAATCCTTCCATTGCTTGTAGCACTGTATTGAAGGATACCATTTGACCAAAGGTCTCCAAACTTGGCAACTATAAGACTCGTGGATTTCAACTTCCAGAATTCTCAGAAAGTTGCCAAGTTCTGAGATCCCTCATTGAGACTGAACTGGGATGGAGAGGCATAGCAAAATTCTTAAAAGAATTTTTACTTTTTTCCTCTTTCCACAAAGTTCAGAAACTGTTTTCTGAACTATGCTCCCAAATCTTTGAAAGAGATAGCTAGTACAGATGCCTAAGCAACATCTGTTATAGCAGCTTTCCCATATTGGCACCCTCCAGATTTTCTGGAACTCAAAACACAATATCCACAATTGCTTGCAGCAATGGCTAAAAGCTATCCTTGTTGGGAATCAGAGGAGCTGCTGGCAGAAGATTGAGGAAGGCTGTGGTGTAGAGTAGCCTCCAGGTTATGAGTGTTCAAAAACACGAAGACATGCAGCATCACGTTTGCTTAATTTAATACAGTGTTCTCGTTATCATCATCACGATTATACAACTTATTATACAACTGCTTTTTCCAGCAGCATAACCGATAAAATACAATACCTGCGCAAACTTGGGTCCAGCTGAGCCTCATCATTGATGAGCTCAGCTTCACTTTGGGCAATTCGCAAAGCCAGCTCATGATCTCTACGCTCTTGCTCAAGGATGGTTTGCTGCTGACTCGCTTCTTCGCGTTCTCTGGCCAGCTGAACCTCAACTTCAGCCTGCAGAGCCATGAAAAAGATAATTTAACTGAAATATCTATTTTTTTTCCATTGGTAGACTGACTGTCTAGTGATGCTAGATCCAATATAGCACGCTAGAAGCCATGCAACTAGGATTTTTGGAACCTGTACTCTTGAGAATATCTTAAGAAATACCACTTTGTGGCTTGCAGCTACAATCTAGCCCAGTGGTTCTCAACCTGTGGGTCGGGACCCCATTTGGGGTCGAACGACCATTTCACGGGGGTCACCAAACAAGGCTGTCCACCATTTTTTTCCCCTTTTCTTTGGCCACACCCCTGGTACCTGGTGATGTATAAGTGATTGGAGGTCACCACAACATGGGGAACTGTATTATGGGGTCGCGGCATTAGAAAGGTTGAGAACCACTGATCTAGCCCAATTATGTACAAATGGTTACTGCTATTCAGTCGTAATTTATTATAACCACAGATGAAGTAAACTAGGATTCAAACAATCTTAAAAGGTAAAGTCTCCTTCAAGTCAATTTTAACTCCTTCATTAAAAAGGAAAAAAAAACTTCTTCATGAAAAAAAATCTGCCACTGTCTTCTGTTTTTTCTTTCATTTCGTACTGTAGCCTTGCATTCCTTGCAGTTCCTCTCCTCTCTGAATACCAACCTCAGACAAGTTGGCCAGGCACTGAGACCTATTTAGATAGGAGTCTCTTAGTTTACCCTAAGCTAATTTAATCCAAAAAATATAAAACTATAAGGAGTCCAGTCTGACTGATACTTAAAACTGCACTACAAACTATAAAATAGACTAACTGTATCAGAAACAGCACAACCTTGATTTCAAATTCAGGGGGGCACAGGCATGGATGGAGAAGAGATTATTCTGCATCATCCATAAACTATCAGATGGTCAATATCTCAAAATATTTTATCTTAAGTTGTAGCTTTTGTTAATACCGATTTTTTATTATATTTCTTATTTTGATTATTGCTATTGTATGTTGCCTACTACACTGTGTCTGAATATTTATTCAAACTGTAAAGTAGCATGCATTTAGCTGACTAAATAAATCTCTTGGCTCAAGATTTTTAATGTTTTCCTCTGTATTGGTCCGCCTCTGGAAGCTGATGAAAAGTAACACAGTTGTTAGCTAAATACTTTTTGGGAGCGGTAAGTGGACTCAGTAACTCAGCTCACTACTTTTGATTATAATTAAAATCCCTATGTCCACTGAGATAGATAAATAATCAGAGCTACTGAAAGATGAGAAAAAATAAATCCTTTAGTGCTGCAGTTCCTAGAGCTATGCTCAGAAAATTGTTTTCAATAAAGCAGATTTAAATTTACAGTTAGGAAGGAAGGAAGGAAGGAAGGAAGGAAGGAAGGAAGGAAGGAAGGAAGGAAGGAAGGAAGGAAGGAAGGAAGGAAGTTCAGAGACTGGAAGCCCTTTATATTAGGAAGGGCTAATATATATAGGAGACTAAGGTTTAGTAAATAGAAGCAAAATCTTAATGCAGGAATGAATTAGAACTGCATATTGAAAACCAAAATAAAGTCTTTGTTTAAAAAAAAAATAAAATGCTTGTGAAGTTATCATTTATCAGAGACTGGACAATCATTTGTCCGGAATGGTATAGGGCCTTCCACTTGAGCAGGGAATTGGACTACATGTCTTCCAAGATCCCTTCCAACTCTGTTATTCTGATAGCTTCTGATCATGGTATTGATAAAAATGCATGATATACTTCCAGAATTTTTATCTACATAATGAATCAAGGAAGAAGTACCATGAGATCTGAAGGGAGCTTGGACAACAGAATCTGTTGGGCTAATTCTCCCGTAGCCAATTCTCTTTCTGATCATCCTATCTGCTTTTACAGTTGGCAAAAGTGGCCAGAACAGCAACTTCCTTTTTGTTATTGTTGACTGGACTTGTAAAAGTATCATCTGGCAGACTAACCAATACTTCTGAAGCCATAACAGGAATAAGCAGTAGGCAGCTGAACCAATCAGGTGCTGCCATTGGGCAAAGGGGTGATCCTAACGCAACTTTGATAATCTCGCTGGGCACATACCCATCCATTCTCTACTTAAAAATTATCCTACACTGTCAACACATGTCTAAGGAATGTGATTATGCTGATTGTGGCATTACCTCAAGGCCATCTCAGACACTTGGCCTCAAAACATGCTTTGAGGTTAGTTTCAGAATGGCAGAATAAGGGAATTGTTTTTATTGTATTGAAAGACAGATTCATCCTAAGATGATATATTTAATTGACTTAAGTGGTAAAATTGTAGAGAATATTGTAGTGTTCTGCAGGCTCCTACTTCTAAAGTATGAGCTTTGTACATCTTATGGAAATTATGAAACTGACAGCTTAAAACTCAAGCAATGGTGTGCCAAAACACTTATGCTGATACAGTCTGAAAATTTCACTTGAACTTCCTTTTTCCAAGAGCAAATACATGAAGTTATCCTAGCAGTTTTCCTAGAATGATGAGTTGGCATCATAATTTATTCTGATCATGATATTACCATGTAATCTTTCTTTTTGCTATGGATGTTTTCTTATGCAGATCTCTGTTTTAGATTACTCAGTGTAGCATTCATCAAAAGAAAAGCTGACTAAATATGGCCTGGGAGAAAACTCTACAGAAAGGAACATCTGCTTTGCTACTGAGACTGGAAGGAAGTCTACAAAAAGGTTATTGCCCAGGCTTGGCAAAGCATGTTTTACAGATTTCTATACTAAGGCATACAGGACTGACATAACGAACAAAACTCCCTGGACAAGAAACAAACAGAAAATTAGGTTCAGTTCTTCAATTGTTGGCACTGTGTGTATTAATCATTAAGTATACACAAAAGGTATTGAATTCTGACCATTCCCATTTAGATTTTGTAATTCATAATCAATAACATATAATATAAAGGGATTGCCATGGTGGCACAGTGTTTAGAATGCAATAATGGAAGCTGACTCTGCCCATTACCAGGAGTTCGATCCTGACCAGCTAAAGGTTGACTCAGCCTTCCATCCTTCTAAGGTTAGTAAAATGAGGACCCAGATTGTTGAGGGCAATATGCTGACTCTGTAAACCGCTTAGAGAGGGCTGTAAAGCACTATGAAGTGGTATATAAGTCTAAGTGGTTTTGCTGTTGCTATTGCCACTTTCCACTCCCTCACAAATCAGCAGCAGAGAAGATTTCTCTGGAGTAAAATAGTTGGTGGCAGTATGTCTAGTTGGATCATCCCAAACGTTGTGGTGAGAATGCAACATGGTCATAGTAGGATGGTTTGAAGACCCCCTGGGCATCAGAAGAAGCCCAAGTCATCACATCCCATACATGTGCATAGCCCATTATATCTGTGGATCAAGGTATGGAAAATGCAGCACAATAAATTTCTATCCAGCCTCACCTGAATTCTTCTTTCTTCATCCTCTCTTTTTTTCCTTTCTTCTTCTTCCAGTTTTCTCTTTGCTTCAATCTCATATTTCCTAGGTAGGAAAAATTGAGAGCCCATTAGATACAGACAAACATTAAAACCCCTTCACTCACTTTCCAATAAATGTTTATTTTTTTCCCTTTGTAACAGAACTCTGTTTCTGCTTGGAAACAGCAGTCACTTCCAAAATATGGCATTTGTTTAAACAGTTGATGTTGGAGATGACCAGACTGAGCCTGAGAGAGGAGTCAAACGCATCATAAGTCACGAGTCCCTGCATGCCCGCAAGAGATCTAAGTCCAGCCCACCTTGAATGACTCTCTTATCTCCCACTCATTTCCCTTGACTGCTAGTTGCTCAGATTCTTGTAAAAGAGCTTAAGCTTGCAATAAATCTTTATACTCATTTGAACTGCTTGAATCTCCTGATTTCCCTGATGCTTGACATTTGCCTTTGCTTCTATCACTCTCCATCTAGATTATTTCATACTCACAGTCGCCTTTCTTCTTCTTCCTTCTTCCGACGTTGCTCCTCTTCCTCATGCCTTCTCCTTTCTTTCTCCATTTCTTCCTGGATGCGTCTCAATCTTTCGGCTTCCTCCTCTTGCTGCTTCTTTTTCTGAAGGGCACTCAAAAGTTTCTCAGAGCTTTTAACTAGGGCGTCATATTCCTTCTGAATCTGTTGTCTAGGCATTACAGTGGCCTGTAAAAGAAGTCGTAAAAAAATCACAATAATTTGCACATCTCCAGCAGAAAGAAAATGCATCACAGCAAGAATACGGGAACTATGTCCATCCATCAAAGCTGCAAAATGGATGTGTTAGATTTTCCTAAGCTTTCCCCACCTATTTTGATTGGATAAACCTTATACTTCAAACCACAAGCAGCCCCCCTGGTATAGTGCAGATTGTTATTCATGAATGCTGAATATAGCACAAGACTTGTAATCCTAAGTCTACATCTTCTGTTTCTTATTAAAAAGTGCTATGTCTATACCATCAAATTGTAAAGGGATAAAATGGGACTTGTGTCCAGCCCTTGAAAAATGTAGAAGATGCATGCTTTTGAAAGTATGCAAAGCAATGTGTGTCAAAATTTGAGATGCTAGAAAATGGTTGAATGAAGTGGGGAAAATCTCTGCATTTTCACCTAACCCATGGGGAAAAAAACAAGTAATAGAAAATTGACTGAATTCTATAAACATATGGTAATATGCTTTTTTTTTTTTTAAAAAAAAAAAAAGGATGTCATATTCCAATTCTGTCAACGCTAAAAGTTTTGGATTGCCAAAATAGCCAAAGAAAGTAAAACAATTAGGATTTGAAATGTTATAGCTGGAAGTCAATCTGGTACCTACAGGTATTGGTCTCCAACTGATAAAGATATTTCCATGGTCTCCCTTTTGGTCGTGCACACTGGAATCAAAGACCTCTGCTAGATCCTGATACAAAGTTATTTTTTCTATAGCATAAAGTGTCCTCCTACCTTGATCTTGGCCATCAGAGCATCAATGGACATCTCAAGGTCCTTGACCTGCTTGCTCATTTCTGCCTTCCCCTCTTTTAGAGCAGTTACTACTTCATTGAATTTATCTAGTCTCTTTTTCAGTGTGCGAAGCTTTATTAAACCATCTATGCTGTGAAAGGAATGTTAACATTTTAAATATGAGAGATAAATAAGAAAACAGACAGCTATTGTTCAAACTCTGTGCCTTCAGTTTACTTCTGAATGAAGTCATAATAGTAGGATTACAATGGGCTTCGTATTATCCATTTGGTCCATGTTGCAATTAAAATTTGGAACAAAAAATATGGACTAGTAGCTTTGGGAACTCCCACAAACATAAAAATAGATACATTTAAAAAATATGCTCTGCACAAATGATTACATTATATGTGTTCTGCTCGAATAGGTCCAAGATTGTAATGAAGGATTCCTAACTTCAGTGCCTGGAGATTAAACTCCTCTAGTACTGAAAACCTAGGACGGTCAGTATGGGGGACAACACAACGGAAGTGTCAATAATACTTGGGCTTATTTTTTAAAATTCAGTGAAACCCCCATTTCTGGTTAGTGAGTGCAACCGATCTGTTCAGATGATTCTTTCAGAACAATTAGGTCATGGCGTCTCTCCTCTTCTCCCCTCTCCTTCCAACTCTTCTATCTGAATGTGGGATAGCACTGCTAACCTCTGTATGGCAACTGATGCATTTCCAAGTTGTTTTGGCATACATCTGGAGTATGCCATACCTATATGAATGTGCAAAACTAGCTTGCCGTGTAAGCAAGAATATGAATGTTGTGATTCTCCTCTTTGTGGCCCACAGGGACTTGCCACTGGTCGATAAAGAAACACTAACAGCAAAAATGAAAAGATTTAACCATCTATATTATTTCTAAGTAGAAACTTTGTAGGAGAAGATATGGCAATATCCTGCCCAGGTAATTGAAGGGCTGATCCTTTGTTACCAGTTTCCACAAACTGCGATTGCACCAATGCTATATTATTAGTCCAGGTATATGAGTGCCTGCAAATCCTTCCCATTAGATTTTACTATTCAGCACCTCATGAGATTTACTAGCAAGCAGGACATTGCAAGTATTTATATAGGTCTTCTTCTTACCGTGGTTGATGCTTTCTCTTGCACAGCCACATACGAATTGTCTTTTGTATTTTAATACAGGCACTAGCTCTGTACTTGATTTTGTTTTTCACTGAAATTAAAAGGAAGAAAAAAGTAAGAGAAACCTTATCAACAAATGTCTAAATAGAGAACCCACCTAATTCAGAGAGAGAGAGAGAGAGAGAGTAATACAGAGAGACAAAGAGAGACAGAGACAGAGGAGAGAGGGAGGGAGGCATATAAGACAGACAGACAGACAGACAGATAGACAGACAGACAAATGCACACACTGACAGTTACACAGACAGACAAACAAGCAGAGACAGAGAGTTAGATTTTATTCCAATGGATACTATTTCCTTCTTTTATATGTGATTAAGATGCAAGGGTTGCTAACAATTCTTGGGTCAGTGAGACTCGTACTTCAATTCTCAATACTTTTTGTATAAAACTTAGCTGGAACTGAAGAGTTAAGAAACTTTTCCATTTTAATATTTGACTTGATCGATTAGTAGCATTTTTACAATTTTGACAATGATCCCTTAAACCAGTGCTTCTCAACGTTTGTGTGACGGCGCCCCCCGTCACACAAACGTGCCGCGCATGCGCGGCCCCCCATGTGCGGCGCCGCACACATGCGCGCTGCAGCGCGCATGCGTGGCACCGCCCCCATGTGCGGCGCGCATGCGCGGCGGCGGCCCCATGCGCGGCGGCGCCCCCCAAGGGGGGAAAATGGCGGATCGCCTTGTTTGGCGACCCCCGAGAAATGGTCGATCGACCCCAAATGGGGTCGCAACCCATAGGTTGAGAACCGCTGCCTTAAACAAAGCATGTGGAAAATATTAGTACAGTGCCTGTAAACCCACAGGAGTTTTAAAAAATTAAATTGACAAAATCTCACAAGATCACAAAATCTTGCAAGACTTTGGTGTTCTCTCAGGTGTCTTGTGGGATTTCAGAAAAGGACACAACTTTCAGCATTATTGGACAAATAAACACAAAATCAAGATTAATATTCCTAAATTGTTGTAATTTTTGACAATCACACACCATTTCAGCCATTTCTTTATGAAAAGAAAATATTCTAGTCTTCCAAGTAAACTTAAAAAGACACAGTTGTGGGTAGTTTTTTAAATTTTACTCACATGATAGCAATAGCACTTAGATTTATATACCGCTTCACAATGCTTTACAGCCCTCTCTAAGCGGTTTACAGAGTCAGCACATTGCCCACAACAATCTGGGTCTTCGTTTTACTGGAAGAATGGAAGGCTAAGTCAACCTTGAGCCAGTGAGAGTCGAACTGCTGCAGTTGACAGAACTAGCTTGCAATACCACATTCTAGCCACCACGGCTCAGTAGGTGATTCTCTCCCTATCACTCCATCTCACAAGGTAATTTTGAATACCTACATTTGATAACTGATAAAGAACACCACTGGACCTTCTTCCAACGGCTGCAGATAAGCCAATGGTTCACACGTTTAATTAAGTCAGCAAGATGATCTGGATCAGACTTCATTATTTGATCAAATTCTGCAAACTGAACACAGGGTGGGGAGGAAATACCATTTAAGATAACCAACAAGAATGTTGACAGATGGAGAGTTCTGTTGTAAACAGAATGTTGCAGTCATGACAATGTGTAGAGAGATCCCAGTGGTTGCCATGAGCTTCTGAACCCTAGTCATGATACTTTATAACATCTGGAATATGCCTATTTTTATATATTTGTCACTCAGTACAAATTGTGACTACCTATTCTGATAGTAATATAGAGAGTCTCAGCTTCATGCTGGGGATGAAGTTAAAGAACAGAAATGAAGCAATAAAAAAGTCTTATTTATCTGCCTTTTAGGGAATATAATCTTAGTAAATGATTATAGGGAGGTTAACCACCACACTGAGCACAGGAATACCACTCTTAGCACAAGTAGAGCTATAAACAAAATATTTTCTACCCATACATTAAACGTAGAGATGGCCATGTCAATTCAGATCTTAGCAATGATCAGATTACAATGCATCTTCTTATGAAATTACTTTTAAAAAAGGTAATGTTATCCTTTATTTTAATTATTTTGCAGGCAAGTTGAAGAGAAATTAATTTTAAAAAATCAATTTGTGCTCATTTATACTTCAGAGATATCAACACTACTTACCTTGCCAGGTCTAAAGAACACTTTGGTTAATCCAAATTTATAATCTAGTTCATTTAAGCCAAGGGCTTTGAAGAGAGCCTGAAAGAAAAGAAAGACAGTTTTACAAATCCTCTGAAGGAACGAAAATATCAATGAATATCAATCAACCCACCATGAAAAGGGAACTTATAAAAGCATTTGCATTCTGAATATAAATACCTTGCAGAAGAGTCTCGGATCCAGACGGGTCAGTTTTGCAGGCATATATTTTTTATACATGTTATAAAGTTCATGGAATGAGGCTCGTGATGGGAAACCACCTTGCATCAAGTCCAAAACAGACACCATGCCTAGAGTAAAAGTTAGGCAACAAAAGAATCGCCACTAAATTAAGATGACATCATTATATTTTAAGACTGGTGTAAACATAAATAATTAGCTGAAAGAAGAAACATAAGCCCTTATAAAGTCATTGTGGTTGAAGATGAAAAATGAGCTTCATGTTTGAGTGAGTCTCTGTTGACGTTTCCAAATATTAGTCCCAGTGGTGGGATTCAGATGGTTCAGACCACTTCGGAAGAACCGATAGCTAATTTTTTATTGCCCAGGCCCAGAATGGACTTCCAGAAGCGGCATCCACACAGAGAACTGGTTGTTTTTTTTTTTTTTTTTTTATTGAAATTTTTCAAAAGTTTTACAAATAAAAATCCACCCCCCCCTCCCCAACCACCCCACCCCCCCCCCCGACTTCCCAGAACTGAATATAGGATTATTTAACAAATATTTTAAAAATAACATTTGCAATTTATAAAATAATTAATAATAATAATAAAAATCACAATAATAATATATATAATAATAATATAGATAACATAAACTTTAAAATGAATAATATATACTAAAAAAGAAAAAAAAAAAATAAAAAGAGAAAAGAGAGAGAGAAAGAAGAAAGAAGAAAGTAGACGAAGAATAAAGCATATATATATATATAAAAAAAAATATATGAATAATAATACATAAAAAATGTATATATATAAAAAAGAAAAAGAAGAAAGAAAGAAAGAAAAAACAATCATTACAAATTATAAAAAGGCTAGATAATATTTTTCCATATCCAAATTATGTTGTATAAAATTTATCCATTTTTCCCATACCGCAAAAAAATTTTCTTGAGATTGCTCCTTTAAGAAAGCCGAAATCTTTGCCATTTCTGCCAAATACGAAACTTTATGAAACCATTCTTGTAAAGTAGGCAAAGATTCCTTCTTCCAATATTGTCCTATTAACAACCTAGCGGCTGTAATCAAATTTAACATCAATATAACCTCCTTAGCATCACAGTCAATAACAATACCTAGTAAAAATAATTGCGGAGTAAATTTTACCCTCCTTTTAAAAATTCTTTGAATATTCCACCATATCTTAATCCAAAAAGCTTTTATATGCTTACACGTCCACCAAATATGGTAATAGGTAGCATCCAAATATCCACATCTCCAGCATTTCGGCTGTAGATTAGGGTACATAATGGACATTTTCTTTGGGTCAAGGTGCCATCTATAAAACATCTTATAAAAATTCTCTCTTAAATTTTGCGCTTGTGTGAATTTAACATTTCTTATCCAAATAAGTTCCCAAGTATCCATTGAAATCGTTTCACCAATATTCTGTGCCCATTTAATCATACAATCTTTAACTAGTTCAAGTTCTGAATCTAATTCCACTAAAACCCCATAAACTCTCTTAATATGGGTTGGCCTTTGATCTCTTACTTGTTTTAAAAAAATTTCATCTTCTCTAAGCCAGCCCATTTTACAATCCATCTTCCATCTATCCACTATTTGTCTATATTGGAACCATGAATAAGTTAAGTTTTCATGTGTTAATTCTTCCAAAGATTTTAACTGCCAGTCTTGGCCATCCCATCTTAATAACTGTACGTAAGAGACCTTGTCCATATTTACCCCTTTCCTTATACCTTCTATGGCATGCCGAGGTATAGCCCATAATGGTATTTTGAAGTCACTTTTATAATACTTTCTCCACACTCTTAGCAAAGAGTTTCTTATAATATGAGACTTAAAAACCCAATCCACTTTTTTATTAAATATTAAATAGGCATGCCATCCAAAAAATAGGTCCCAGCCTTCCAAATGAAGTATTTCTGTATTTGTTAAATTCACCCAGTCGCTAATCAATGTCAATACTACAGCATCATAATACAATTTCATATTTGGTACCTTGAGTCCACCTCTCTCACGAAAATCTTGCATTATTTTAAGTTTCACCCTTGGTTTTTTCCCTGCCCAAACAAATTTATTAATACCTTTTTGCCATTCATCTAAATTACGTTCGTTCTTTAAGATAGGTAACATTTGAAACAAAAAAATAAACTTTGGCAGGACATTCATTTTAATAACTGCAATTCTGCCCATAAGGGATAACTGTAAATTATTCCAGTTTTTTAAATCCTTCTGTACCTCCATCCACAGCTTTTCATAATTATTTTTATACAATTTTACATTAGAAGCAGATAATGTAACCCCCAAATATTTTACCTTATCAACAATTTCAAAGTCTGTTAAGTTAACTAAAGCCTGTTTATCACCATTAGTCATGTTTTTAGCTAATATTTTGGTCTTATTATTATTAATTTTAAAGCCAGAAACACGTCCATATTGTTGAATCAATTGTAATAATTTCACCACCGAAGAAACAGGTTGAGACAAAGTAACAACCAAGTCATCTGCAAAGGCTCTTAATTTATATTCTTTTTTATTAATTTCTATTCCTTTTATTTCTTGAGACTCCCGAATTTTAATCAACAAAATTTCCAGTGTTAAAACAAACAATAACGGAGACAACGGGCATCCCTGTCTTGTTCCTTTTTCTATTACAAAAGCCTCTGACAAACCCCCATTTACAATAATTTGAGCAGTCTGTTTTTGATATATATTGGATAATACTTGTAATATATTTTGTCCAAAATTCATCTCCTTGATTAAACACAGCATAAACTGCCAATTCACTTGATCAAAGGCTTTTTCAGCATCCAAAAATATCAGGCCTGCAGAGACTTGGTTATTCTTTTCTAAATACTCTAATAAATTAATAATTTGTCTAACGTTATTCTTCATATACCTTCCAGTTATAAAACCCGATTGATCCCTATGTATAAACTGCTGCAAGATCCCCATAAGCCTGTTAGCTAAAATTTTTGCAAAAATTTTATAATCCACATTTAAAAGAGATATAGGCCTATAATTTTTAGGCAAAGTAAGATCTTGACTATCTTTTGGAATCAATGATATAAATGCATTACGCCAGGATGGAGGGATCTCTAACCCCTGTAATAAATTATTAAACAGTTCACACAACGGTTGAGTCATCTCTTCTACTAAAGCTTTATAATAAATAGATGTCAACCCATCCGTACCCGGCGCTTTGCCCAATTTCAATTGTTTAATAGCTGTAACAATTTCTTCCTTAGTAATTAAACCGTTAATCTTTTTTTCCTGATCTTCTGTTAATTTAGGAAAGTTAACTTTGCCTAAATAATTATTTATATCTGTAATTTGAATATTAGTACCCTTATATAATTTTTGATAGTATTCTAAAAAAGATTTCTTAATCAATTCTTTCTGATAAACCAATTTACCATTATAATTTATTTTATCTATATTCCTCTGTTTCTGTTTTTTTCTTAACTGATAAGCCAACCATCTCCCTGGTTTATTAGCATTACAAAATGTATTTTGTTTCATAAATAGCAAATTAGTTGCAGCTTGATCAGCCATCAGCATGTTAAATTGTGTTTTTAACAATTTTAAAGCTCCTTTAACCTTTTCATCTAAGGGATTTGAAATTAAAAGTTTCTCTTTTAATTTAATCTCCTCTTCCAAGTCTTTCCGTTTCTGAGTCTGTTTCTGTCTATGCAAATTATTCATTTTTATCAAAATACCACGCATAAAAGCTTTACTTGCATCCCAGACCATTGACATTGATGTTCCCTTGTTCATATTTAAAGTAAAATATTCCTTTAAACATTCCTTTAATTTATGAACATTTTTTTCTTGTTTAAATAAATTCTCATTCACCCTCCAGGATCTCCTATCTTCCTTCTCTACAAACAGTTCCATCCAAACTGGACTATGATCGGACAATGTCCTAGGAAAAATTTTTACATTCTTCACCCTGTTGTATAAATCTGTTGTGATCAAAAAGAAATCAATTCTTGAGAAAGATTGGTGTCTATCTGAGAAAAACGTAAAATCCTTTTCTTCTTGATTACGTTCACGCCAATAGTCTCTCAATTCCCAATCTTCTTTCATATCAAAAAAGGCTTTAGGTAATTTAGCCTGTTTAAAAAAGGTAGAAGAGCCTTTTTTGTCCATTTGTATATCTAAGACACCATTCCAGTCTCCCATTAAAATCACAGATCTATAGTCCAACAAAGTTATTTTCTGATGTAGTAACCTATAAAATTGCTCCTGTTGCTGGTTTGGTGCATACAACCCCACAATAAGAATTTTCTTGCCATATAAACCAAGTTCAAGCATAACATATCTTCCGTAAGGGTCTGATTCTAACAAGGTAGCGGATAAATTCTGTTTAACATAGATTACCACACCCCCTTTCTTCCCAGGGGCGGGAGATACAAAATGAGATCCCAAGCGAGGATTATTTAAATATTTTTGATCTTTAGCTGTAATATGAGTTTCTTGCAAGCAAATAATATCATTGTTATGTTGTTTCAAATAGTGGTAAATTTTTTTTCTCTTTTGAGGAATGTTTAATCCATTAACATTCCAGGACAGGAGCTTTGCCATCTCCCTTGGCCTTCAGCCTGGAGAAGATCCGCTCAAATTCTGCTGCTGATGAATATGTAGCAGAGCTTTTGGGTCTTGCTCCTCCCACCGGCACTGAAGCAATTTGCTGAGTAGATTCTTCAATTTCTTTTTCTTTTTCTTTTTTCTGTTGTTCTTTTTCTTTACGTTTATGTGCTGCACGGGTCATTCTCTGTTCTTTAACCTCTGGTTGAGACATCCATACCACCTGTCCAGCAGTCATCATCCCTGTACCTTCAGATTTCTGTTCCATCTCTTTGTCACTCAAGACTTTATGCATCATGGGCAAAGGAGAGCCTGCTCCCAGGACCGTTTTATAAAATTCCTTAGCTTTAGCAACTGTATTAAGTCTATAACGTGTCCCCGCATGGCTCAAAACAATGCCCATCGGAATCTCCCATCTAAATGGCATTTGTCTTGCTTTAAGTTCATTTACTAAAAAAGCAAAATCTTTTCTGCTTCTTAAAATTTTAGGTGGAATTTCCTTTAAAATAATAATATCTTGGGCAGCAATCTGAAATCTTTTATTATAAAAAGTTTGTAGAATCTGATTTCGCAAAGACTTCTTAGCAAAATATATCACCACATCTCTAGGCAAATTCCTCTGTTTTGCAATCCAAGAATTAACTCTATAAATTCTTTCCACATCCCCACGTAACTCTTCTTTATCAATATTCAAAATAACAGCCAAGTCATTAATCACCATTTCCATCAAATCTTGAGTTTTATCTTCTTTCAGACCCCTTATTCTCAAAGCATATTCCATCTGTCTATACTGGAACATAAGAATATCATCTTGTGAAGTCTCCACTTTTTTCTCCATATCTTGAAATTTATAATCCAAAAGTTCAACTGTTTCTTCAATTTCCTCTACTCTGGAGTCCAGCTTCACAACCACTGAGGCCATTCCAGATAGAGCTAGAAGTATATCATCCCTCAAAATAGCATTATTCTGTTCTAAAAGCTCCTTCATTTCTTTCTTCATTTCCTCCTTAGTTTCAGATTTATTCTGGTCCAAAAGTTGTTTCATTTCCTCCCTAAACTGTGAGACAGCACTTACCATTATTTCTTTAATGTCTTGTGCTGATGTGCCAGATGGGGGAGGTGAAGGTGGAGTGGATTTAGGTTGCTGCACTGAGGGTATTATTTTAAGTTGTTGTTGCACAGTAGAAGTAGCAGGAGAAGAAGTTACTTTAGAAGCTGCAGTAGCTGGTTGTCGTTTTGAAGCCATTTTAATTTATCTTCCTTTCTTCTTAAAAATACCGATAAAAATAAGTAATCCAAAAAAAAATTAAAAATAAGATAAAATAGAATAAAATAAGATCAATCTAAAAGTCCCCAAGAATAAAAAAGTAAAAAAAGTAAAAAAAAAGCAGTATTAAACAACAATTCAGCCGATCCGTCTTTTAAAGGAAAAAAAACTTTCAAAACGCCATTTTACTTTCACTCTCACTTTTCCGCCCGAAAAAAAAAGAGAAAGCTTAAAAAAATAAAAAAAAATCAGCATATACTAAATAAACTAAATAAACTAAAAAAAAATAAAATGAAGCTAAACTATAAATAAAATCCTTTAAACAGTTCTGTCCGGTTTAAGATTACTCACGGTTTCTTTAAGTACGGAGATGGTAGCGGCGTCTCGCTTTGTTTCTGAAGAAACAAAGACAGCTGAGAGGCGGAGAAGGCAATGAACTCCGAGGGAACCCTCTTTCTACCCCCCTAAAAATAAAAATCCAGGGAGAGTTAAGAGGTTCTACCTCTATTCATGCGATCTCTGCCCCTTCCCTTCGCCCGGGAAGGGGATTGCGAGCCGCGGGCCAGCTGGTAAACGCTGTGCTCCGCGGATCTGACACCTTCTCAGGAGGACGGCTACAAAGTAGCTGCCATCTCCACCGCTTTAACCACCGGAAGTCCGAGAACTGGTTGTTCACATATCTGAATCCCACCACTGATTAGCCCTAATCTCTTTCAACTGGTTTAGCCAAAAATCGGCAGAGTAAAAGGCAGGCAAACAAATAAATAAAATTTTGTTTTCATCTCTAAACCAGGAAAAAAAAACTAGATGAAGAATAATGTAATTCATAGACATTTTTTCGCAATGTTCTTTATGGACTTTTGGCTGACATCAGGATTGAAAAGTTGATGTTTTATGGACTTATAATAAGGAATGGGATATGGGATGAAGAGATATCTGTTTAACCTTAGGGGGGCTGAAGAATTATTACATTTGTTTATTCTTGTTGTGATGAAGGTTTGATTCACTTCTTTATTTCTTTTTTTTTGTACCTCTTTTCTTTTTCTTCTTTTTTTCTTTTCTTACATTTTTTATTTCCATTCTCTTTCTCTAAATTTATTGTAGTTTTTATTATTGTAATTAAAATTGTTAATAAAAATTATATATTAAAAATAATGATTAAGACAGAGGGAAAAAACTTCATTACTTTCCTCGTCTCCTTTACTATAGTACAGTATTGCTCAGCCTTAAGATTATCAGCCAAAAATTGAGTTAACAAAACACTAATTAAGTTAAGATGTTAAGGATTTCTGATTTGCTAAATTTAAACTTTAAACATAACTTGACATGACAAGCAATAGAAATATTTGCCAAGTTGAACAGATGCTTGAAGCCTCCGGGATGCAAAAATTGTAAAGAAATTAATAGAAATACTAGGATAGCAGCTAATGAAAACAAACAGTTTAACTTGAAATAAGACTTATTTCAGGACAATTATAATCATAAATTTCAAAATCAGCTTTGTGAAATTGTTGCTTTTGTTAGTTAATTAGGTTTTAACATTTTTAAATTCTATATTAATGTCATCTAGTCCTGTTATGTCAACAAGAACACCTGAACATCTTCCAGATCTCTCAGCTGGGAAGAAAAGGATGAGACAGATAGAATAGACTGGATAGAAATCACCTCCTACTAATTGCTTAAGTTGTACTATGGCTATAATGCACTATAGGAATAGTACAATACTGGGAGGTACACTATCAAGTGTCCCAGAGCCAATAGGAATCCCCAAAATGTTGACTGCAATCCTGAAGAACCTTCCAAGAATTGTCACCCAATTACATGTGATGGTACGGAAATAAATAAATACATGGGAAGTCATCACTTCCTCTTTGAAGAAATGAGTGGTTCAGAAATAAGAAATGAATGTATAATACATCATAAACATAATGTATTATGTTTATAATGTATTCTCATCTACAAAGAAAATTTATTTTATTTTTATTTTGTGGAAGGAGAGGGATTAAATGAACATCTGAACTTTACTAAGAACATTCTACCACAATAGTTTAAAAATAGCTAATATATTGATACTATTGAATGGTAGATTGATAATATAGTGTCCAAAGTGCAATCATTACAGCTGAATCCAGTTTTTGCAGTGGTGGGGAAGGCAACAGTTCAATGATGATGGAAAGATAGATGCTGCACTGTTCTTATATCTTCAGAAAAATAGAATGTTCAGTTTCCTTTGGATTGTAGGATGGGTTTTGATCTTCAGGGTGGCTTTCACATATTACTAAATAAATTACATTTTAAGTTCACAGAATACCACCTTTTAGTTTATTTTTAAAAAATCTTTTAACAGTACTATCTACAGATTATTATTTTGCAGAATAATTTCACTGCAGCAATAGAGCAGTGAAAAAGCTCCCTCGTTTTTTTCTGACTGAAAAACTCTTATACAAAGCACTGTAATTTGGTTTTGCCAGAATCCTCATTTGCATATTATTAGAGATCTAAAGTATCATCTTCAGAAGATACACTAAATTACCTGAACACTGAAGCTGAGAGAGGATTTGAGCACCTTCAAATTGGTGACTGGTCATCTTTAGATTCGGTTTAATGCAGCGAATAAAGCTTGACCCCTATTGTAAAGGCAGAAGATTAGTATAATCATGATTAAGAATACTTGAAAAGAATGTTAGAGCCAACTCATCCCACAATACTCCTATCTAATCCCACCAGTTAGATACTTTTTCCTTAAAATATTTGTATTAAATCTTCCCATCTTTTTTTAATAAACTCAGATGCAATAAATATGTTGAAATATTTAACTCTGCCCTTGTTTTTAAACCTCTATAGCATGCAAGCTTATGCACAGAGATTGTCTTTTCATAAAACCATCAATAACATTCATGTCATACCAAGCTTAATACCTAGCAGAAACACGTAATTTCTCAGTTGCCTGACCACTACACAAAGGAAACAAAAGCCTTTGGAAAATCAGGTGTCCTATGGTTTCTGATACTGGTTGTAGTAGTGTACAAATGCTGACAGGAAGGAAGATGGCTGTTCTTCTGAGGTGATCGTCATCAGGCCACGGAGGTTTGGAAAAGAGGTCCGGGAGTATTGTTAAAGCCACTATAGTGCCCATGATGGAGAGATTGGGAGACCAGTTCAAGCTTAACTATTTTTTGTTTAAATGTGGAGAAATGCATGAAAGAATCAATTTCATTTGGAGGGATAGGAGGAGTTAATTGCAATTATCTATTCAAAGCCATTTAAAAGGGAGACAAAAGGAGGAAAGAGAGGAAAGTTTTTATACTTAGAGCTCTAAACCCAGGGTGGGCAACTATGACACTTTTATGACCTCTGGACTTCAACTCCCAGAATTCCTCAGTCAGCATGAACTGGCTACAATGAATTCAGAACCATGGCTGATTGACATTTAACCTCTGGAACTGGAAGAAAAATGCACAGGATTGGCTAGAGTGGTCTTCTGAATCATCCTTTTGCTATCCTGCACATTTTATCGAGGACCACAGCCTAGCAAGAACTTCCTCCAGTTGAGTAGCATGTAAATTCTGTTGGATTGAGGCCTATACAAGGCTTAGTGTGGCATTTGAAGCACAGCATTCCAAAAATGAGCAGGACCATAAAATAAAATGCAATCAATCAAGATCAAACGAGGTATTAGTACCACTTTATAAAACCCTAGTAAGACCACACCCTGGAATACTGCAGTCAATTTTGGTCACCATATCACAAAAAAGATGTTGAGAGTTTGGAAAAAAATCAGAGAAGAGCAACTAAGATGATCAAAGGCCTGGAGACTAAAACATACGAAGAATGGCTGCAGGACTTGGGTTTGGTAGTCTAAACAAAAGAAGACATAGGGGAGACATGATAGCAGTGTTCCAGTATTTGAGGGGCTGCCACAAAGAAGAGGGGGGGGGGTCACGTTATTCACCAAAGCACCAGAGGGCAGGACAAGAAACAATGGTTGGAAACTGATCAAAGAGAGAAGCAACCTGGAATTAAGGAGAAACTTCCTAACAGTGAAGACAATTAACCAGTGGAATAGCTTGCCCCCAGAAATCGTGGGCACTCCATCACTGGAGATTTTTAAGAAGAGGCTAGACAGTCACTTGTCTGAGATGGTATACGTTCTCCTGCTTGAGCAGGGGGCTAACTAGAAGACCCTTCCAGCTCTATTCTATTCTGTTCTATTTCTTAAATCATCAGAAACATGCAAAAAGGGCTGAATTTAATGTTCTGGTCCATTGGGGAGGCTCAAAGGGAATTGTAAAAAGGAGTTGATGGGTTATATGTCATCTCTCATCTGAAAGTTTTTTAATTCTTCATCTAACATTTACCTGCTTACAATATATATATAAATTCTCTAAATAAATAAATAAATTTGTTTTGAGATGTTTATGTTAAGGATTACAGGTAAACTACTGACCCCAAAGTGCTTCAATCTCTCTCTAGCTCTTTTTTTTAAAAATGTTGGACAGTTTTCTGCAAGCATGTTTCCCTTATTCTTTGGTGTAATGCAGAATCACTGATGAACTGACTACATGACTATACCTGTAAAATAATAAAAAAATTCCCATAATACATGGGTTTAGCCAAGGTCACTCTTAAAGCTAAATATACTGGTTGTGACAGTTCCCATCTGCTCCATGCATAAAAAAATGTCAAATATGCAAAATGCTCAAGTATACAATTCTGTTCAAATTTAACTGATGTCCTGGCTTTAACAGATCTCCATCACCGCATTAGTACAATAAATCTAGGGTGCAAAAATATAAAAATAGATGAGACCTTGTAACAGAAGGCACCAATTTTCCATGACTATTTACTTACAGTGCTACGAAGCTTTTCCAGAAGCAGGTTTAGCTGAGTCTGTGAAAGAAAAGCATCTGTGTCAAACTAGACAAGCACAAACAAAGCACAGGGGGAAAGACATTTCATTATCAACATGCATCTCTCAGCACTGGCTCTTTGCATAATATAATCTGTTTCTGGAATGGAGTGCAAAGGCAAAGTCATATGTTGGGCCTGACCAGCCTCAACTATGTCAATTACTGCACTTCTAATTCTTGGTTGAACACCTCTAACCACAAAGAAGTTTATACCTTTGCACACCAAGAGGTAAAGGGAATGTGTGGGAGCGAAAGACAGGAAGGAAGTATGAATGCCAAAGTCAAGTTGTCAAAAGATGGCAAAGCCACCTGTGAAAAAATGCCCTTAGGCAGAAGACAAAGCTGTGCCCTGACAGCAGAATATCACATGCAACTTTCCCAATGAAATACCTTTCAGATATCCTGAAACATAACTCCTATTACATCTAGACTGTATGGCTAATGAATGCCATACAACTCAATACCTGGCCAATCCTTTCCATTGATAGCTACCTTATTCACAATAGTTTTAAGAGAGCTTTTTACCCAATAAACTTATTCTGCTGTTATATAGAGCAGATGAAGCTCAGTTGGGGTCTGCCTTCAAGCAAAGATCATGAAAACACAAAATATATCTTTTTAGTGTAGGAGTCTTGGTCTTTTCTGAACTTGATTGTTTTTTTGTAGATGTTTCATTACCTAACTAGGTAATATCATCAGCACTAAAAGGGAATGGGATTTGCTCTCTGTTTAGGTACAAGTGGCTTGCCCTGGGAGTGAGTGTTCTTGGTAGTTCCTTGATTAGGCTGTTGTTTACAATCAAGCTCAGGGAGCACCAGGACCCCACAGTTCAATCCTGAGTTACAAATGCTCTCTTCTATTGGTAAATCTTGTTAGGTTAGTATCTGGCATAAGCTGCCTTGCTGGAATATCTTCTGCCAAGCATTTGATGAGAACTGAGACAGGAGACCCTGAGCTACCAGTTGTTGATTTATAAAATGACAATTTTGGTACACTGGTTTACTTTGAATAACAGTTTTTATATCAATTCTTAATATATACACCTGTTTACTGCTGGGCAGTAAATAAGCTGCAGAATAAGCTACCAGTATCATAAGAATACATTCCTTATATCCACCCAACCCACCAAAGTAGGGAGACAGGGAATGTGGGAGCTCTTCTCCAAAGAAGGTACATCTGTTGGGCCACAGAAGAAGGGTCTTCTCCGTGATGGCTCCCTCCCTTTGGAATATCATCCCCGTGGAGATGGCTCCCACTTTGACACTCTTTCACAAGGCCCTGAAGACCTGGTTTTGTCATTGGGCCTAGAGTATCCAGAGTGGGATGGAGCCTATCAAGTACCTCATTTGATTGACTGCTTTTACTGGGGGAGGGGTTTATTCTTGTATCTTGGGTTTCTATTTTTTGTAAGATGCCTAGCGCCACTGAAAGTGAGTGGGCAGCCATATAAATTGTCTAAATAAATAAATTCAATATTCAGTTCCCCACCAACAGGCAAAAACTGTAGAGTCCAGGAAAAGTTCCATAGCAGCATCCTACTTTTCTAGACTTCACCAGATTCTGCATATAAGAATCTTTTGGTTCCTAGGACAAAATACACCTCCATCCATTACACTTCTTCCCCTCCTTATCACTTACGAAAATATTAGGAGGGACATTGATTTTAATTGTACAAAACTCATCTTAACACACTATGCAGTGTCACTGCTACAAAAATAATCAACCAAAATGACAGCTGCGTGTAAAGAATCAAGGAAAGAGTACGCTGCTTATAGAAGAAAAGCAGTGATATCATATAGCAACCTCTCTCATTAAACTTTTAAAGTCAGTACACTTAAAATATTTCTCTCCTGCTTTTGGAAACTAGAGCTGTTGTCATAGTATTCATTGGCTATGATCTTTGTATGTAACTGAAGAGCATTATTTGTTTGCTTATTGTGAGCTTGTGTTGAAACCCCTATCCATTCACCTCAGAAACAGATATTCTGTCTCAAGTTAGTAAATGATCCTGAACTGGCTCCTCTGACAGGGTTGTTATGTTGGGTTAATTAATTAATTAGTTTCGTTTCACTAGGTTAAAATGCCACTTCAAATACAGAGTCTGGTGGCTTACAATCCCGCTGCCTCAAAATAGGATTAAAACAACCCAATAAATAAATGAAAACTTTAACAAGTTTAACTTTAACAGTCTTGTCCAATGTGTTTTCTTTGTCTTTAACTGTATATTCAATAAAATTTCTTTAAAAAAAATAACTTTAACAAAAAATAACAACAGACTGAACAAAATTGAGGAACAATGCCTACAACAAAAATCAAAATCACTCATATAAAAGGAAGGAATGATCCAATTTACCTCTCTCTCAAAGGGCAGATAGAATAACCAGCAGGAATGCATTATTTGATGTAAACCAATGGCCTCAGTTTTAAATGTTTTATATTACATTATATTACATTTATATTACATTACATTATGCTAATCTGGTAGCTCTCATTCCCCACCTAGGGAAAAAAGGGCCAGGTAAGAAAATTAAGGAGTGCAGTAATGAAAAAGTTATGAATTGCTCCCTTCTACCAGCTGACCTGGATTTATGCAGGAAATATAGCAATAGCAATCGCACATATAATGCTTCATAGTTTTTTACAGCCTTCTCAGCGGTTTACAGAGTTAGCATATTGCCCCCAACTATTTGGGTCTTCTTTGTACTGACCTCAGAAGGATGGAAGGCTGAGTCAACCTCGAGCCGGTAAGAATCAAACCGTTGGCAGTCGGCATAATTAGCCTGCAGTATTACATTCTAACTACTGCGCCACCACGCCATGACCAAATATCCAGGTAGTCTTCAACCTGCTTTCATCCATAAGAATCTACTGTTCATGCATGTTCACCACTGGTCTTCTTTAAGTTCAGCTAGAATGTCACAAATCCAGTTTTCTGCACATCTGCAGCATCTAGCATATCCACCTTTATTATTTTTATAAATAACTGAAGATAGTGAATATACCTAATACTTTTTCCTCCACCTATTTTCTCCGTAACAACCCTGTGAGGTGGATTGGGATGAGAGAGAGTGACTGGTCCAAGGTCACTCACCTAAGCTGGGACTAGAACTCACAGTTTCCTACTTTCTAGCCTGATGCCTTAACTACTAGACCAGGAGTAGGCAACCTTGGTTCTTTTATAACTCTTGGACTTCAACTCCCAGAATTCCTGAGCCAGCATGGCTGGGTCAGGAATTCTGGGAGTTGAAGTCCAGGAATCATAGAAGAGCCAAGGTTACCTACCCCTGCACTAGACCAAACTGGCCGTCAACAAAATTTAAAACTTATTCAAAAGAGAACATGATGGAAAGACAAAATCAATACTATTTATGGTACTAAATACATAATTATTATCCTTGGAAGAAAATCAGAATCTTGCTCTAGAACAGAAATGTTTTCTTATTCTCACCAAGCAGAATCAGATCTATTTTATCTTATTAATATTAAGGAATCCAATTTCCCTTCAACCTTTGCTTGGCTTCTGCCTGTTTTTTCTCTCCATCTCTGCATAGTTCTGGCCCAGCCATCTTGAGCTGTAAAGACCAACTAACCTAAAATTTAATAGAAGAGAATACTTGTAGCTCAGGATGTAGCTGTAGGGTCTGTGGTTCTCTCCAAAGCTGGTTGTTTCCTTGTAGACATTGCATTACCCAGCTAGGTAATATTATCAGTGCACTGATGATGTTACCCAACTGCAAGAAAATAATCAACCTCAGAGAGCATTAAGGACCACATAACATAAACATTGTTTGACTGAAAAAGAAAAGAGAAAAAACACAGTGCTTCCAAACCTGGGCAAATTACCCAGAATTGGGTCAAAGTGGTTTTTCTTCAGGTAATGATACATAAACCCATTATCCAATCACATAGGGACATTTAAAGTGACTTGAAGTGTTTTACCTAAATTGGAAAAAAAAAGACTTTCTGATTTGGGAAGCACTAGGCTTAACGTATCAAGAACAGAAGGCAGTCAGAAGCCAGATTTACAGCTCCTAACAAAGGAACAAACATTGGAAAAGTATCAGACTCTTTAGTTAGTTAAGAAAAAGAAAGAAAACAAATTCCCAATGCCCTTAAAAGCAGAGTGTTTATCTTTTTCCTCTTCACTGCATTAGAACAATTGGTCGCGTTTCGCTTTCACAGATAGCATTCACTATTTAAACGGAACATCCCCTGCAAGTTAATCAGGGCCACACAGTGTATCAGTATAGCGGAGAGAAAGGCTTTTGAACTGAACATATTCCATTTGGCTTTGGCAAAACAATTCTCCTCCACAGCCCCTGTCATTTGTGTGATTCCACTGTTCAGGTATTTATTAACAGAATCCTCGAGGATTGCTCATTTCTCCTGAAACATGCAGCATAATCATAGCAACCTCCTAAGAGGTACAAGGCATGTGCTAACAGCCTGCTCTTTGTCTGCTAAAATTCCTACAGCGCTGCTTATGCACACATGGTAGAGGTGGGCTGAACCAACCACTCAGGTACACTGTGAATTTAATTCAGATTTATGGTGCAAACTAACTTTTCCTTCCTTAAATATCTATGGAGATTCTCAATTTATCCAGGTCATGGTTGTCCCAAAGGTGCTTTTTCTCAAAAGGCAGCTGGACTTTCTTGTTTGTTTGTTTTTTTCCTTTGAAAATGTTTTGCTTCTCATCCAAGAAGCTTCTTCAATTCTGGATGAGAAGCGAAACATTTTCAAAAGAAAAAACCAAGAAAGTCTACTTGCCTTTTCAAAAAAAGCACCTTTGGGTTTTCCTTCCTTAGCAGCAACTGAAAGCTGGACAGAAGATGCTTATGAAGTTTTTGTTTTAGTTGATAAGAATTCTATATTAGATATAATGTTGTCAAAATTTGCTTTTACAACATGGTGGATAATGATTTCTGGCATAAAAATTAAGAGCATTGTTGTATTCTTAATTAATTACTGTATATCTTAATTCTTAAGTATATGTAGATAGGTTGGTGTTTTGCTTGTTTGTCTAGTTCAGGGATAGGCAACCTTGGCTCTTTTACGACTCGTAGACTTCAACTCCCAGATAGGCACATGAAATAACTGTTTGGGAAACTATCATTCTAGGACTTTACAAATTGATCCGGCAAAATAGTCTAAGTACAGCTGGAATGTTCCCAAAAACCCAAGGCTTCCAAAATCTGTAGAGTCTGTAGAAAACCTGTTACAGCATTAACATTTCCTACTGTAAGGGAAAGGTATCCAGTAGATGCTACAAAGGATACTGGAATGAAACTGAATCCACTATCGTGTGTGGATTCCTTTTATAGGACTATTAAGGGCAGTCTTATAAAACTACCATACCTTGAATTTGTTGCCCACGCTGATAAAACTTAGTTTTCCTGCTTTTTGCTTGGTATCCTTATTGTTGTTAGTGTTGGACTCAAAAAGTTGTCGGATAAATTTATCTTTGGATTCACATATAAGGGACTCCAGAGACATGTGCAAAGCATCGTTGTTTTTCTCCACAAACTGGGTCTGAGGAAAACCAGAAGCATTTAAATCATTCAGGAGAACATGCAGATCTGAGCTACCTCTAGATCATATATAGGAATTAAAACAAGCACATATGAAAGAGATTGGCAACAATCCCTTCTCTTTAAAAGCAATGCTATAAAACCTCTCAGTTTGTTTGTGTGTGTGTGTTTTTTTTCCAACGTGCAAGAATAGACAAGTTCTATTTTCAAATAGCAGTTTTGGGATAAATAAACATCAATACTATCACTCCATGCAAGACTCTTAAGCATCAATATCTCAGAAGGCCTGAACAAACCCTATGGGATTTTAATACAATTGTTAATTAGTGAGACACTTGTAATTTGTCTCAGATATAAACTGTCTTGCTTTTCTTTTTTTTCTCTGTGTCACCAGTTTAAACTCTACATCTGTCAGCCAATCCCTACATCTGATGAAGTGAGCTGCCACTCAGAAAAGCTTAAGCCTTACAATAAAATTTGTTACTTTTCCAAAGGGGCTGTTTGACTCTTTTTTTTATTTTTTCGGCTACAATAGATTAATTTAGTTCTACTCCTACAATATTTTCAAGTATTTTTCTCCAAAGTGTTACTTTTCCTAAAACAACTATATATTAAAATGGCATTGCTCACGATGAGCAAATTTATTTGTTTGGTAATGAAAACCCTAGTTAAATAGTTTATATTTTCTGATGAATTATTATAATAAACCAAAGAAACAACTATTTGCTACCACTCTCACACATACAGGTAGTCTTTGACTTACGACCATAACAGAGCCCAAAATTTCTGTTGTTAAGTAAGATAGTTGCTAAATGGGTTTTGCCCCACTTTACGACCATTCCTGCCAGATTTGTTCAGTGATTCACTGGAGTTGCTAAGTTAGTAACATGGCTATTAAGTGAATCTGCCTTCCCCATTGACTTTGCTCATCAGGTCACAAAAGGTGATCTCATAACCCCGGATACTGCAACTATCGCAAATACTTGCTAGTTGCCAAGCGTCCAAATTTTGATCACCGGGATGCTGCAACAGTCGTATGTTTGAAAAACCGTTTTTTTTCAGTGCTGTTGTAATTTCAGACAGTCACTAAACAAACGGCCGTAAGTCGAGAACTACCTTTACTGTTATTACTTGGAGAAAGGCTAGTTCTTAGGTCATCTCTCTGATCCTGAGCAGAGACTGAAAAATGTAAGAAACAGGAGCTCGATGTCAATGCTGCTCATATCGAATGTTCTTGCTTTGACAATATATGGAGATGCAGCCATTTTCTTTAAATTGTGTGTTACTCTTAGAGTTAGAATTAGATGATACTGGGGGGGGGGGAGAATGTGTATGGGAATTAGTTAGACATAACAATATCATAGTAGTGTGTGATTCAAGGTTGTTTGAAATAAGAGATGATAAGAAATGGCGGTTGGAGAATTGAAGGGAAAGTCTGCATTTCAAACTAATTGGAGAATGTGATTTATGACGGTTAATTAGAGGAGGGAAATGTGCTTTGATACTATGTGTTCAGGGGAGGGGAATTCAGATTTTGGCTTCGACTATGTACGTGCCAATGCTATGCTATTCGAATAAAGATTCTTTAAGGTAAACAATGCCTCGAAGTTCTTTGAAGAATTTAATCTGTCGGAAACATGACACTCTACAGTGATGGTTGTGCATTTGTGAAAGGCTTCAAGACTCACACTGTTCATTTTCCTTTTGCCTTAAGAAAGCAAGTATGAGTTCCCTTTAAAATGGATGCTTTTAAGTGACCTATTTATTTGGGAATTAATTTCCAGAGGGATCTCCTGATTGTCCTTCAGTACAATAGTACATATTTTATGGACAGTAACTGCTCTGTAATACCAAGTGCTCATTGCAAAGGGAGAACTTAACTTATATTAAAATAAATATTTACAGAATATCAATAAAAATAACAAGGTTGATTAACACATTTCTTTAAAAAAATAATTAAAAAAGAGCAACAGCATTAATTTACCGTCTCATAGCAAACTGCTCCTGCAAAATGTCTAATGATAAATCCCTCATCATCACGAATATTTCGATGAACAGCCAATTTAGATTTCCTGGGTATCTGAAGTGCAAAAGAAATACAATTTAAGATATATCCAGATGTTAAAAATAATGCCAGAATTCACAACAAATAAAAATGTGACAAATATTTTTTTAAAAAACAAAATCACTAAATTGTGAAGAAAATCCAGCAGCAAGATCATCCAGTGGCAATATACTGGTTAAAAGGGTCACAATTGGCTCTCAGTTAATATTGTTAAATCACACTAGTTTAAAGACAGAAAAATACAAAAAAAGACAAAGGAATCTTTTAAAGTACATCTTAACAAACAGATCCGATCATGGGCAAGAAGACAGATTTTCTAGTAACCTGATCCCTGAATTTAGAAATAAATCACTGGAATTAATTCAAGATCAACCGTACTGCAATCTATCCAAGTCAGCAGTTTACACACACATTTTAGACCACCTATAACTTCTGGTGAGCCTTTTGAAGGCAACCCTACAGAGCACCATCTTTGGATGTGACAGTGTGTACCAGCAGCCAAAAAAGCTAATACAATCCTGGGTTATATAAACAGAGGCATAGAATCAAGATCATGCGAACTATTAGTACCATTTTATAAAAACCTAGTAAGACCACACCGGGAATACTGCAGCCAGTTTTGGTCACCATATCACAAAAAAGATGTTGAGAGTTTGGAAAAAAATCAGAGAAGAGCAACTAAGATGATCAAAGGCCTGGAGACTAAAACATACAAAGAACGGCTGCAGGACTTGGGTTTGGCTAGTCCAAAGAAAAGAAATAGGGGAGACATGATAGCAGTGTTCCAGTATTTGAAGGGGCTGCCATAAAGAAGAGGGGGTCACATTATTGTCCAAAGCACCAGAGGGCAGGACAAGAAACAATGGTTGGAAACTGATGAAAGAGAGAAGCAACCTGGAATTAAAGAGAAACTTTCTGACAGTGAGGACAATTAACTAGTAGAACAGCTTGCCTCCAGAAATTGTGGGCACTCCATCACTGGAGATTTTTAAGAAGAGGCTAGACAGTCATTTACCTGAGATGGAATAGGTTCTCCTGCTTGAGCAGGGGGCTGAACTAGAAGACCTCCAAGGTCCCTTCTAGCTCTATTCTATGCTGTTTTGTTCTGTTCTATGATTCTATTGCCATCACAATTTCTGTCCCCTGCCTAAAGGACCACATCTACCTCACTTTAAAATATATATATAGCTTCACCTAATCCACAGTAGATTTTGCAGGTAGTATTCAATGACAACATTTTTACACATAAAGATGTAGGACCCTTCAATGCTCGGTCCCAGCCTTTTCAAATAAATATTTACTCATTACTGATACATTGCATTTCTATACTTCCTTTTTCTCTAGGAGCTCAGGACAGCTTACATGGGACTCTCCCTTCATTTAAATGCCACAATAGCTCTGTGAGATAGATGGGACCGAGACAGAATGGCTCAAAGTTATTCAGCAAGGTTCAACAGCTGAGGGTAGACCTGAACCTCAAATTCATCAGTCTTTAATCACTACATATTTAAATGTTCAAAGCATTTTATCTTTATATACAGAGAAACATTCTATCCCAAAGAAAGAGTGCCATATAGGCTCCAGATTTATTTCTCCTTATTCTTTAGACTGATTTTTCCATCTTTTCTCCAGGGGCTCCCCCTGGAAATTTAAGGGGTTCCCCTTTGTTTCCCCCCCCCAAACAGTAACAATGATTGGACTGAAGAAGAGTTACTGGCCCAAACTCACCTATGGAGTCTCCATTGTTGAGAATGGGTTTATATGTGGCTATTACCAGCCCTATTTCAATACCTAAACCAGCGTTTTTCAAACTTGGAACTCCAGAAGTTGAAGTCCACACCTCATAAAGCTGTCAAGTTTGAAAAACACTGATCTAAACTATCATGTTATTCTGGTTGAAATATACCAATCTAGACTTTAATATAACATGATTGGCATCAAACTCTTGCACCACATGGGTAGGTAGAAAGGTATCTAAAGAATTTGTCACAAATTTTATTTTAGGAGCTGTGGCAATGAATGCCACAAAGTAAGTAATTTCATAACTAGGGTGGCATGGCAATCAAGTCTTCGGAAAATTCTATTTCAGGGACTTTGCCAAACTGAACTGACTTTCCCCTTTCACTGTCTCCCTACCATAGTCATCTTCTCTATTAGTGAAGTGTAGCCATTTGTTTTTAAAACAAGTATTTGCTTTTTGAAACATTTGCTTTTGTGTGAATGTAGGCAGACTTGTTGCACTTGTCTTTACCTCCTTAAAGAAAGCATGATCTTATTCTGGGTTCACAAGGTAGCCATGCAGTCCCCAGAAGTGTATGCATCTGAATTAAAGGGAAGGTGGTAGAATACAATAAGGAAACAAGCCAATCTTAGGCAAACAACTGATTATATAAGCTGATTTATCTGGAGATGAACCAATCTAAATTCAAAAAATAAACGTACTGATAGCCTGAAATGTTCTTTTTGTTTCTGATGCACCACAGAAGCAAAATGTTGATCACTTGGCTGTGGAAGACGATTTTCTTCATCCAAAATATCAAGGATTCCTATCAACTTTCCTTCAATCAAATCTGTTTGAATGATAAAAACAACAATATGCAATGATTAAGAAAATACTTGCATATGTCCTATTGATGTTGTACTTTCTATACTTTCTATGTCCCATAAAAATCTTAGCCTCAGTAAAGAGGTGCAGTATGACTATTTAAAATTAAATTATTTAAAATGCAAATTATTATTTGCAAGTTATTAAACAAAATTCTCAACTGTACTAATATGTTTTTAAGATTTAATATCCATGTTTGTAATGTTATTCAAAGGTACTTACATATACGCATCAAAAGAACAAAAAAAACTATGGTAATATTAAATACAGAAATGCTTTATATAATGTAAACATTTTACGAATATATTAGAATAATAGTGATCAAGAAATACATTAGTACTGACAGCAAGAAGGTTCTTGATGTATTTCTGTAAGTTGAACAACTAAAATTAACAATAAAACATCATCAACCCCTCCTACCCCTGCACACACACAGAGACACTTCGTGACTGGGGCAATATATATAGTATATTCATATCCACAATACCCTGAAAAAAGAACTCACTAAACTCCTTGGTCCAGTGCTCAGAAAAAAAGCCAGGCATTAATTCCTTAAGTCCTAGTGTACTTCCAAAGGAATTCAAGGTGTTAGTGGTCATTCAAGGTGTTAGTGGTCATCTATAAAGCTCTTTCTAGCATGGGGCCAGATTGTGTGTTGAAATTGCTTCTCTTTGGTTGCTACCTGTCTGTCCAGGTCCAATAAGAGGGACATCTTCTAAGTCTCCTCAGGTAAAGAATGGATCTAGGAAGAGGGCTTTTCTGTCACAGTACCTGTCCTCAGGCATACCCCAAGATAGTATGAGATTGACTGACCCTGCCAGTTTTTCACAAAGCACTGAAGACCCAAAAGTGCTCCAGAATATTGAGCAGTTAGGAGATTAAATGACCTATGACAGTGGTGGCGAACCTATGGCACAGATGCCAGAGGCGGCACTCGGAGCCCTGCCTCCCCCCATGACCCCTTCCTCTCCAGCAGCCCCCCTGAAGGAGAGTTGCCCTTGAGCATGGCCAACACGGAGCAGCGCAGCCAAGGACATGGCAGCCAGGCAGCACAGACAAGACTCTGCCCTCACACCCCATCATGCACAGTTGATGCTGCAGGGCGCGGGCAGAGGGTGTGACCGCTATAGCACTGCTGGTCTGCCTGGGCGAGCTGCGGCGGGTCCTGGAGGCAGTGAGTGGTCCTGTGGGCAGGCGGGGCAGGGGATGGAGTGGGGGCGGGGCCAGTTTTTGGGCACTCGGTCTCTAAAAGGTTCCCCATCACTGACCTATGAAATGTTTTTCTGAAAGTTTTCTTGATTGACTCTCGGCGCCTTTTAGATTTTTTATAATGTTTTGTTGACATTGCTTTTTTTTTCCTTTTTAATGTTTTGTTAGGTCTCCAGGTGCATATCTGCAAGATGGGTGGCCATATAATGTACGGCTATATAAATGTGTTTAATTATTAAATATATGAAAAATAATGCATTACAGAAGACTATCAGGGAGATGGACATCCAAAGCTCAAACAGATATTCTATTCCACGGGGCAGGCACAGAAAGGAGAAGGCACACTTCTCAGATCCCACTAAATAACACCGTTCTTGATCTTGACTTTGCCACAAAATGTATATTTTGGAGGTCTGAGAGAAGAAACATCAGAAATACAGCTGGAGCTGCAGGTAGAAAGTCATAAAAAGTAACCTTCTTTCTGCTTTCTACCTGAAAGAGCTTCAAGTTAACAAAGCAGGACCCTTCACTCCTTCCAGTACACTTTTCTTCATGTAAACATGACTTTTAAGCCTGTGAAAATATGACTTGTTTAATACACTCTAAAGTGAACTCTCTATTATTGAGGTGAATGTCCCAGGCTAATCTATTAACTGCAGACTGTGGTCTGGTGGACGGAATCCATTTTAGTGGGAAGACTCAAGTTGAAACATTAAAATGTTTCCATCCAACCTAAAAATACTTTTTCTATAGTTTCTCTCACCCAACCATTCTAGCCACAAAATATAGACTTTTTGTTACATCCAGAACATATAATTTACAGTAATTTTTTTTCAAAGTAATTTAACCTGGGGGTAGGTAGCATTTCCCCAAGTCATTGTTCCTAATTGCTTTAAAGAATAAGAAAACAAACAAACAAACTGGATGTCGTTCTGCATAGTTTTAACAGAAGCCATAATCAATAAAGCCTTCGTATATAAACATTATCCCAGTACTCAGCTTACATACCTATACAGTCCTGGTTATCCACATAATGTACTTCATTAACACCTAAACCTTCTTTTTGATAAAGTTCTTGTTCCTGTAAGAGAAACAGAATTATAATAGCCTGTCTGATCATGCCACCTACGAGGGGTTAAGCACCCATGCCCATGATGTCAGATTCTGTTAATGGCACTGCTATTGTTCTGACTCAATGTGACTTATTTCCAACGAAGCTGATCCCACTCAAAAAGAACTTGTCATTCCAAAGCTGTAATGAGCAATTTTACTCTGGTAAGCAATTTGACATTAGGAACATAAAACTCCAAAACTGAAATAGCTGGAACTTATTTTGAAAAACTCCAGCTTATTTTTTTTTATTCATATCTGTACCAAAGAAAGTCTGAAGTTCTTTTTCTATTTTTCTAACTTTTTCTTTTGCCACCTCTAGTTTATCTGTTTCTTGGTCTTTTTTTCTTTTTCATATCTTTTTTCTTCAGACTTTTTCATATCTTTTTTCTTTTTCATATCTTTTTTAATCTTGTATTTTTGAAAATCAACGAAGTTATTTTTTTTTTAAAAAAGCCCTCAAGCTATATTTTTATAAAGCTATGAATATCCCTGTCTCATACGTTTATTTTTTCTGGACATTTAGGATCATGAACTCTCTGCCTTCATCTGATTGCTAGAGATATGAATAAAGTTGATTCTTTTGAATGTTAATGGTATAATGAATAGCAACACAGCATTCTCTGTTGTAGTGTAAACTAGAATATTGTCACTTTCGAGTTTTCAAGGCCTTTGCAAGCATTCCACATGTGCTCTAAATGCAACTAGATAATAATAACACCGACTTAGACATAAATCCTCAACAAGTATTCACGTAAGACTTTTCAAGTCATCACGTAAGAAGAAAAGAATGCTGCAAGTTCTGTGCTGTAAAAGATTGGAACCAGAATCAATGATTTCCAGGCTAAAGATGGCATTATGTAAACACACAACAGCCACTTGTCTTCAAAGCCACCCAGGGTATTAGGCTCTGCCAAGTATCCATAAATTAAGAAAGGAAGAAGCCAGGAGTTTTAATCCCAAGGCTATAAAAGTCATTTTCATCTTCTCATTGCCAGGGATAAGTCAATTACGCCGTATGTCTTTGTCTACAACATGGATAATCAACCTTGGCTCTTTTATGACTCGTGGACTTCAACTCCCAGAATTCCTGAGCCAGCTGTGCTGGCTCAGGAATTCTGGGAGTTGAAGTCCACGAGTCATAAAAGAGCCAAGGTTGACTACCCCTGGTCTACAATAATGATTCTACTCTAGCCAAACTGGACCTCTGAGTGTTCCATCTAGCTCAGTGGTTCTCAACCTGTGGGTCGGGACCCCATTTGGGGTCGAACGACCATTTCATGGGGGTCACCAAACCATGCTGTCCGCCATTTTTTTCCCTTTTCCCTAGCTGTCCTACTCCCTCTTATTGGTGGCCACACCCACTTGGGGGTCACCACAACATGGGGAACTGTATTATGGGGTCACGGCATTAGAAAGGTTGAGAATCACTGATCTAGCTGAAAAGTCAAGCTAAGCTGTGAATGTCATAACATATGGCATGTGTTTTAGTGTCAGGTCCTGGATAAAGCAGCGTGCCATGTGGGATTATTCTGGAGATGACTGAGTTCTGTGAGACACAATGAAATAGCTCCTAACAATGCTGTAAGTAATATTTTCTATCTCTTCTCATGTGAAGCTGACCAAGATTAAGAGAAAAATCTAAACATAATTAGAGCAGCATATTCCTGAACCTCCTGATTGCTTTGAATGTTCTACATTACCTCTTTGAGGATCCTTTCATTAAAGAATTGCTGTAGCTTCTCATTACAGTAATTAATGCAAAACTGTTCAAAGCTGTTGTGTTCAAAATATTCTGCAAAACAAAATGGTGGACAGCTTTAGAAGTATCATCTCATGGTCCGTTACAGCATCCCACCATCAGGCCTTCTATACCAAGGTGGGCAGAAGGTGGATCTAGAGGCACTGGTAGATCTCTCAATTTGCTGCAGGTCAAGAAGGATTCCTGACAGCAAGTAGTTTAAATAATAGCAACTCTCTATTATATCACACATGAAGCAAAGAGAGCTTTGGCTAACCTGGAGTGGATTTTTTCCTGGAAAAGAGCCGAGGTGGCGCAGCAGTTAGAGTGTAGTACTGCAGGCCACTTTAGCTGACTGTATTCAGCAGGTCAGCGGTTCAAATCTCACCGGCTCAAGGTTGACTCAGCCTTTCATCCTTCTGAGGTAGGTAAAATGAGGACCCAGATTGTTGGGGGCAATGTAAATATACATATACATTGCTTACTGGTGTACACCGCTTAGAGAGTGCTTGCACTTAAAGTGGTATATAAGTCTCATAAATAAATAAATAAATAAATAATTACCTCCATTTAGCAATCTGGTACATTCCAACTTTTTTTTTAAAAAAATAGCTTTTGTAAGTCTGAAACCAGCTGGCATCTGCTCTACACAGTAGTAGCTGCTACTACTACATAGGGTGTATTGCATCCTGTCAGCTGGCAATGCTTGGAATTGCAAAACCAAGAGATTTGGAGGATACTAGAATGAGGAAAGCTAATCAAGAATGAAATCTCTCTCTAGCAAACATGAAAATATGTGCCGCAAGAATTCATGGAATTAAATGAAGAATACTCTTCCCCATTTTCACATATTTGCTAGGGAAAAAGCCTTAATGAGAAGCATGAATGAATGGATTCTTTATTAGGGCTGTTGGCTGATACCTTGAAACTCTATAAGGCTTAAAACGTCCAGACAATAAGCAACACATAAGAAAACAAAAATAAGTATACCGATATAAGCATTGCCCTGCTGGATCAGACTCCTTGCCTATTTAGTCCAGCACTTTATTCTCACAGTGGCTGTTACTAGGAGGCTGTTGGCTACAGCTATTGAGAAAACTAGGCTAGCTATTTTGCTGGCAATATTGAGTCAATTACACTCCTTTTAAAACAGTTTTTAAAAAAATTAAAATGGATTTAAGAAAATATCTCTAAAATATCTAGACATTTCCAAACTGGCAAGTTATTTGGCTGTCTACGAAGTGCACTTCAGACACACATTTTAAGTCAAATCATTTGGTAACTAATTTCAATTCATTATTATTTTTTTTATTATTAGATTAGCATCCCACCATTATTTGTAGAACTCAAGGTAGTGTACATAATGCTCCTTTCTCCCATTGCCAGCACAACTACAACCTATGTGGACGGCTGGGCTGAGAGAGAATGACAGGCCCAAAGTCACCCAGACGCCAAAGGGAGGATTAGAACTCACAGTCTTCTGATTTCTAATCCAGCACTAATATTTTAATTGCTACGTACAATTGGCTCTCAAATTGTGTCATTCCATGTCCAGGATTTCTTGTAAGAAATGATAAACGTGGAAAACAGATAGTCTGAATAGTTAAAAGGTAAAACACTTACCAAAACCTGCAATATCCAGAACACCAATGAAAAAAGACGATGTCTCAAATGGGAAACATTGATTTACCCTGTTTACCACATGGTCAAAGAGGTGACTATAGACAGTTTTTGCCAAAGCATCACGTGCATTATTTGCTTGTTCTACTTTTAATGGAACCCTGGAGGGGGAAAAAAAGTATTATAATTACTATCAATTTGTTCCATATTTGTGGGGAAAAGAAGGCAGTTTACAATAATAGGGTCAAAATTTAAATAAACTTAATATTTAATAGAAACAGCATTAAACATAACCATATAGGATTCCAGCAATAAAAGTTTTGGCAGGTGATAAACTTCCTCCTAAACACTACAAGAAAAATAGTGAAACTCCAAGGGAAGAATTACATAAAAAGCTAATGGAAGGTCTTGTCTTTGTTAGACACCAATCTAGTAAACCTTAGCAATAGGTCAGAGAGCAGCAGAATTACCATATTAGTCAGCCAAGTTCCTGACGAAGTTATATAATAAGGAAACAGACTAAAAGATACCAAACTGAAATGGTACAGGATTTCCTGCCTGGGCAGCGGGTTGGATTAAAAAACCTCCAACGTCCCTTTTAACTTTGTTATTCTGTTATTCTGTTCAGCAGTTGCAGAAGAACAGTGGAAAAATATGGCCATTATTGTAAGAACTGGGCTACAAGTTTATGTAAATTGTACTTTCTCATATATCCAGATTCTGTATTGTGTGTATGTTTATATATAAGGAGGTGGGAGAGGGGAGAGAAAGAAAGAAAAGACTTTACATACAACTTATCAAGGCCTCCTCAGAAGGAAGAAACTTGCTAATTTTTTTCTTTCTTTTTTTAAAGTCACTCATTTTATTTCTAGCTTCCCTGGAAATGTGGAGAAACTAAATCAAATAAATTCATTTTTTATGAAAAACTAAAAATAGCAGAAAATGATGTGTTAGTCACTGCTGTATCTCCTAGCATTAAGCAATTTTTTCAGTAATAATGATACTGATTTTCTTCTGCAATGCTGATTTTGCTGATTTTTCTGCAGTGTTGAAATAGCATTTCAGTGCAATTTATTTAAAAGTGCCATTTATTTTCAAGGTCATTTATTTTTTTTTCCTTTTTAATGTTTTGTTAACTCTCCAGGTCCATATTTTTTTAAAAAAAAAATCCACCCCTGTGAAAGCAATTATATAAGATGAAATGTGGCCTTTTAAAGAAAATAAAGTCTTTACAATAAACCATATGGATGCAATAGCATGTGACATTAAGACATCATTGACAAGACAGAAATTTTGGGATGCATAATCCAACAAGGAATTCAGTTCACATCTGACAGAGGAGTGAAAGGTTGCATGGAGAGAAAAAGACGGAACCAGCAATATTGGAACAACATGAAAAAGTAGAAAAAAAGCTTGTGCTCAAACACTGAATCCAGAAGAGCAACTCGAAAGAAGAAGAAAAAGCTAGAAAGATACACCGCCCCAAAAGAGTTTTGTTGAGGACTGAGGTAAATTTTTGCTAGATAATGCTTTCCAAAGCACCTCGAAGGGCTTCCAGGAGACCTATAAAAGATTACTGCTAGAAATCAGTTCACTGGCATTTTCAGTCTAACGGGCTGCTGAGCCCACTCTCATTTTTTCAACTTATAATGTTTTTGATGAGCACATTACACTAGCCATTGACCTCGTTTAGTGACCATTTGAAGTTACAATGGTAGTGAAAAATGTGACTTACAACCGTTCCTCACACTTATGATCATTGCAGCGTCCCTACGGTCACAAGATCAAAATCCAGTTGCTTGGCAGTTGACTGAGAAAGTCGCAAATGTTGATCATGTGATGCCAGGACATTGCAACAATCGTGCCATTTATTTAAAATTGCCATTTATTTTCAGGGTCCTTTATTTATTTTTTATTATTATTTTCAGTGCCTCTTATTTATTTAAAAAGTCAACTGCCCACGAGCAGTTGGGGGAAGCCAGCTTCGGTTAACAATCATGTGACTCACTTAATGGCCACAGTGATTCCTTCAACAAGCACAGCAAAAAAAAAAAGTTGTAAAATTGGATGTGACTCAATCAACACCCACCTCATTTTGTGATAGAAGTTCTGTACCCAATTGTAGGCATAAGTCAAGGACTATCTGTATACAGCAATTAAGATTTGACTGTGTGGCCATGCGAATGAGGTCAAATTAGGTTACATCAATGCCTGTTCAGATAACATTGCTTCTGTCTGAATTAGCCTCACTGGGGCCATGTGCTAAACTCACTATCTACTTTGGCAAGTAGGATCTCTGAGGGAAAAGGTAACACCAATTAGGGCAGGCAATTAGATTCAGAAAAGGCATTGCTGCTTCCTAAATCCCAGGAACTAAACAAGCTCCAATCTGTGCTATGGAGTTACTTTCTTCCTCTCTGCAATAGCTGACTACAAAAAGGGGGTCAATACCCCTGAAACATTGACCATGAGGAAAGAATAACTTAGGTGAGAGCATACTTGGCTCAGCCTTACTTTTAGGACATATATGCCCTAAACCAGCGCTTCCCTAACTTTGCCCTTCGTTACTCAAAAAGTCCTTTATACCTAACGTAGGTAAAACAAATCAACTTAAATATCCCTGTTGTAATTAGGTAATAGGTTCCCCTATCGTTAACCAAAGAAAAACCACTTTTAACAAATTGTGGGCAATGTACCAAAAAGTAAAAGAATCCAGCAACTTGTTTTTCACTGCCCTTCCCTGCTTTCAGGATGGCAGCTTGAACTGTTTCAGTCACCTTAAGCCCTGCTTACTGAAAAGCACAATCCTATTTGAACTGATGCATTGACAGAGTCTGAGGAAAGCTGCAGTGTGCTGTTTTCTGAGTCAATGCAGAAAAGAAGTGTAGAAGGCTTGTAGGGCAACTGCCACCATTAAGAGCTAAAGGCAGCCTGTCTTCTCTAATCTGATTAATTTATTTAAAGAGAATTTACTTATTATGAAAGATGGTGATATGATGGACCCAATGCTCTCTCCCTATTACCGCAAGTAAGAGGTCAAGGAAGTGAAAACTAGAAAATGGCTACAACTGCATTTCACTAGAGTACAAATAGCTTTAATGCATAATCTCTTGATTTATCTTATGGTAATAGGCATTGACAGAATCTTAACTTAAAAATAGAGAGAAGATTCTTTTCTATATTCTTTCTGGGGCATTTAGAAGCTCAGCACTGTAATCCTCAAAGTTCATGTCAATGGCCAATCTTTTAAATATGGCATTTGACTCGCTTTAATTCTACATTAAATAGTAAATAAAATTTAAAACAGAAGAAATATTTAAGTAGCTAAAAAACTGAAGTTAACTGATACATGCAGTTTAGCAGCAACTAATAGATATTTGTTCTGTAAAAATTACAAAATGTAGAAAGTGAATGCAACCACTCAATTAACTGTTTGTACACTATTTAAAGGGGGGAAACCCTATTCTTAATATAATATGGGAATCTTAAAATGTTTAGCAGTATGTAACTGCAAGATTACGTTCAATTGTCTAACTCAGGTTTCAGTACCATTGTTTCCAACTTGAAAAGATTTAAAACTGTGGGCTGTTTTGAAAAAAGCAAAACAAAAAAAAAAAAATCTTAGCATGAAGTAAATACAACAGAAATTTCTGTTTTGTGTTTACTGACATGCATAATAAAGAATAATTATGGATCTCCCAATATGGGGGGGGTGCAATTTAGAGAAAGCAAGGCCTACTCATGTGACTTGTCGTTATTTCTCCTAGGCCTTGAAATTAACTTTTACAGGTTTGTTAACAAAAATTGGTAGCTAAAGATATACATGGAACTTGTATTAAGAAATATGGACACTTCAAAGGTCACTGGTCACTGCTGAAAGTACATAGCACTGGAGAGGTACATTCACTCCTGATTCTCAGTCATATCTGACATACATTCTGTCAATATTTGGATTGTTCTTCAGGCCTATTTCTTCCTCATTATGGACGGAATTTTGTAAAATGTTTTTATGATAATAATTCTTGCTCCTTCTTGCAGCCCCTCTTCCTTCCGAACATTTTCTCACAAAGAAAAGTCTGATTTTGTAAATCTGGATCCCATTTTGGTATTCTAAATATGACAAAAGGGCAGCCCATTGGTTCTGTGTAGCTTCCAGCTACTTCTTTTTTCCTTTTTTTTGTTTCTTTTCTATTTCTCCTTTACTTTCCTTTGATTTTTTCCCTCTTTTTTTCTTTTTCTTACTTTGCATTACTTTGTATTCATTTTTAATTTTCTTAAAAATCTTTAATTCTACAAACAAAAGTTAGAAAGAGATAGCTATGGGAGACAGTTGATATTGTTTTATAGCAAGAGGTAATACAGTACAACATGAAGATCAAAAAATGAAATCTGGAAGATGCACTGAAACGCCATCAGCCAAATTTGGTATGCTTAAAGGGATAAAAGGCTGTCTCATAAATTATCACTGATATAAGATGAAGTCCTTTCCTGTGGTCCATTAAGGATGGTCCACCATTCAGGAAGCATGACAGCAACATACTTCTGTAGGTTATTTGCATGTTTACAAGTTATTTGCAAAAACACTTCAAGGGGCCATGAGACTACTCTTAACATAAACTTCACATTTGTTCTTTACTTTTAAACTATTATTGCAACATAGATATGGATTCAAGCTGAGCTGAGCCCCGTTGTAAGGCATTTTCACTTCTACTAATACTTGACAGTTTAGTATTAACAGGTAAAAGAAATTCTTGCTGTTATTATGCAAAATACATTTTTCCCTCACACGTTGGGATGAAAGGAAACATTTTACCTAGTGACAGATATTATATTACTCTAAGAAAAACACTAATTTACCTTACAGCACAAACGGGGGGGGGGCTTGCTCTTCTTTTATATCCTGAATAATTCCAAAACAGCTCAAACAAGATATTTTAGAGTTAATACTTACAACTTTAGGTAGAAAAGTCATAGCAAACCTGGTGAGGACAGCAAGAAATATTTGCTTGTTCTCTCCTGCAACTTACTTGATAACCGTCCCTTTGGTGCCCCCTGCTGTTGTCAGCATGACTCTAGTGGTTAAACTAACACGGAGATCATCCACGTCCAGGCCTAGTAGCTTAGCACAATATTCCAGACACTGGGCAGATTTATTTTTCAGTGTACATCCACCTGATGAAAAAAAGAAAAAAAGGCTTACTAATATGGGTATGTATGTATGTATGTATGTATCTACATATATGTATGTGTATGTGTCTGTGTGCGCCATATATATGTGGTACAAACTATTTAGAAAAGCACAAACAAAACACCAATTTCTAGACAGATTTTTATCGGCAATCATTTATTAAATTGTCTGAACGCTCCAACTGTTAAGAAATTATACAGAATTAATGGATACCTTCAACACTGGCATTCAGGCCAATGAAAAGAAACATGCCCAGCATCCATTACTTATAGCAGGCCTTTCTGCCAAAGAAAATGAAAGGTGGTAACACCAAGGAAAAGTTGTTACCGTAAGTGTTTTGTGGTTCAGTCCCTAGCACTGTCCGTTAAGAAAGCAGCAAGTAATAAGAAAAACCTCTGCCCAAAATATCAGAATCCACATATAAACTGTATTAAAAACTTTCCAAGAACAGCAGGGTATCATGTAAATTCAATTAAAAAGCAATTCTGTGCACAAGCGGTCATGAGAATTTTATATCTCCTCAGTGTTATCTGTTCCTGTTCTTCTTAAACAGCAGAATACATATTTAAAAAATCAAGAGTGATTTCAAATAAGTAATCAATATACATTTGATATATGATATTCATTTATCTTCTTTGGATCCCACTGTGTTTCTTTCTATTTGTACATCTTACTCAGATATTTTCACTTTGGCCTGCCACATTGTCAAAATACCTCTCTAATTCAACATGTTTCTCTTTGTTTCAATATTCACTCAGCATTTTAAATTATGTGTTTGGAGTAAAACAGTAAGGAATAAAACAAGCCATAGAGATACAATTTAGAGACCATTATTTCCTCAACCAACACTGTATCTTACATGTAATACATGGGTTTCATATGATGTTGAGGACTCAAGTGCATTATTTCCTACATTTACTTACTATATTCTTATTCTTAAGGTATAGTATATCTTACTAGATTCTTATAAATGTTATGTGTATGTATGTATTACAATTACTTTACAGTTATATTATCTGTTGCTTCTTAATTTCTTCTATAGTAATTGAACTTTAATTTGGTTTTCCTTTGTATATTGCCTTGATACTTTTAGTACAGGGTGAATGATCAATTGAATGAATGAATGATAATCATCCAGACATCATACAGGAATTTGCTTTTGATCCATTACAGTATCCGTAATTTTACTTGTGTTAATTTCTCCAAGGAATTAAAAAATAGTTTTGGCCTTTTTAATTACATATACTTTTCCCAGCTTAGGAGAAAGAACTGTGCTAAGATATCCTAGCAGAGAATTAGCATGTCTTATTGCAAATAGTTTTAAAAATTATTTTCAATCTTTGGTAGGAAGTAAACTTTTAATTTCTGAATTAAGTGGCAGCAATTTCTACTTTCAGCATTGCTCTTTCGGTGAAATACAAACAATGATTATGTGCCATCAAATCAGCAAAACAGTCTAACCAGATGTGCTGCCAGCTTCTTCAAAATCAATATTCCCCAGATGTAAAACACCAGCAACCACTCGGAAGAGGTCCAGCTTCTCTTCATCATTAAGCCCAATCTTCTTCATCGCAGTGCACATTCTGGTAAAATCTCCATGATCATCTAGCAAAGGGTCCTTCAGGGAACCTGATTTTTGGTACTAAAAACAAGAGTTGTACTAAGTAAATGCAAAGAGACAAGGAATTATACTTCTATTGATTTATAGAGAGCCAAAATAAACAGAAGAGGATATGAAGAATGGAATTTTAAGTTCTGCTTAAAATCTCAGGATTTTTAGACAAGATGGGGAATCTATCCAGAAATAAAAACAACAGGGAGATCTGGGATGAATGAAAAAAGGTACTGTGGGGAACAAAGTATGTCCCAAACTTAGCAAGAAGGAATCATCAAGGAAGAGTCTGCTATACTGTAACAGGAGGGCAGGAACATGAGCTAATGCAAAATCAAAAGGGGTGGGGATCTGCAAATTCATCCCAGATCTCCTTGTTTGTTTTTTGTTCGTTTTGTTTCTGGATAGAGTCTCCATCTTGTCTAAAAATCCTGAGATTTTAAGCAGAATTTAAAATTCTGTTCTTCATATCCTGTTTATTTTGCCTCGCTTTCACTTCATAAAAATACTACTGAATCTGTTTGCATATGTAATATCCCCAGTCAAAGTGCTTTGGGTCACAGTTGCAGGATATAGCTCCTCAAGCTTGCATATAAAGTACTCCAAACAATTGTTACAATAAATGAAGATAGTGCATTTGATTGGAACGTAGAAAGCTTTATCTAGCTCAGCTCTTCCACTGGCTGACAGAAATATACTTTTTCTACAGGAGGTTTTGCATATAAATTGAGTGGTGGATTTTTGATGCTCTGGCTCCATTAAAGCATCATTTTGGAGGGAAAACCCTTTACCTGAGGCCAGGACTGGATACCACGAATGAAATGTGAGATCACAACATTTGAAAGATGACAGTAAATAACGATCCTTGGAAAGAGAACCAAGCATTCATTTCAGCATGATGGCATTGTTTTATCAAAGTTTATATTTTATAAACATGCCAACAGTTTTGAATATTTATCTATTTAATTTCAAACAGAACACATTACTATCAACTCAAGGTTCTAAAGATTCTAACTAAAAAAAAACAAAACTAATACATGCACAGTGAGAGCATGCTCAAAATAATTGTTCATCTTAAAGAGTATGCAGAAAAGCCCGTGAAATCCCCAAAAAATTCTGTTCTAAGAATCCGAGGGGGAAAAAAGACTAACATGCATCTATTAAACTCACACCACACAATAATTAAAATCCCAGATTATACAAAGTGATCACCTCATTTTCCTGACAGGAAAGGACAAAAACAATGCAAACATTAATTGACTGTTTTTATTACTATAATGAAACATGAATCAAAGGAAAAATAAATAAAACAATTCTCTCAGATTAATAATAGTAAGGTTAGGACAGCTGACATTACTGGAAATCAATTATAATTATTCTCTTCACTTCTATAATACTACCTAGAACTGTTCCCTTCCCCAATCCCAATGCCATCCAAATCCTCTGAGATACAAAGAGGGAGAAGAACAGAAAGAAGAATTACCCAATTCTACCTATCTACCAAAAAGATATTGTGGCCAATTGGCACAAGAATTTTATCAAATTGAGGCTTTTACTGTCATGCAGGTGTTCCTTTCACTTAGGGACAAGATCAATTTACAAAAGATGCATTTTTCGTTCACTGAGCTGAGGCTGGCTTAGCTTTTCAGGCAACAAATCCATGTTATATAGATTCTCCTCTGTGGACAATAGTATATAAAAATTCAATCAAGATCCTGTTCATTGGTTCTTCCTGTCCTGCTGTACCCATAACTGATGTTAATTTGACCATCTTGACTACAAAATGCTTGTTCAAATAAACTCCTAGTTAAATGGTATAGACTAGAGCTATTGCTTTACTATCATTACGAGTAAGATAGGAAGCAGACATTTGCAAAAAGGTCTTTGATTGAAATAGAATTTGAACAGATATTATTAGGTACCTGATAATTTTAAACTTCTAAGACATATTTGCTTTTTCTTTATTTTTCCTTGTTTACTAAGCATGATCCAATTCAGATCAAAACCACTATGAATGTGGACAGCAGGAATTTAATAACAAAAACAAACACATACATGCCTAAATTTGGAGGAACACTATACACAGTGGTTTAGATCCAGAATGGATACTGTACTTTTATTCTAGATCCCAGAGTAGAAGGACAGATACACAAGATCTTGAATTAGCCTCTGCTTTTTTTATTTTTTATTCTCTTTTTTGCCCTCTTTCTTTTTTGTTTTACCTTTTGTACTTTTCTTTTTTGTTAAATTTGCTTTGTTTTTTTTCATTTTTGTTAATGTGTGTGTGTGTGAGAGAGAGAGAGAGAGAGAGAGAGAGAGAGGGAGGGAGGGAGGGAGGGAGGGAGGGAGGGAGGGAGGGAGGGAGAGAGGGAGAGAAGAAAGACAAAATAGCTGCTTGGGGACAATCCTTATCTGAACTGAAATGTGTGTTTCAGACATTTTGGTCTAAAAGTTGCTGTGTTTTCTTCTGTATACAAACAAAAAAAATATCAATCATTCTGAGCATACATGTTCGGATTTGGAAGAAGAAGGAGGGAAGAATGGAAAAAAAGAGATAGTTCTTTGGCTACAGAATAGGTGGAAATTCCTCAGCATCCATGGCTGAAGAAGGGAAGAAAAAACTGGGAGTGGAGGGGGGTGATATTCCACTCTTAGCCCTCGGTAGGGGCAGGTGATTGGAGGGGAGAGAGAGCTGGAAGGCAAGATATTGGAAAAGCAGCTTTGCCTTAATTGCCCTGGGAGCTCTCCATATTTTGTTTCAGCTGAAAACCAAAACATCACATATGTCCTTATTTCTTCCAGAATATGATTGATCCCAAACAGTTCAACAGAACTTCTGGACTACAATGTTTTGTTTCAGGTCACAATGAAAACATTTTCCATTTTGTCTCTATGTCACTAGGCAATGAAGTAAAAATTCAATGGAATTTTCAATTATGATTCTGGGTTTTTTTTAAAAAAAAAATACAGAGGCCCATTTTGGCTACAATTTCCACACATGGACAAAATCCCACAAATCAATCCAGCTAAATATTCAACAAGTTTAAATTGTTAAGAAAAGGATCTGAAACACCTCTTGACCATAGCAGTAGATACCTGTACAAATCCACCCTATTAACTGACTGTGGGTGAAGACTGACACAGAGCCAGTCTCCTGTTGCAGCACTGAGCAGTCAGCACTTGAAAAAAAGTTGTATCAATCAGATTTCTGGCAGATGCAAGATATTGCCAGCAATTGCCCTTATGAAGTTCCATATTTGAATATAAGAAAGAAACATTTGAAATAGGTATCTTACCTCGGGACTTTTGCGATTCTGTAAAATCTGCTTATCAGTTTCTTTAGTAGCAAAGTAGCGAGTGCAGCCACGATTTAAATACTGTTTTAAGATAAAAGAAAAGTATACCAGTCAAATCAAAACCTCAGCAGGTTATGTTAATATCAGGCTCCAGTAGCAAAAGTGCCCCTTGTTTTCTTTTTGGTGTGTCCCCGCCAAGCCAGAGAAATTCTCTTATCTAATTCTCTGGGGTACATCAAGAACAGAGAAGATAAGAGTACAGTATAGAAATCACCACTCCTCTCTGTTCCTCTGGCAAAGAGCCAACTTATATTGGAAAAAAACCCAAAACCTTATAAAAAGAAACTGGAATACACATCATGTACAAAGACAATATTATTTGGCTTAAAAGTCTAGTCAATCATTCCATTCACATTCTAGACTATGTTCAATTTGTGAAGACAATTATTCCTATATGAGTCAAAGTCCCAAAACTGGGTCCATAAAAAAATTGGAAGAGCAAAGTAGGCTATTTTGTGTACTCAAAAGTTTAATGGGAATAAATATCTGGAACCTGAAAACCATTTAACGGAGGTTATTTCATCTAAATTGGTAAAAACAAATAGCTGCAGAAAATGATGTTGTACAGGATAAATAAAGAATATCAATGCAGAGTTTGAAAAAAATAATGCTATTAAAAGCAATTTTTTCACTACAGACATACTGAATTGCAAACTACTTTAAAAATACTATTTTAAGCATAACGTAAAACGTGCAAAGTTTCAGAGGTCTAATTTCTTATGAACTAGACCAGTGTTTCTCAACCTGTGTGGACTTCAATTCCCAGAAATCATCAGCCAGCCAGAATTCTGAGAATTGAAATCTATAGAGCGTTACATTGTTAAGGTTCAGAAACACTTTCTAGGCACTCAAATTCAAATTCAAACACTTAGCATTGTCAAAAGTTATATGCCATAATAATGTGTTCTTCAATGAGACAGAAGCAAAGCCAGTGTTTTTCCAGAGTCACTTCTCCTCTGAGCAATCCCAAAGAGACTAGAGAATTTGTTTCAAGTTAATCATAGTTTGCATTAACTCAGAATCCTGATCAATCATAACCATGATTTGTAAAAACAAGAGAGAAGCATACAGTACAGTATGAAGCTAGCATATTGTAATAAAGTCTGGTTAAAATAAACCAGGTTGCCAGGCAACACTGCAAAATGTGAACAAAAGCTGAACTGGCAATATATCAAAAGCAGCAGGAATGTGCAGCTTGTGATAAATCAGTTTATTATAATATTCTAACATATCTAACACTATCCAAAGTTACCATTTTACATTATCTATTCCAGAATTTAAGAAGGAATATATGATATGGTGCCTTTCAGAGGTTTGGGGACACAATTGCATATGATTAAAGCTGCATAGTCAATAGACTTGAGCTACTGAAGTTCCAAAGCTCTGAAGACACCAAGCTGATTGCTCTTGGCACAGAAGAATACATATACAGTACAGGTAGTTCTTGACTTACAGCCACAAATTGAGCCCAAAATTTCTGTTGGTAGCGAGACAGCTGTTAAATGAGTTTGACCCATTTTATAACTTTTCTTGCCACAGTTGTTAAGCAAATCATTGCAATTATTAAGTTAGTAACCGGCTGTTAAGTGAATCTGGCTTCCCCATTGACTTTGCTTGACGAAAGGTAATCACGTGACCCTGGGACACTGCAACAATCATAAATATGAGTCAGTTGCCAGGTGTCCGAATTTTGATCATGGAACCATGGAGATGCTGCAACAGTCATAAGTGTGAAAAATAATCATAAGTCCATTTTTTTAGCGCCGATGTAACTTTGAATGGTCACTAAATGAATCATAGTTAGTCAAGAACTACGTGTATATGACAAAATGTCTCAACCATGTTTGGGCCAAATTCAAGCTTCAGCCCAAAAGATTCATAGATCCAATTTTACAATGTAATGTCTTTTCCAATCCATTAACCACATTGATTTGAATAGAACTGCTCTAAGTGTATCTGAATCCAGTCTACTATAAGTAGTTTAAATGAATTTTCAGTATGGTAATACTTTAGATCAACTCACCCTAAAGTTATCTGGTGAACCTAAATACAGTTTCTCCCTTATATTTTCAGGGGCTCCAGCACAGAGCCTATAGAATATGTGATAATTCCTTTCTTCTGGGCCTTGAACACAAATCCTGGATTTCTCCAGGAGATAATGTGACACAAATCCACCAACAACTGAATTCTAGAGTAAAAAAAAAAAAAGCAAAATTATGGTTCTGAAGCACAAGACCTTGATTTCTAATTACATTATATGTACTTTTTAATCCACACAGTTTCTTGAATACATTTGCAAGTAAATGAAATGTTTAAATGGTTTAATGTTGACTTTGTAAGACCAAAACTGCAATTTGGTTAATCTCTTGGCATGAGCTTATTGTTATGACTAGACAGTTCCTACAATTTCCTGCCAGCATGTCAAAGTCCCAAGCTGGCAGAAACTACCTGGGAGACATAGACCAACGTAACTAGAGGACACCAAATTGAACAAGGTTGCTTCATGCTAACTGGTATTTAACTTATTAAAAAAAAAACCTAGGTATATGGTATAAAGGTCTATATATCCAAATTGGTATATTGTATATGATTCAGATTTTTTTCTGATTTTTCTCTATTTTTCCTATTGGCAGCCTAAATTTTAATGCTAGCTCAGATTTAGATTTGAGTTGTAGCTCGAAGATATGAGATTGAAAATGATAATGATAATGATGACAATGATGTGCAATTCAGACTATAAAACTAATTTTGCCTTTAGAGACCTCTGAATACTGAAACTGAATTTAAAAAAAATTGTAAACAACAAACAACATATTGTAATCCAAAATGGACCACATGACATAAGAGTAATCCATATAGAAGGGCAGAAAGAAAATGCTAAATGAACAGGCAGAACCTATCAAAAGAAGAAGAAAGGAAATTCCTCTGTAAACAAAGAAATACAAATACCTTTGCATTGAAATGGATTTCTACAAATTTCCCAAAACGACTACTATTATTGTTACGAACAGTCTTTGCATTTCCAAACGCTTCTAGCAGTGGATTGGCTATAAAAAATGAAACAAGGTTAGCAAAATTTTAATAAACAAAACCAGGATAAAAGCATGTTTTAATATCCAAAACAAAGAAATAAAGACATAACCCTAACCCTAACTCTCTCTACCCAGTGAAAAACTGGACCAGAGAGTTGGAAGATCTTTCAGAACCATCTGAAATAATGGGTGTTAATAAAAAGGCACACAGAAGTTGACTAGCATTATATTTTTCTTAATGCGAGAAAAACCATCTCATGAACCAAAGACTCATACAATTACTTCTGTTGCATGTGTGAAGAAACAAAAGCTTCTCTCAATGTTTAAAGATAAAAATTCCTTCAGATTAACTCTACTCTTGGGTGATTTCATGGAAATGTCCATACTGTATAGTTTTCTTCATTAAAATATGGGAATGGTTTATTATTACCTTCTCCAAGATTCTTTTTTTATTGCACAATCTTGCCATTCTCCTTGCTATTCTTCTACACAAATACTAACCAGACTTGGCCCTGCTTAGATTTTGGGGATGAGCTAAAGTTAGTTAGCACTGAGTATCAGTCAATTAAAGCCTCAAATCTTAAAGGGAAGAAGACTCTCTGTTCCTACTAGTTGAGGGAACCTAATACAGCAGTTTGGATTCCAATTACTGTACAATCTTCATGGAAATTCTTCCACTTAAATATTACCCTTTGCTGTATCAGAGTAGAGTAGGGTAGGGTAGGGTAGGGTAGGGTAGGGTACAGTAGAGTAGAGTACAGTAGAGAATGGAATGGGATGGGATGGGATGGGATGGGATGGGATAGGATAGGATAGGATAGGATAGGATAGGATAGGATAGGATAGGATAGGATAGGATAGGATAGGATAGGATAGGATTTTGGATTGCTTGACCATGGAATGCTGTAATAAGCATAGAATAGAATAGAATAGAATAGAATAGAATAGAATAGAATAGAATAGAATAGAATAGAATAGAATAGAATAGAATAGAATAGAATAGAATAGAATAGAATAGAATAGTTGGAAGGAACCTTGGAGGTCTTCTAACAGCTGTCAATGTTTCAGTTCATTAAATATTTTCCTAATAAACCTAATGTTAAATCAAACTGAGTTGTCTGGAAGTGCATTAAATAGCTCCATGTTAACTCTTCTATGTTAATAAAATAATGCTCGATTATCTCATAATACATATTCCATCAACATGTGTGCATGCAATAAATCAACCCTACTTGATTCAATGTACAGTTCAAGCAAAAATTCAAAAAGGTGGTTAAGATTTTGGCAATAGACCGGAGAACATGCATATTGGGGATGCCCAAAAATGAAGTAGAAAACAACAACAACAAAATAATCCACATGTAATCATCTGGTCAATGCAACTAGAGACAAATTGCAAAGCACATACATTTCCCCGTTCTGGAGAGCAGAAGATGATACTAAATTAGCTTTGGGTCTTGTAACCTCTTAGACTAAGGAAACTGCCAAATACTGGAGAAGAAAATAGCTGTGAACCTTTGGTGCTGCAGCCATAAGACACAGATATAGCCAGTGGCCTTAGAACCAGCAAATGCCTGGAGCCTATCCAGACTATGCTGATTCAGCTTAGTCCCCACATCGCTCAGCAGCAGAAGACAAGAGTATTCTTAAGCAAGCATGCTTGCAAATGAGCCACTAAAACAAACATTGATAAGCTTAAGGACGTGGTAATTTTCTTTGCTTTAGCTCCCGCAAGGAAGGGAGACTTCTACAGAACGTATGTAGACAAGTGTATAAGGGGTACGAACCAACCTTTGTGACCCTCTCCAGAAACACTGTAGCTAAAACTCCCATAATTCCCAGCCGGCATCCCTCTCTAAAATACCTGGAAATTCTGGAGACCCAAGACAATTGGAGATGGCAGATCGGAGAAGGCTGATAGGAGCTATATATGATCAAACTAACCCACCAAGACTGTTCATTGCCATCAAAACTGCCTCTATGAACTACTATCAGGCATTTTATTAAGCAGGCTGAGGAAACAGTTACACAGGGAGTCTTCAAGTTATAACCACAACGGGGACCACAGTTCCACTGCTAAGCAAGGAAGTTGATAAGTGAGTCACCCCCAATTTTACAATTTACAATGGTTGTTAAGCAAATCACTGCAGTTGTTAAGCGAATCATGTGGTCATTAATCAAATCCAGTTTCCCCATTGACTTTGCTTGTCAGAAGCCAGATGGAAAGGTTGCCAATGGCGACCACATGATTCCAGGATGCTGAAACCATGATAAATACATCCTGGTTGCCAAGGACCCGATTTTGGTTGACCTTGGGATGCTGTAATAAACATAAATGCAAGGACTGATATCAGTCACTTCTTTCAGTGCCACTGTAACATGGAACAGGTGTAAACAAATGTTTGTAATGAGGGGTCCTTGGTGCTCTCTGAGCTTGCTTGGTTTTTTGCAGACGTTTCATTACCCTAACTAGGTATCATCATCAGTGCTAGTAAGGAGTGTGGTTGCACATTCCGGTATCTTGCCTGTCAAACCGACAGCAAATCGCACTCCTTATTAGCACTGATGATGTTACCTAGTTAAGGTAATGAAGCATCTACAAGAAAACAATCAAGCTCAAAGATCACCAAGGACCCCTCGTTTCAGACCTGAGCTACAAATATTTTCTTCATTGGAAATAGTTGTGAATTGAAGGCTATCTACATTTTGCCATAGTGGCAATAGAAATCTATTCAGCTACCCTTCTTAAATAAACAATTCTGCCATTCTGTGTTTTTTCATTTGGGAACTAGAGGACTATGCAGGGGGAAGACATATAGTATTATGTAACTGACATACTATTAGAAAAGGAATTGGTCACTAAGGAGATTTATCAAAAAAAAAACTATTACTGAATTTGTGTATCATATAGATAAATACAGATTCCTGGGGTGGGGGGCGGTTGTGTGTGTGTGTGTGTGCGCGTGTGTATTTAAGTGTTGACTGTCTGTTTCAGTTAAAGCAGTGGTTCTCAACCTTTCTAATGCCGCGACCCCATAATACAGTTCCCCATGTTGTGGTGACCCCCAAGCACTTATACATCACCGGGTGCCAGGGGCGTGGCCAAAGAAAAGGGGGAAAAATGGTGGACAGCCTTGTTTGGCGACCCCCGTGAAATGGTCATTCGACCCCAAATGGGGTCCCGACCCACAGGTTGAGAACCACTGAGTTAAAGTAATTTTTGTTGGCAAGTGACCTTTCAAACTACAGTATCTAACCTGTCAAGAAAATGCACAAAACTGCAACGAAGATTCAATGGTTACAGGTACAAACACATATATGCACACACTACAAAAGGGCTTGGTGAGTAAGTCCTTCTGTAGTAATAATGCACCCATGCAGGTTAAGATGTGCTTAAAACAAAAATGGGAGCAAATGTGTATTAAAAGCAGATGACCTGGATAAGGCATTTATTTCAAGCTTCCCCATCCCCCAAATGAAATACCTACGGGTACCAGTGTTGGGAATGCAGCTTCAGACATTATGTCCAATGGTCAGCCACTTTCATAGGTGCCATGGATAATGGAATACTTATATATTCAGCTGTAATTAAGCAATATCATTCTCAATTATTTCTCTAGAAGCATTGCTTTGCAATATGAAATCCATCAAAGTTAGGACTATTCAGGCTACGCTAGTCCTTGGTAGCCTCAAAGCATCATGCCACAGGGCAAGGGAACATATCACAGACTTTGCATTTTTCAAGCAAGCATACACATGAATGTTCCAACCTTATTCATCTGAACACACAAACACACACACCACTCCTGTATGCGAACCCACACACCGATCATCCACTCAACTATAACCTCTGGTACAGTTTAATAGCTTAATTGAATACTTTGGAAAGAATATATTTACTTTATCACAAAGTAAAGAATTGTGGTGCCATCAGGGAAGGAACAAGTGATAGAATTCTTTTCTCCTTTATTATATAGCTTCCGTTCTTTTAAGGTCTTGATACCCAAAAGCAAATTGGAACAAGCTATTGTTAACATCCTGCTTCTGATCCCAAAGTAAGCCACTAAGATTAGTGCTTTCTGAACTAAGTCCCATTTCAAATAACTTCTTCAAAGAAATCACAAAAAGCACCGTGCTTCTTGGACCTCTTTCTATTAGAAACTGTTCCCATGTAAGCAATTCTTATAAAGACATTAAGGGAACACAATAGGGTCAACACAGTATTCCTCCCCTCATCCACAAATACATTCAATACACGGAAAAGACTTCTAAGAGAATTGGGTACAAAAGGTGCCTTTAAAATCAGAAAAAAAAGCTTCTGCCTCTGCACACTTGTGCCAAAGACTTGACACAAAAACTTTCTAGATGTCTCCAGTGGTCGCCTGATTCACCATGCTTCTCATTCCACAATAAACCTGGGACCACATTGCAAGATGTGCTGGCAAAGGTCTTCCAACAATGGTTGCATTCATTGCCCAGAAAACATGTTCTGCTTATGCTGGCCTTATATTCAAGCCTCTGTTTTCAGCTGGAACTAGAAACAAGATTTTGGGGATGTGTAATCTGAGATTCCCAAACTGTTTTTGTGGTTCCTGGAGTCCATTCCAATACAATCATAAAAAATCAATAGTGTGATTTCCTGTCTTCTGAGACAGAAAGCTTACAAAAATGGTACCGTAAACCACAAAAGAAGGCTAATACTTTTTAAAAGGAAAAGAAAAAAATATTAAATCTATCTCCCCACTGAAGAAAAACAAAAAGGAAAAAATATTAAATCTACTCCCTACCCCATCCCCCAAAGTACAATAGCAATTCTCATCTTCAAGAAAAGTTACAGTATACGCCCTCTCTTCTTCAATAGATTCCTTATTTCTACTTTCAAATGGATCACACAGGAACAATCCTGCACTGATATTTTATAACACCAAAATCTTGAATCTTGTTTTTCTAGCTAGATGCAACCCAACAGTGCATTTACTTTCTTCAGAGCCCAATAAGATGAGAGACATCACACACCACTGCAGCCTTTCATGTACAGAAATGAAGTGCAGATGATGGTTACTCCTTAACTAGCCACAATTAATATATAAAAATAAAGTTAAAAGTAAATATGAATACCTTCTACAATCCTGTCATCAATATCTTGTCCACTACCATAAGATTCAGTCAAATACCTATAAAGAAAAAAAAACATTTAGCGATTTTTGTTAGGGTCTTTACTCGACTTTTAATCATAAAGCATATTTGTAGTTAAATGAGCTGTATACTAATTTATTTGTATCCCACGTTTTTATTATTTTTACAAATAACTCAAAGTGGTGAACATATCCAATACATCTTTCTCTTTCTAGTTTCCCCACAATCACAACCCTGTGAAGTGTGTTAGGCTGAGTGAGAAACTGGCTGGGCCAAGGTTACCTATCTGGCTTTTGTGGCTTTAGCACAGTGGTTCTCAATCTGTGGGTCGGGACCCCATTTGGGGTTGAACGACCATTTCACGGGGGTCGCCAAACAACGCAGTCCGTCATTTTTTCCCCATTTCCTTAGCTGTGCTACTCCCTTTTATTCTATTGGCTTTCGAAAGCCAATAGGAATTGTCCAGGCTGTCTCTGCCCTGCTGAGTCTGCCAAAAGTCCCATTCTGCAAACGGTGCTGCACCAGTTGAGTAGTCCTCGATTATGACCTGTTGAGTAGTCCTCGACTTACGACCGGTTGGGGGTTGCAGCATTAAAAAGGTTGAGAACCACTGCTTTAGCAGAACTTGAATTCAAGGTTTCTTGCTTCCTAACCTGGTGTCTTAAGCACTAAACTGGCTTAACCAAAGTTCCATTAGCTTCCTGACCTCTAGGAAACTGAGGAAATTGTTGTTATTATTATTATTTTGTCCATTTATAGGCAGGAGACAGTGTTGCTTTTGGGATATGCCTGCTGTGACTTGTTCTGAGCTCCCTACTCTTCTCCAGAATGTTCGGTGTTCCGATCCAAGAGTTGTTTTAAGAGTAATACAAGTGAAAGAAATTAATAGAGCACTGTAGCTTTTGTATTATTTTTTATTAGTTAAGGGCCTTGAAAAAGTCTGGAAACAAGATATCCCTACAAGATATCCCTACAAGGTCTACTAGTCTTTAGAAAATTGATCAAGATATGGCTGTTTTCTTCTGGGCTTAGGTGACTAGTGATTCCTATCAGATGGTTTTTGCCTATTCCATTAAATTTACCACTGACTGAGTCACATCTGAGATCTTTTAATGGATGGATGATTGGTTTTATTCCTTGTTTAATGTTTATTAATCTTCACAGAGTCACACTGGTTGAGTTGTACAGCTACATAAATTCTTGAAATAAACAAACAAGCCTTTGTGAACTCTGTTATAGGACTTCTTTAGATTTAAAATTTGTTCACATTTCATTCACAAGTGTTTTCAGTATCGGAAGTACACCCATTATGAGTTCAAGATGTTTGGATTAAAATGACTGCACTTCACTCATGATTCATTCAATTGAAACACTTTCAGCTAAAGATACAAACCGTAAAACAAATTTAGTATTTTCTGTCTTGCCAGCTCCTGATTCACCAGACACAATGATCGACTGACTCATCTTGAGCACTTTCATGTCACGGAAGGCTTTATCAGCTGAAGCAAACATTGAAAAGGACAACAAAGTGAGTTTACAACAGAACAGAGATCAGTATTTTTCATTAGTTTGGAAAGCACTGTATTATTCTATGTAAACATCTGAAACACAAAAATAAATATATTTTCTATTTCCAGTATACAGCTCCCTATATTTCTTGAATGAAAAGAAACAGTGCCACAAAAGATTTGCTTAAAATGCTGATAATATATAGGTAGTCCTCAACTTACAATCATTCGTTTAGTGACTGTTCGAAGTTACAAAGGCACTGGAAAAAGTGACTTATGACCATTTTTCACACTTATGACCATTGTAGCATCTCCATGGTCATGTGATCAAAATTAGGGCGCTTGGCAACTGGCCATATTTTTTATGGTTGCAGTGCCCCGAGGTCATGTGATCCATCATTTGTTGTAATTTCCTGACAAGCAAAATCAATAGGGAAGCCAGATTCTTTACTAAGAACTGTGGCAAAAAAAGGTTGTAAAATGGGGCAAAATTCACTTAATAACTGTCTTGCTTAGCAACAAAAATTTGGGGCTCAATTGTGGTCATAAGTCAAGATTACCTATTCAGTATTACCATAGCACTCTTCTTAAGACACTTAGACAGTTAAAGGTCTATAGCTCAGCAGTTCAAGACCCGAGCGCCATAAGATGGAGTGAACTCTTGTCACTTGCCTCAGCTCCTGCCAAGCTAGCAGTTTGAAAGCATGTAAATGCAAGTACATGAATAGGTACCACATATAAGCATGTGGAAAGATAATAATACTCTGTGTTTCGCCATACACTCTATGCTGCAGTGTGATGTCATGCTGGCCACATGACTGCAGAAATATCTCTGGACAGCACTGGTTCAAGAAACAGAGATGAGCACCGCCCCCTAAAGTTGGTCACAACTGGTGGAGTAAAAACCCACAGGGACACCTTACTCTCCTAAAAATAACTAAAATACATATAGATTGGAGTCTTAAAAGCAAACTGTAATCCAAGCAACCAACTTGTTCATGATCATACGGATCAACTGCAACAGTTCCAGCATCTTGCCTTATTTTTATCAGTGTAAAAAGCAAGAGGTAAAAGCATAATACACAAAATAAAAGCTATAGAAAATAAAAAATATTGACACATTGGAAGTCAGAGAAATCTGTTTCTTACCAATTGCATAGACGTGAGGCGGCAGCGTCCCTAGTGATTTGCCTTGATACTTTTTAATAGCATCTAATGAATAAAGTTTTGGTATATCAAAGTAAGGATTCACTGCTATCAGGATGTTAGCTACATAAGTCTGGAAAGAAAACCCACAACAAAATGTGTTATAATCACATGGATTGGGAATTTCTGTTTGTAAACTTTGGAGGCCTGTTACTGAAGGGGGCGGGGCAGACTTCCGAGGGAATGTTCAACACATTTTCAAGGTCAATTTCTTGAAGTCAGAACCAAATCCCAGTTACAATTTTTATTTTATTATTGTTTATTAATTTTAAACAGCATCATTTTTTGTGCTGATAAATTACTGTGTAAAAAGCCACTGAATATATAAGGGTATGTTTTGTAAACCCTTTAAATAAATTATTATCAGTACTAGTAGTTGTGATTTTTATGTAGTGTATGCTTACAATTAAGTACCATCAGGGCTTTTTTTCCTCATAGAAAGCCCAGAACGGAGTTCCGGCACCTTTTTTGGATGGAACCTTGTAGGGTAGGCAAGGCGGGTTATATGACACGTGTGAGTTCTGGCACCTTTTTTTTTTTTACAAAAAAAGCACTGAGTACCATACAGATAAATCGATTACAAATTAATTAGTAGCAAAATTATTTTCACACAAAGAATCTTTGTGCTTCTGCTCATTTTTCAAGGATGAACTATTATTGCATGTAACTTAAAATTATGATCAACACAAAATCACACATATTATACACTGACTTATTTTTCTTTACAAAAACAACAACAATGAAAAAGAACCCAGAGTAATGGGCCTATGCAAACATAATGGTAAGTCAGAATTTAAGAGGCAGGATTAGAAAAAACAAAATTTAGCATAAATGTATCCCTGCTTCTGACATCTTTTAGAAGTTTCCTCGTTCTATTTCCCAGCTGGCATTTGTCAAAGCAGATGCAGGGACCATGTGTAATTTAGACAGAATTTGTTACATATGATCAGGCAATCTAATAGCCCCATAAAATATTAAGCTGGCTGTTTGAGCTGGGAAGTATCAGAGGTGATATGGAATTCTTCATTTGATAGAGGGGAAAACAAGCATGCATCTTTTGCTTTTTAATGTACTGTGCCTCTAAAAGAATTGCATGTAAGGATGAGTTATGCCTTATGTGCGTGCACAATTTGAGTAGGTGTATTTAATAAAAACTGAAGGCTAGATTGAAAAATCAGTCTAGTGGTTATACAGCTGTCCTGTTTCTTAATCAATTAAGCAACGACATAGGTTTTTTTTTTTAAATGAATTACTTCCATTCCCCAAATTGTTTTGTGACAATGGATGGAAGGAAAGTAACACATAAGTGGTCACTAAATAGCTAGCAGCCTCAGAAACGTTAGAAATCTGTGTATAGCTGCTAGAGAACAAGTCTCAAAAACCATACTTGTACGTTCTGTTAATTTTTAATGTGAAATCTGCTTTTGCCAAAGAAACAATGCGACACTCCAGTAACTGGGTGTAACAAATAAAAATGGTTTGCTATCAGGATTGTGCACAGTTGAAAAGATCATGTCATAAAGCCTATCGTATAGTACAGAAAGAGTAACTTAAAGGCTTGATAGTTTAGTCTAGTTAGTCCAGGGGTAGGCAACCCTGGCTCTTTTATGACTCGTGGACTTCAACTCCCAGAATTCCTGAGCCAGCATATGCTGGCTCAGGAATTCTGGGAGTTGAAGTCCACGAGTCATAAAAGAGCCAGGGTTGCCTACCCCTGAGTTAGTCTATTAGCCATCCTATAGGAAAAAACTAGCAACAAAGGAGACCTGGCAAAGCTAATTCAATCACTCAGGAAGAAAGATTCTTCCCTCTTCTGGCAAACTACTGGAGGACTAGGAAAACCAGTAGCCCAGCCCAGCTCATCTCCCCAGTCCATTCAAGCTCGGGTGGAATATTTCAGAAGGTTGTACATGATCCTTGCTAGTAATATAAATGAGAATGAAATCGGCCTGACAGGTTTAAAATTGGCCCCCAGCTCTGCACAAGAAGTAACCCTTAACTCATCCCTTAAGAACATAAGGGTCCAGGTGTTGATTATATTCTGTCTGTAATGATTCCATAATAAAACCAGATTCCCAGCTGGTGGGTGTCTCTACCAGCCTCCGTGTTTACATTCATAGATCAGCATCCGTGTTTATATTCATAGATAAGACTAGCTATGTTCCAAAACATTGGGGCCTGGGAATAATTGGCCCAATTTATAATAAGAACAATAAGAATGATTCATGCAATTATGTAGGCCAATCAGCCTTTTGAATGTGGTTAGCAAATTATATGCTAATGGAGCATAATCCAAGATGAGCAGGCAGGATTCAGAGAAGGGAGGTCAACAACAGACCACATTCTGGTGTTCTACCATCTTGCACAAAGATATACTCAAAAAAAGAAATCCTTCCTCTTTGGGCCTTTCTAGATTTTAAACATGCCTTAGATACAACTTCCAGGAATAGCCTTGGGGAGGGGGGGAAACTGTTGACAGGCACCAGCTCTTTCTAATACAGAAATTATACTCCAACACTATCTTAAGAATGAAATACAATCCCCAAGGGTCCCTTCTCTAGCACAGTAGTTCAGAAAGGACTCCAACAGAGACATATTCTTTTCCCCTCTTTTTTCAAATTGTACATCAATTCAGTGGTGGACCTTCTTAATAATCCTATGCTCCTCTACAATGATTATGCCACTATGATTTCACAATTCCCCCTAAGGCTGGAAAGAGCTATAACAATAATACGTTGGTACTACAGTTCACCTGGTTCCCATTTTTGAAAAATCTAAAATTCTGGTCTTTGCTAAGAGAGGCACCCAACAGCCTGGAGCAGGGGCCTTCAAACTTGGCCCTCTTATGATTTGTGGACTTCAACTCCCAGAATTCCTGGCTGAGGAATTCTGGGAGTTGAAGTCCACAAGTCATAAAAGGGCCAAGTTTGAAGGCCCCTGGCCTGGAGAATAGAAAGACAAAAATCAGAGCAGGAAACTGTATTGAGATACCGTATTGGTATTGAAACACCTTGGAGAGGTTTTCCACTCTAAAGGCACTTGAAACATATACCAGAATCACATAGTGAAGCTAATTTAGGTCTAAAAGGGCAATTAAGCACTTCTTTTATACTTGGTGCAGGACAATGAATCCCTGCAGTATTAAAACACTTGCAGACAAATCACTGGCCCAAGGACAGCAAATGTCCAATTAAAGCTTTTGACAGGAATGGCTACAACCAGATAAGCACTTGGAGGAAGAGGATACATTACTGGCTGAAAATCCAAATCTTCCAGCTGAACTGACACTAGTTTTAATAGACGATTTTCCTTCTCCCTGGAAACAGGCTGTAGAGCAGGATTAGATGTTATATGGGCTTTCATTCCTAATTTCTTTAGGATATGACCACACCAAACAACTGCTCAGCCAAAAAATAAAGAGGATATGGAGTTTCAGACTGATGCCAATAGGCTGCCCTAACATGGTGAAATTGAACAAATAAAAGCACTTGGGAAACAGGAAGATATCTACAAAATCTAACTTTCCCCAAGCTGATTTTTCAAAGCAGGCATAATATCTTTCCATTCGCACTGCTGCAAGGCAGATACTCTAGTCTAAAGTTCATACCACCTGCTCATGAGGCAGCAAAAGAGATCAAAGCCATTTTGCATGTATTTGCACTGTAAATTCTACAGGGATGTCAGTTCTGCTTATATTCTACTTCTACTATGAACATTTCCAGGGAGACCAGACAATTTCTAGGTGAACCAACTCCTAGAAGATTCATAATCTTTTATCACTTGTGCAGTAGTCAAATTCTGTGTTGCCACCGAAAATAAGGCATAACTGGTTATAGAAATAGTCACTTTCTGTTTTATCATTTTAGGTTTAACACATTCTAGCCATTTCATTTTTAGACGATATATTTTACTTTGTAGACTGTAATATTTTAGATTTACACCTGCACAGGTAATTAATGCACCAATATGGTAGTGTGTGTCACATTTTTATGTTATTTTATTTTTGTTATGCTAGTATTTTATCTCATCTATCTGAGTCTATTTTGGTGTTGTATTTTTAAAAAATTTTCACTGGTCATTGACCAAATAAACAATACATATTTCATATTTCACTTTGTGACAAAAAAAACCCACCCATATTTTTCACAAGCTAAGGTGATACTTACATAAATTCTATCCTTGCTATAGCGAACTCTTATATTATGTAAGAGGGTAGCTTCATTTAAATACATTAGTGAACCTACAATGAAAGCACAACAATAGTTTCGTAAGTACCATATATCCTACCACTTTTCCTGAAAGAAATCTGTGGCAGACTTAGAGGAGGTGACATAAGGGCTCAGGATCTATGACAGGGCTAGAGAATTATAGAAAAAAATCCAGAGTCATATTTTTTTCTTCCGTTCAATCGTATCCAGTTCTGGGGGACTCCTGAACAAATCTCTGAAGTTTTCCTAGCAAGGTTTTTTTTTTTTCAGAAGTGATTTGCCCTTGCCTCCTTTACTAAGGCTGAGAGAAAGTGACTGGCCCAAGGTCGCTCAGCTGGCTTTGTGCATAAGGCAGGACTAGAACAAATGGTGTCCCTGATAGCAATAGCACTTAGACTTATGTACCGCTACAGCCCTCTCTAAGCGGTTTACACAGTCAGCATATTGTCCCCAACAACTATTTTACTGACTTCGGAAGGATGGAAGGTTGAGTCAACCTTGAGCTGTTCAGAATCAAACTCCTGGACTGAACAGTGAGTTAGCCTGCAGTACTGCATCGCGCCACCACAGCTCAATGACTACACCAAACTGGCTCTAGTCATAGTTAAGGCTAATCCAACAATGCTACTCCTGCCACCACTTCAGTAACATTCTTCATTCAGACTTGGCATGTTTCAAATGGCATCCTCTAAATCAGAGGTCCTCAAACGCGGCCACTTTAAGACTTGTGGACTTCAACTCCCAGAATTCCCCAGCCAGCCATGGCTGGCTGGGGAATTCTGGGAGTTGAAGTCCACAAGTCTTAAAGTGGCCGCGTTTGAGGACCCCTGCTCTAAATACACAGAAGGCCAAACAAATCACCCAAGAGTTCCCTTCTGAAAAACATCCCCCGGCAACACTCATTCATTTGCGAAGGGCCCAGGTTCAGGCAAGCAGCTGCGCTGTGGCAGCCTCAATCTCCACAGAGCCCCTGCCACCTCACATAATGTTTACATGGCTCACTTACAATTATCCTCCACATTCTTCTTACTGTCCTCCTCTGCAGGAAAGACTTGGTTGATAGCAGCAAAAAAGGTCTGGCAAAGAAAAGGAGATATAAGTCATTGGTTTCTGTGAGAAATTGAAGAACACTTTGTTACTGGAAGTAATACATAAGCAACGACCTTCATGTTAATCCGCAGGAAGGGACGTTTCATGCACAATAGCTCAGTTTTCCTGCAAGGATATAGCAATAGCATTTAAGACTTATATATCGCTTCATAGTGCTTTACAGCCCTCTCTAAGTGGTTTAGAGAGTCAGCCTATTGCCCTCAACAATCTGGGTCCTCATTTTACCGACCTCAGAAGGATGGAAGGCTGAGTCAACCTTGAGCCGATGAGGATTGAACTCCTGGCAGTCGGCAGAATCAGACTGCAATACTGTTCTATAACCACTATGCCACCATGGCTCTAATGCAGGCAATGCAATCATGCATTTTCAGGAGTTGCAAGTGAAATACAAAAGTAAGAGATGGCAAGTATATGGAACACTGCATTTATGATCAAGAGAAAGTACTTTGCTGCTTGATGAAGTCTGGCAAATCACCTTAAGTAACAAATAAAAGAAAAAGTCCCTGAGCTGCACTTGACTCCTGGTGATCATCTGACCTGTATGGTTTTTGATGATAATACAAATTGGTTGGCCAATGGCTTCTTCTACAAAGATAATTCACTTCTCAGTTGGACCCACTGCCCTAGGATTTCCTTGTGGTCTCCCATCCAAGTATAGCTAGGCTCAACCTTCAAGCCCAGAAAGTCAGGCAAGTAATACCACTTGCTGCAACTATAAATACTGGCACACAGTATTGCACAAACCTCTGAAACTTACCACATAAATCACTACTGAGTACTAACTGAGTTTTGACTTTATTCTCACTCAACAATACTGTTTTTAACTCGTACTTAACTGCTCCAAGGCTTCACCAAGAGTCCAAATCAGTAGTATATTTAAGATTAGCTGATTGGAGACAAATGCTCCAGTCAGAATTTCAAGCTTCTGGCAAGGTAAAAGTGCTGTTTGATCCAGTCACTCCCCTTGATCTTAGATAAAAGTCTAAGGAACAATGTAAGATTTATTTATTTATTTATTTATTTTCTTTTTCACCATACATCATACACCAAAACAAACTTAAAATACATAAACATAAATCTTTTCTTTTAACAGAACAGTGCTGTACATTTTAACCATTCTTTACATCTTATTTACATTTTATTTACATCATTAATTATATCTTTTTCTTTCTCTGTTCTAGCCAATTATAACATTTATTCCAAATTTCATAAAATTCTGTCGCCTCCTTGTCTTTTAATTCTAGTGTAAGTTTATTCATTTCTGCGCATTCCAAGACTTTATACATAATCATGTCATTTGTGGGTGTATTTTCACTCTTCCAACATTGAGCATATGTTATCCGTGCTGCAGTCAATATGTGTATAATGATGTGTTGGAGTTGTTTTTCAATCTTTAAATTTATTATGCCCAAAAGAAATAATTCCGATCTGAAGTCCATTTGTACCTCAGTTATCTCCTGTATCCAATCTCTTATTTGTTCCCAATAGTTTTTTGCTTTAGGGCACAGTCACCACATATGATAAAATGTTCCTTCTCTGATTTTACATTTCCAGCTCTTCGGGTCCATGTTTTTATGTATTTTGGCCAATCTCGTCAGTGTTAAATGCCATCTATAAATTATTTTATATTGATTCTCCCTGTATGCAGTTGATAGCATCAATTTGCAATTTATGTTCCATAATCTTTCCCATTCCTCTAAATTTATATTTTGCCCCACATTTTGTACCCACGCTATCATCGCCCCTTCACTATTTCTTTCTCTAACTCTATCTCTAACAAGTATTTATACATTTTTGATAATAATTTTCCTTCCTTACTTATTAGAATTTTATCAAGTTGATGTGGGATCTGACCTATTCCATATTCTTGCCTATCCCTATTATATCTAGATTGAATTTGTAAATACGGCCACCAGTCTATGGGTATTCTTTGTTCCTCCAACTCTTCTCTTGACTTAAGATTTCCTCAGTTATCTAGTAAGTCTTTGTACCTAATCATCTTTTTTTTCTCTAATGTATTGGGGTGAAGATTCTTTTAATTATACATTATCTCACATTTATTGTTTTTTAATAAGTAACTCAAGGCAGAAATCCTTCTATTTTTCCCTCGACAACAACCCTATGAGGTGGGTTGGCTGAAAGAAAGTCACTGGCCCAAGCTGGCTTTCATGCCTAAGGAGGGACTAGAACTCACAGTCTCTCTGTTTCTAGTTGGTGCCTTCACCACTAGACCTTATACCCTTACTTTTGTAAATGTGGCCAAATTGGCACCGCATGTACTATGCAGGTATGTATTTTAAAAGTACAAATAAAGTAGTTATATCATTACTGATTCAGAATTTAGGAATATATACCTAATACAGAGAAATTACCTGAAAGTAGAGACTCCTGGGACTCTGAATATCCTTTGCACCCCTCAGTTCTCATCCACCCTGCTAAGAATCTGAAAAGTGCCACATTTCTCTAGTCCAGTGGTTCTCAACCTTTTTAATGCCGTGACCCCCCCAACTGGTGGTAAGTCGAGGACTACTCAACCGGTCGTAAGTCGAGGACTACTCAACTGGTGCAGCACCGTTTGCAGAATCGGACTTTTGGCGGGCTCAGCTGGGTAGAGACAGCCTGGACAATTCCTATTGGCTTTTGAATGATAATAGAATTAGACTCTATTCAAGAGAGTCTATTCTATTGGCTTTCAAAAGCCAATAGAATAAAAGGGAGTAGCACAGCTAAGGAAAAGGGGGAAAAATGGCAGACTGCGTTGTTTGGCGACCCCCGTGAAATGGTTGTTCGACCCCAAATAGGGTCCCGACCCACAGGTTGAGAACCACTGCTCTAGTCCTTATTAAACCAGGAGAACCAAATGACCCTGTCTTGATTTCCTGGCTATTATAATCAGGTGCAGAGAACCTATCTCAATTTCCCTCTTTGTGGAATTCAGAGATCTGTCTAACCCTGAAGTTTCATGAGAGTTTACCACCATTTATAAGATGGGAACCAATGGAAAAGATAATATAAACCTGTGCAGCTAATTCAGATTTTAAAACTTTGATGTACTCCCAGCAGCTGTTCCCCATCCAGGAACAGTCCCTTCTCTTGCCTGAAAAACCTAAACCTAATTCTCGTTAGTCTCTCTCTTCTGTACGATGCAGAAAGCTGCAGCTCCAAGAAATCGCTGTCCTACTCAGTGCCTTATAGGATAATTTACCCTCCTTGAACCCGAACCCAAGTAATCCTTGGTCAGCTCCTGAATTCAAACAGCTGCCTACCATTCTCTACACTGGGGACAACGATCTTTTGTAAAAAGTGATATCACCTTCCATTGGAAGAAATTTGAAGCGGCTTGTGCAGATGAGATTCCAGATCTGATCCAAACAAGCATGTGCAAAATTCATGAGCCAAAAGCAGCCTCATCTGTTATTTTAGAAGAAAAGGCTTCTCTTTTAAATCAGGAAATTGTACAATTATAACTAGCATTAGGACATAAGGACTCCTGTATCGGGAATATTTATTTGATTTATATCTCACTGTTTCCCTCAGGAGGTCAAGGTAGTATAAACAGCACTCCCTCCTGCAAACATTTCCCATAGCAGCAATCTAGGCTGTAGGCTGGGGTGAGAGGAAGGCAGCGAACCTGAACCTGGGTTTTAACCCCTGCACCACTCTGCCTCTCAGTTTTCTCTTACAAAGACAGAGTATACAATCTGGGAGTCTTCTAGACTTACGACTCCTACTCAACAGGCAGTCATGGCTGGGAGGGCCATGGCACAGCTTCGTGTGGTATGCCAACTGTTCCCTTTCCTGGATTGGGAGGCTTTGATCATTCTTGCCTTAGTCACCTCCAAATTGGACTACTATAATGCACTGTATACAAGGCTGCCCTTGAAAAGTATACAGAAGATTCATCTGGTGCAAAATGCAGCTGCCTTCTAGAAGAGCATATATGACACCTCTCCTCCACGAGTTTCATTAGCTACCAGTCTGCTTCTGGGTCAGATTCAAGGTGTTTCATGGCATAGAACCAGATTATCTGAGGGACCACCACTCCCCAATTACATCAGCCCCAATTACATCCCATTAGATCTAGCAGAAAAGACATGTTGTGGGTACCATCTGCATGGGATTTACATTTGGTGGGTCCCAAGAGGCGGGCCTTCTCTACCATGGTGCCTATGTTATGGAACATTCTCTTCCCCCCAAAGACAGGTTAGCACCGTCCCCGTTAATCATATAGAAGTCCCCCAAGACCTAATTATGTCACCAGGCCTAGGGGTCCTAGAAAATTGATGACATGCTTAGATGGCTCCATTTTGATTGATATATTCAGTTTCTCATGTCGTTTGTACATTTTAAATTTTTAATAATATTCTAATTTTAATCATGCTTCTTATGTATTTATGATTATTTTTATATATTTGCTGTTTTATTTGATTGTTATATGCCGCCCAGAGTAGCCTCTTGTGTGATGGGCAACCACATACATTTGATTAATAAATAAATGAATAAACTTTATATTGCTATATAATAGCTGAGTATGTAATGCAGAACTAAGCAAGTATTTATTTTACCCACCAAAAGGTTATACTTTTGTTTTGGCTTCTCTTGGTTCAGGACACAGGTCTACAATAAGCTAATCTTTCTCATCTCATCACAGCCTAAAACCTTGTGATGGTCTCATAGCCACCTAGTATAAATAAATACTCCTTAACCTTGGGATGCTCTATCCTTGGTAGGAAGAGGCAGACCATTCCAGGAACAAGATAAGATAAATTTGTCTTCCTTGTCCTTGGCAAAATCAAGTGGAATGAGGACACTGAAAGCAATTATGATTTTGAACTTACAGAAGCTAGTCAGAAGCCAGTCAGAGTTTCCTGACTAGCTGAAGGGCCTAAGGTCTTTCTTTTATTCTTCAATATTATTCAGTAGTCTTTGTTACCTTATGCTCTTTAGTATTCTTGTATATTCTTGGTGTCTTTTTCACACTGTCTTTGAATAACGTCTTAAGCATGCATATCAATGTACTTTATAAATTTACTAATTTCAAAAATCTCCAAAAACCAAAGAATTCTTCCCTAATATCTGTCATATATTATCAAACAAAGCTTGATGAGAATGTCTTCTGAATGTCTTTGTATTTATTAAAATAAATTAATAGAATTATAATACTCTGAGACTTTCTTGGAAAAAGAATGGTTTTACATAGTGCTGCATTACTTCTAAGTAAACTTACTTAGAAGTAAGAAGATCACCTTCTTTCTCCATAGTTGAGATTACTTCCTTAGAGAAACACTAGACTTTCCTCAGAGAGGAAGCCTGTAACATCACCTCTTGACCTCCATATTAAAATTCCCTCTATTTCATCAGGTTGAAAAAATTGAGCATTAGTTTTAAAATGTATTTATTTTAAGCTCTTTCTTACAAATTCAAAACAGAACACTTTCTTCTAAAGGAGCCTAGATTTGTATACTAAGTCCATGGATTTTTTTTTCTACTTAATTTCATCATAGAATACAGCTCTCCTCCACAGAAGTTCTCACAGAAGAGACCAGCTCTCCAAATTACTAACTGGTCTACTCTCACAAAGCATAAAGAAATAACTGTTTAGTAGGTCCACCTAGGTTTGGACCAGGCTACATGTCATTCTGGTATCTAGATGATCATATGTAGATGAAAATAGCAGTCTAATTTACAATTCCCTCAGTAACATATGTAATAAACTTCCTTAATTCAGATTCTCCAGAGCTTTTAAGAAATTGCATTCACAATATATCTGGAATACATCAGGTCAGGAAATGCTGGTCTAGAGCTCTTGTGACAACTCTTGAGCATTCAATTATTTTCATGCCATCCACAGCATTACTGAGGGGAATGGAAGGCAAAATGTGATATCACAATATAAAGAAAGGAAAAAAACAAATGAACAAAGCATGGCTTCAGTTTTCAGTCACAATCACACATTTATTTTCAGCTTCCCAAAGGATTCTATGCATAAATTAATGTGATTACACAATGTGCTGGTTACAGTTAGCCACAGAATAACAATAAGTCCTTATAAACTATATCTACTGTGACAACTTAAAATCTTATTTGATAGAGAACCCCCCTTGATTTTGGACACTGAGTTACTTAAAATACCAAAATAAATCACAACCATGATAAATGCATAACCTGTTCAGTTTTCTAACGTTTGCAGCCATGTTGCATCTCAAGAAAAAATCACACACACTTAGGGAGGCCATTATTTTTTAAAAAAAAATACTTAATGAGCCTATTATGCTTAGTGCTTATAACCCAATACATTTTCAAGCCTATTTCTGTCACGATACTGATATTTTTAGCAGAATGAATTGCACCTAGAGTTGATCATATTATTTTTCATTTTCTACTAAAAAGGATACTAATAGTTTCATTTTGTCTGCTCACTGATATTTTAAGTTTCTCGAACAAGTTGTTTTATTGTTGCACAAATGCTTCAAAACATAAAAAAAGAAACCCAGTCATGGAATATCAGCCCTTAACACAGTGATGGTGAACTTTTCAGACACCAAGTGCCCAAAAACCGCCCCGCCGGACCCCTCTCCGCCCCCACCTGCTCCATCCCCATCGCCCCCACTCCATCCCTCACCCGCAGGGCCATCTATCGTCTCCACGGAACACCGCAGATCGCCCAGGTGGCCCTGCAGCGCCATGGCAGCCATGACCTCCGCCTGCACCCTGCAGCATCATTTGCACACGATGGGGCATCGGGGCGAAGTCTTGTCCTTGCTGCCCGGTGCCATGTCCTTGGCTGCACTGCTCTGTGCGGGCCGTGCCCAGGGATGACTCTCCTCGGGGGGGCTGCTGGTGAGGAGGGGGTTGCAGGGAGAGGCAGGGCTGGGGCAATGGCATGCGTGCCTACAGAGAGGGCTCTGAGTGCTGCCTCTGGCATGCATGCCATAGGCTCGCTACCACTTCCTTAAGACAACATTTAATGGGCAACATTCAGTGTTAAGCAGATGCTTTTGTTTGCATAACAAAATTTCTGTTATCTCATCTGTACATCTTCAACTTACCCATGAATTCTTCAGAGGGTAAGATGAGGTATAAATGTTTTAATTTTTTTTTTAAAGAGAGAATAATAGCCTATTTAAACTCAATATTTTTAAAAACCAAGATTTGGAATTGACCACCACATTAAATACAGGATTAATGGGGAATCCTGTATTTTTAACTCAAAGGTTCTTTTTCAAAAGGCAACTGGGCTGTTTTTTCCTTGAGGAAAACATTTCGCTTCTCATCCAAGAAGCTTCAGCAGTTCTGGATGACTGAGAATCTCCACAGAGATTTCCCCTGTATTCTTAAATTTTCAAAAAAAAATTTTAAAAAAAATGAACGTGCATACTGTATGTTTTCAGTAAAAGCTTTATTCTTCTCTTTTTCTTGGGTAGAGAAGATAAGATTGACATTAACATTTGGAAACTTTTTTTTCAGAAGGAAAAAATATTAAGGTATGCAATCCCTTATATTGTAACAAAGTAAAATAGCAAAATCTCAAACATGCTATATTGTGATGATTATTGTTCATTTTAAATGTCTTGAGCACAGATCTGCATCTACATTTATATCTGTGGTATTAAAAATAAAAAAAAATTGATCGTGTCTGATTCTTGGAGAATCTTGGGACAAGTCTCTGCAATTTTCTAGGCAAGGATTTACAAAAGTAGTTTACCCCACCTCCTTCCTAGGACTGAGAGAAAGTGATTGACCCAAGGTCACCCTGCTGGCTTTGTGCCCAAAGTGGGACTAGAACTCACAGATTCCCAGTTTCTAGCCTGATGGTTTAACCTAGGGGTGTCAAACTGGTGGCCCACGGGCCAGATGCGTCATTCACAGGCCACGCCCACCCCGGCTCCAGAAACGCAAAAAACATCACGATACGTCACGATACATCATGTGACATCGAGTTTGACACCTGTGGTTTAACCACTACATCAAACTGGCTCTATAAAATGTTTAATCACTATTAAACAAAAGCCTTGAAGAAATTTATGCAATGATACAAAAAAGAATGAATGCATTTGTCGATAGACAAGGGATGGGTTATGGGACAAAGCAATATTTGTTCATAACTTTATAGAGGCTTAAGAGCCTAGATTTGTTTATACTTATTGTGATGAAGGTTGGAAGCCACCTCAGTATGAGTGTGTGTGTGTGTGTGTGTGTGTGATATATTCTCATTTTTTTCCTTGCACTTTTTATTCTTTCCTCCTCTTCTCTTTAAGTTTAGTTTGTATTAGTTTCCCTGCAAACATCTTCTCTTTCAGTAAAACAATTTCTACAAGAACTAATTGCCTTTTGAAGAAACCTACCTTGCCTTTTTGATTTACAGGTTCAATAGTTAAGCCGTCAGGTCCGATATCCACAATGCTCCCCATCTGAAACCCATCAGTTGGGTGTGGAGCCCAAACAGGCTTCCCGTCCTCCATCTTGAGGAACTATTTCCTACAAAGAAAAGAAATATTTGTAACTGACAAACACTATATATAAGCTTAGCTTCGTAGGCACAGTGAAAATATCTGAAGGGGGGAAAGTTGAAAGCTAAACATTTTGAGGAGCAGAAGCTTCATCCTAATTCCTTCCCAACCTCATAACTGATGAGCAGTTACATTGACAAATGCAATTATTTCTATCTAGAAATGAAAACAGTGCCCTAAAATGAGAAATAAGGCAATACCCAATGGAATGAATGGTGGCTTTTGCAGAAATATTACTCAGCAGCAGACCAGGCAATGGCCAACACCATACTTGCTAAGAAAGTCAAAAATATAAAACAAGTAATATCAAATCAAACCTGGCAGAGGGAATTCTAAAATGCATTAAAAGAATAAAGCAAGGTGCACTCATTTTAAACCCAGCCACATCCCCTCTAGTCCACATTCAATAAAGCACTAACATATTATTGAGCTGAAATTCATCAGCAATCTTCCATCAATGGATAATGAATTGCAGGTCCAAGGAGGAAGCCAAGATTCCTTTATGCTGAGATAAAATTAAATGAGAAACTTGTGCTAGAGGATTTCCTCTCTCACCCATCCTCCTCCCCAAGTTCTACATAATATATATTTTACTACAAATAATTATTTATTATACCCCACTCCAATCCCAAAGGGCTTCCAGAAATTAACAGATATAGAATGCCCAATTACAACTAAAATGTCCATTCGGATTAAAGCAAAAACATAAAATAAGAGACATATATAAACACAAAAAGGGACCAATCAATAAACCTCTGCCAAAGTGACATCACCAAATGCCCTCCGGAAGAGCTTCCATTTCGAGCTGCTTCCAGAAAGAAACTGAAATGGGAGACAACCTTATTCCTACTGGGAGGCTATTCCAGTGCATCTCCGAGACGCAGGTTCCTTCGCCATCCTAAAGTGGGGGATACCGCTCACTTATCTCAGCTGGACTGAATTGGCCCAATTGATTCTAATGGAGAAGTGTGTCCTCTGGGTTGCTTGGCAACAAGATATAAAAGGGCTTTATAACAGCAGCCCCCAACTTTGTGAGTACCAGGGACCGGTTCCATGGAGAAAGGTTTTTCTGCAGACCTGAGGGGGCGTGGTTTTGTGTGCTGCCTGCATCCCATGGATGGGGCTTCGCTTTTTTACATGGACTGGTTTCTGGTGTGCCACAGACAGGTGTCAGTCCATGGACCTGCTTCATAAGCCAGCACCAGTTCTTTAAAGTGTATTTGGAAGCCTACTGGTAACCAATGCAGTGCCTGCAACACAGGTGCCATGTGCTCTCACTGGCAAATGCTAGCTAAAAAGGGGCCACTGCACTCTGAACTGCAGCTTCTGAGTGGTCTTTAAAGACAACTCCACATAGGGTGCATTGCAATAATTAATGATGAGAAAGGCTGTAGCAAGATCGCCACGTCTCAAGCTGGGCTATAATTGACACAACAGCCAGTACCTCTACCTCCTGTTTCACTAGGACAGCGGTTCTCAACCTGTGGGTCGGGACCCCTTTGGGGTCGAATGACCATTTCACGGGGGTCGCCAAACAACGCACATAGCATAGCACACTAAGTCTCCCTGACCTTCACTGCCACCCAAAGTTTACCCAAATTCATGTTCATTGCATTGATGACTCTATCTAAACCAATGGTTCTCAACCTGTGGGTCGGGACCCCATTTGGGGTCGAACGACCACTTCACGGGGGTCGCCAAACAACGCAGTCCGCCATTTTTCTTTCCACTTTTCCTTAGCTGTGCTACTCGCTTTTATTCTATTGGCTTTTGAAAGCCAATAGAATAGACTCTCTTGAATAGAGTCTAATTCTATTGGCTTTCAAAAGCCAATAGGAATTGTCCAGGCTGTCTCTGCCCTGCTGAGCCCACCAAAAGTCCCATTCTGCAAACGGTGCTGCGCCAGTTGAGTAGTCCTCGACTTACGACCGGTTGAGTAGTCCTCGACTTACGACTGGTTGGGGGTCGCGGCATTAAAAAGGTTGAGAACCACTGATCTAAACCCTTAATCTCAGTGCATAAGAGAAATGGAAACGATCTTGGGAAACAAGGAAAGAGACTAAGGGAATGGTCAGATTAAAGACATCTTAGCCATCAGCAAGATTGTGGGTGGGGCCACAGAAGGTACTCTCCCTAGTTTCTTAGGCTATAAAGCAGTGGTTCTCAACCTGTGGGTCGGGACCCCATTTGGGGTCAAACAACCATTTCACGGGGGTCGCCAAACAACGCAGTCCGCCATTTTTTCCCCCTTTTCCTTAGCTGTGCTACTCCCTTTTATTCTATTGGCTTTTGAAAGCCAATAGAATAGACTCTCTTGAATAGAGTCTAATTCTATTGGCTTTCAAAAGCTAATAGGAATTGTCCAGGCTGTCTCTGCCCTGCTGAGCCTGCCAAAACTTCCATTCTGCAAATGGTGCTGCAAGTTGTCTGCTGCAAAGGCGAGCTGTCTGGAAGTTTCCACCTCTCCCTGCTGAGCAACTACTAAAAATGTAAGTAAAAGAGGGCCAAGGGTGGGATGTGGGAGGCCGGCGGGCGCAGGGAGGGTTGCTGGCGCGCGTGGGGCCCGGTGGGTGCCTTACCTCCCTTGGGCTGGGCCAGCTGGTGGCCCAGCCGGTGGTCGGCTTGCGCCGTCTCTGCCACTTGCCAACTACGCCTCGGCCGGCACAGGGGGCGGCACCACGCATGCGCAGCGCTCCCGGGCAAGGAAAGTCCTCAACTTACAACCAGTTGGGTAGTCCTCGACTTACGGCCGGTTGAGTAGTCCTCGACATACGACCGGGTGGGGGTCACGGCATTAAAAAGGTTGAGAACCACTGTACTAGGAGCTACAAAGCCAGGAGGACCCAAAGTCATGGACATATTCCTTCAGGGGGAATGCTACCCCATCAAAATACATCAATGGAGACAGACAATCTCCGTGAGCAAATAGATTGACTCTCATTTAACAGATTGTTTTTAACAAAAGAGAATATTTGTAGCCCAGGGTTGAATTGTGGAGTTCTTGGTGCTTGCTGAGCTTGGTTATTTTCAAATGCACTAATCTGGGAGATCCTTGTTACTTCAAGTTTTGGACAGTCAAAAAAAGAGAACCCCAATATATAAGACCAAAATAAAACAAGTTTAGAGAATTTAGTTCTAACAATGATATTCCCAATCATATATTTCTTTCAGCACAAGTGAAGGAAAACACAAGCACTCCACATTTAATGCGAGTGCTTCCCATAGACATATTATTTATTTATCATTATTTCCAACCCACTCACTTTTGATAAAATTAGCCTGAAGTGTTTAATTTGATAAATAGAAGATAAAGCAAGGGCATAAACCTGCTGTTTTATTTAAACATTATACTAGAAATGTTAAATTATACATTGCATTATATCCTGTCATACATGACACACTGTAGATCAATATTACGGTTCTTAAATTACAGACTCTCTTATTGAGCTTAAGTAGAAGGGGGAAATTACTAACATAGAGATTTTGCTCAAGAGTTGTTGGATCTCTGTAACTAACTTCAAGCAATTATTCTTTTTATTTAACTAAAGTAAAAAAAAGGGGAAAGGAACATAATCAGAACTGCTTGGCACCAGCCCATTCTTCAGTCGCTAAGGTTCACTAAAAATCAAATAATTCCAAATCTACCTATCTCAGATATTTTATTTCAGCAATTTGACCAGCGCCTCCAAAACAAGGTCAAGTGGGCTAAAGCAGGGGTCCCCAATCCCCAATCCCCGAGCCGTGGCCTGTTTGAAATTGGGCTGCAGAAGGGCAGGTGAGCATGCACATGCGTGCAGCTCCCTTTGCACAAGCTGCGGGGGAGCACACGGACATGTGCATACCCACCACTCGCAGAGAACCATCCCCTCTCCCCCCCCCACCGGTCCGCAAAACTGGAAAGATTGGGGACCGCTGGTTTAAAGGGCATTCTGCCTGTGAGCGTACAAAATGAATTTGAGTCCTTACCAGTTAACCAGTGCTACACAAGGCTACTTCATAGGGACTTGGCACATCAGAAAAACACTCTTGCAAAAACTGTCACATATTTTCATTTTGCAAAAGAAAAAAAAATGAATAGAGAAAAGGGAAGGGAAAGAGGTAGAACCATGTGTACAAGTCAATGGCTCCCCATGTACTATGTAGACAATAACAGGATGAATTACAGTCAACTAGGTAACTGTTTCTGTCTTAATTTCACCCTTATAGGGAGCTCAATGGAGCACTAAGGATTATGGTAGCCATCCATTCTCGTAATAGCACCTTTTCCCCCAGTCTAATTCTCTGGTTCAGTGAATTCTCAACCATTCTATCTAGGGAATGTTTTGCCTTCAAGTTCTTTCAAGCTATCTGAGTTTTAGAGTTATGATCAGCAAGTCACATATACTGTAGTTCTGTCAAAAGAACAAAAGACAGTATTTAAAAAAAATCAAAATGCAATTCCATACTAACTTTGCGTGTTTTTCTGAACCCCGGCTATTTTTTTTTTCATAATTGATGTATATTTCATTCCATTCTATCAACATGTTTAAGTTAAAAGGTTGTCTTTTGTTTTTCTGGCAGGCTTTGGTTCTTTCTGAGTTGAATGCGTCCCAAACTGAGTTTTATTGTTGGCGAACTTTACTGGGGAAAAAAAAAAAAACAGTTGCAGGAATGCCTCAGGAATAAAATGCTGATACAGACATTGCACAGCTGAGATAGTCTTGCCAACTTAACAAAAATACAGAGTCTGCTTGAGAGTAACAGGCCAATGCCGATCTGATGTTGTACATACTTTCATTCTATTTAATTCACATTTTCTAAATTGAATCAAAAATCTCAAGTCACTCTTCTTGCCTAGTGGTTTGTTGGCAAGGTAAACATGATATGCCTCATTTAAAAGACAAAGCTAAAGTAGTCTTGGTTTGTAACAAATTAATGACCATATTCATATATAAGGAAAGGAGGCCATATATATCCAATTTCATTACC